AAGTAGTGTCTCGATTCTGTCTTAACAGGGTAGCGAAATGAGCAATTTTTGTCTTAAACAGGGTCGGGCCAATTTGAAGGCCTCGGAAGCACAACCCAGACCTCCCTTGAGTGCCTCCCCGGGATTTGAGTAGTGGAGTGGATTTGAAGCCTTGTTGTTTGAGACGCGATTAAAGTCGGCAAAGTCTTTTAACAAAGTCCAACTTGGACGTGCAAATCCTGGCATATATCTCACCAGCTGTGATATGCTGATGGACACTAGCCTGCGAGAAAGCTCTCCATTTGGGGGATATCGTGAAAAGTACACGCTGCTCGCTCGCGCGTTCTCGAGCGGCTCGCTTCGCTCGCCCAAATAGGAGAGCTTGCTCGCAGGCTAGATGGACACTATAGGCCGGTTTGGTGGAGATGTTACTGTCCACATATGGAAAATTGGCTATTCGGAATGTAAAGTCATCTCTCTTATCGTATCTTATCGTAGATGCTGACATGGAAAGGTGAGTTGTTGTCACCGAGCTGCCTTGCGTCGAGGTAACACACATCCATTGTGATGTGGAGGTATCCTTAAGTTCCAATTCCGAAGGGTAAACTGTGTTCATGTTATTTACAAATTCCTCATTGTTAACGCTGAATAAATCGTCGATGTATAAAAAAGTGTTGCTAAACTGGGTAGCTGGTGCGCTGTTAGTGCCCATTGGTGTACCGATCTAGGCAAAGATCTTTAATTACAGGAGAAGCAGGTGTACTTCCTATCAGACAGGGGCATTCAACGACAGTTTCCTCCTAAAACACTTTTTAGGATATCCAGAGTAACTTGAGATCTCTAGATGGCCATCCTAGGGGAACTTGCTGAGTCTTTCCGAAAACAAGTACAAGGGCTACAGTATTATTCTCCGAAAATTTTAGATGCAATTTAACGTACGTATTACGAATCGAAAGTGAGACTTTTTTCTGATTCCTCTCTCCATCACAGTTTTGAATCCGAAAATTTTAGGTTTCCTTTTTTTAAAACAGTCGTTGGGTGCCAGACTTCCTATCAATCAATCAATCAAACTTTATTTTGTCACAGTAATTCCATCAGGTTTAAAAAGAAACAAATGATTAATATTGGTACATAATTATTATTGATAAATACTATATATATATAAATATTATAAAATATAAATACTAAGCTCTATAATTTTATCGAAAACTACTTAGTTAAAATGATAAATAAAACATGACTCTGCTTTACATGGACGCCGTGAGATAGAAATTGTACCATTGCCGAGTTTTGCTTTAAATGAGTTTAGGGTTCCTGTATGGCGAAGATCAAGAGGAATAGGGGCGGATCTAGGGGGAGGGTGCAGGGGGTGCGCACCCCCCACCCCCTGAGATGACCTGCGGGTTTCTAATACAACTGGTATTCTGCAAAAAAAACTACTTGGTTTATTGGTGTTGAAGTAGAGCAAGAGACGAGTGCACCCCCTCCCAAAAAAAATCGTGGATCCGCCCCTGAGGAAGTAGACTATTCCATAATGGAGCAACGCTGTAACTAAAACTTCGTTTATTGCCATGATTAGTACGTGTATGAGGAACAGTCTGGTTATTCTCAAGATTTCGTAAAGGATAGTTCACAAACTCATTTCTGGGAATGAACTTGAAACATAAATATTCCGGAGCCAGATTATTGAGTGAGTAAAAACCGTTACTGCACGATCGAATAACAGCTGGTGTCTTACATCCTTCAATTGGAGTATCTCACGTAAACTCTCAGAATTAGAATCATAAGATGCATCTAATAGGACACGGGCTGCACGATTCTGAAGTTTTTGCAGTTTATCGTTACATTACAAGGTCAAGTGAAACTTAAAGCTCTTGGGAACCAAAAGGAAGAGCTTGCTTTTTCACTGACACAGCTTCGTAGTAGTGCTGATTTTGCTGAAAAGGCACAGGCAGATGGAGATCATATACAGCTCTTAGCAATGAAACAGCAACTTGTTCAGCGCCTAGCTCATCTTAATGCATTACAAGTCCGCTGCAAACCCCATGAAAATGACCCCCGTAAACTACAACTGGATAGAACAATAATGGGGGACATTGACAAAATGGTAACGTTAGTCCACACCTCTGCTGACACTTGCAACTGTGTTGAGTATGGTAGGAGGTGAGGAAGGCGTGCTCTACCAGACATTGGCTAGGCAGCCTGTGGAATTTGTGCTTGCTAAAAAAATGGAACTGTTGGGCCCACAGAACTGGAGACCAAATATTCTGTTTGTGACATTATAATCAAAGAGGTCGATAGCCAAATACTACCTGTACGTGACAATGGTGCGTACTCTTATTTGTTCTCATATTGACCAGAGACTGATGGACTTTGTACTCTCTCATTGACAGTCGATGGGGAGGATGTACCTGGTTGTCCTTTTACGTGGACAGTGAAGCCAGAAGTGAAGTCATGGCAAGAGTTTGGTCAATTAACTTCATCTTCAAAACAGGATGGACAAGAGGAAGGAAAACATTGCTGGAAAGTGAAGTGTTTGAGACGTGTAAATGAAACACGTTCTGCATTTGATTACGAAATTGGAGTTACCTGTGTGGAATATGCTGATGAAGTACCCTTTGCTGATGCAGTGACCAACAGCTACACGTGGCGCTGTCAGGGGAAGAAAGATTCAGGAACAAAAAGATGAGGAAGAAGGGTTGCTTAAGATATCACACAGTTTGCTCACGTTCTGACAACGCACAGGCAAAGTGCTCTATCACTTCCTTGAGGCATGGAGACATATTTTCTATTTATCTCAGTTATAACACCAGTAAACTTATAGTTTACAGTCATCGACTTTGAGAGGCAGAAGTCTTTACAGGTGTGAAATTAAAGGAGACGTTTATCCCATCATTTCACTTTATAGTAGTCACGACAAACGAGATGAAAATCATTTTACCCTTATCATTTAGTAGACAGTGTTACCGTTGAATTATCCCTGTTATCAACAGGCATAATTACTCTTCCCATTTTTCTCCATAATGTACTGTTGTACTACTGAGAAATAATAGAGAGATTAAGCATCGCGTTTGCGGACAATGGCAAACGTGAGATTCAAGTTGAGGCATTTTTGAATATGAGAAAAACAGCTTAAAACAATTCTTATGGAGATAATTGGTATGACTCTACAGATTTTCGTGTAGTTATAATGCACAGTAAACGACAAGTAAAGGGGAAACTTGGTCACGTGGAACAATTTCTACGTTTGCCGTTAACACGATCCTTAATCTCTCCAATGTAAAAATACAACATTTTTTATAAGTTGGTGATCATTATTTTGTTTTGTTCTTGATCATGATCTTTATGTGAAAAGAACGTTCTTGTGAGGTGCTTGTCGCTGTAAGGATGTTGATAGCCTGCGTTGCTGGCATAAAAAGGGGTAGGTGAGGAAGTGAAACACAGGGTACTGTCCTTTCCTCCAAACTGCAACTTAAAATAACGACAAAATCCATGAAAGTAATCTTCAGAATCCTTAGTGAATAGTCTCATGGCTTCGTTGTAGGTTTCTTTTAATTCCATTAAAATGTCTTTTTTCAAAAAAAACCCTCACTCTTCTTAAATACAGCTGCATTTTTGAAAACGTTGTTGCGGCTAAAATCCTTATCAGTCAACCTTTTTTTGTTGCTCGAAAACTATCTTAAAACTAGAAGTGAGAGAGCTTTGCGTTTTCTCTTTTCCTTTGCCTATATTTTCCTCACTGCGGTGTGAATTTTGAGCTTATCAAACCCCCTAAAAACGCCAGCCGAGATGTTGCACATATAAATGGAAACACTCCTTTTGGCCTAGAAAATTCTGGTCGAATAGCTGCAGTCTCCTCGGTCGCTAGGCCTTTTAAAACAAAAAACAAAAATGGAAATTCTTTGCGACTGAAAAGGCGTCACGTGTGCATATGGCACAAGGTAGTCCCGGTCAAGACAGTCAACCATCCTTGCTCCCAGATTGCGGGTCAACCTCCAACCTGGGGAGAAGGTTGGGTCAGGTCAACCTTGTTATCAATTATTCTTTGCTTGGGAAAGGCCCCGAAACTTTACGGGCCCGAACCCAAATTTTAAATCAAAACCTGTTGAAGAGCAGCATAGTTCCTATCTCAAAAACCAGTCAATTCTGCTTCGTTAAATAATAGTTTCATTTTTCGGTTTAAAAAAAAAAAAGAGAACAACAAAGTGTAGTCTATCTGCAAAATCCTCCTGCTATATCGGGTTTCTGGCTGAAAACGCTATATACAAGTTTTGTTTTTTGTTTGTTTGCTTATGACTACTGTTATGGGGGGGGAGGGGGAGGGGTTACAGTTAAACGCCCTGCTTCTATTGTACGTGAGCACTCTTCCTTGAAAATCTCGTCAAAATGTCATTCGATTCTGAAAATAAATCACTCATTCTGAAGTTCTTGGAACGATGAGTTGAGAATTATTTGATGATTATTAAAATATTTGTAACCAATAAAAGTTTGAAGGGTAAATGTTAAAAGTTATAGGAAAATAAGAAATATTGGATTTGACGGTAGTTAAAAGTTAAAATTTGAAGTGAATAATTAATAGACAAAGACCAGACAGTCCGCCACCACAACAAGGTGGCCCTGAGCCAATTAGCGGACTAACTGGTTTACTGGTATAGCCTCTTCTATCCTTCTTTCTTTCATTCTCAATTCAACCCTATTTCCCAAAAAACTCAACTGTAATCCCCCCTTAAATGTTCTGTCTTTTGCCATGGATGGATCGTCAGTTTTAGGCCCTTACTGACAACAAAAAGCTTGACTCTTTGCTTTTTTGCTTATTTCATATCAGTGCGCTCCTCGTAAACTAATTGCAACAAGATTGGAAGGTATATTCCTTTTTCATTGAGCAACCCCCTTGCCCCCAATTCCTCCTCTTGTAGCCTCTTTCTGACCTTTCTGGATCTTTCTAGCACCTTCCAGCTGTAAACGTCATCGGCACGGGGCTCATCTAATTCCCGGAAAACTTACTGCTACTCGACCATAACATTCCGCGCCTTAAGCTGTACATTCGAATCAGAGCCTCTAGGTCTCCTTCTCGAAGAACTTTGCTTAAAGTCTTTAAGGTATGTCGCCTTTATGTTCTCTAAATAGTATAAAATGGTTAGTACTTTATTCATTAGAAGTCTCGTCATACTCTACTGAAAATGAAACTGAAATTTTGAAGCTTCTATTTTCCGAATGGGCGCTGGCTCTGGCCCCTGCCGCACTGAACTACCCATCATATTGCTCCGAAGTGTAATTAAAATCTCGAAGGTGTCCACGTGTTAGTGTATCAGTTAGGCCAAAACGTGGAAGAAATACAGCTGGCAGTTAAACAAAGTATTTGTTCAGAATCACTCATTTCCTATTTTGTTTGCAATTGGACTGAGGCTTATATATTTCCCAATATTTACTGATCCTTAAGTGTAAATAACTATCCTTAATATTCTTTTTTTGCGGTCAGCGAACAAATATCGACAAAAGGCACATTTCATTTCTTCTAAGAAAAATACAGCTCGAAAGACAAGCGAGAATTAGGCTAAATTGTAAAAACAAACGGGCTAATTATCTCCATCTCATCTCAGTCACAACTGACAGATCCTTTTGTTCCATTATACCTCCTTCAATGAAATGCTTATAAGTGATAATATATTGATAATTGGCTGTGGTTTCCGCTAAGATAGCTTCAATTATTAGGATCTATTTTATTGGAAGAATAATCTATGCGCTTAAAGGGTACGGTACATTAGGGTTTGGGCAGCCGATGCAAAGAGTGAGAAAGTGAGTCCATCCATGAAATGCAAACTTCTGCCGGTAGCCTTGAGGAAATCAAAAAAAATCATTTTTATTCAAGCTTTTCATGATCGGGTAAGCGTAACATGCAACAAAGAGTGGACTGATAGTGTGATTGAGTTGGCTGGAAAAGATTCTTGATCCGCATTCTTCTTCGTGGCCGACTTCCTCAGTTTCCTTGCACGCGTGGTATCATAATTAAGATTTGAGGCCAAATACTCTTCTTTTACGGTGATGACCGCTTTCCCAACGCCAGGAAAACATCTTGCAGGATTTCAAATTAAAAATAACTGAAATGCTTCACTGCTTGTAATCTAGACCCGAATAATATAACTGTGATAAGAATCGGAAATGAGTTTTTGTTATTACTCCATTGCAAGACACCATTTCGCCACTATGCCATAAAATATCTTTATTAATATTCTCCTTTACTTGTAGCCACACTACCTTGAAACACCCTTTTTGTCTCTAAGAAAACGTAGAGGATAATTCAAGCTTGATTTGGCGCTCGAGTGATCGGAGTGGCGCTAGAACTTCCAACCGCGTAGGCACTAGGAAAGGCTGGGCAGTAACTCGACTATTTTGAAATAAAGAGAAATTTAACCTGATCCAAAAGCTCATGCAGAAAGGTTTCCGAGCTCCAGATGAGATTCGAACACATCATGTGAACCTCCGAGTTCTATCGGACGTTCTAACCACAGTACTGGAGACTGGCGAGCAGAATCCGAATGGTCGGTATTGCTCAATCACTTGTGAAACAGAGTGGTCATGAGAATTACGGATATGATCTTACAAGATGAATTTGTTTGATATTTTTTCAACTTCTCACCACTTCTTCGGTAGGAAATGAATAGGGGCAACAAATAAGAATTCAAATTTTGACCAAAGGATTTTTAAGGGTTAACATATCTCTATCACTCATTTGTCAATAAGCGAATTAAAAGCAGTAGGGAAGTATTACAGACTTTGAAAAGAAAGCGCCCTACTTCATGGAAATAGCCAACCGTACAAAACAGTAGCATACAAAGTTGTGGCGGTTTACATTAGGCATTTCACAGCATTGAGAGATTGAGCCTTGGGTTAGTAACATTTACAAAAAGGTTTCAGGAAAATCCGATTGGAAAGTAAATGGAACACGACTTTTTGGGTCGTTCCAGCGGAAAATGTTCGGAAGCAGCAATAGAAAATTTTGTGAAAAAGTAGTCCCGTTTTCCCGGACGGAATATTCCAAATGGATATTCGTGTTCCATTTTAGATACCAGCTTCAGGCTTTCGCGGTCGTTTTCGGTAAATGGAACTGATTTGTGCAAATAATAAACGCGATTCCGAGATGAAATTTACCAGTCCTGAATTTTGATTACCATTTGCGCAAACCTTGGACCGACCGGTTTGCCCATGTTAATGATAAGCAATCTTAATCTTCATGTTAACTGCCACCACGACCCGTTGGCCACAGCTAAACAGTTTTCCTAAACACGTACGTTCACTGAATCATTTACTTATTAGTCCCTCTCATTTTGCTTCACATTAAAGACTGAGAGAATGGCCACTGCTGTACCCGTAGAGTTAAGAGAGAGGTTGACTTGTGCTGTTTGCATGGAACAGTTTAAGGAACCAAAGGTTCTGCCATGTCTTCACACTTACTGCAAAAAATGCCTGGAAAAACTGGTGAAAAAACAAGGATCTGAGCAGGTGATAACTTGCCCTGAGTGCAGGCAGGACGCAAAAGTAAGTTTCAAATGAACTTCAATCTGTAAAAATAACTTTTCATTCAGTTTCTAGAGGAAAATTGATTGTAACCATATATGGTTGCTTCCAAGCCGCACGTTAATTACAGTACTACCAAATGTTAGCTGCTTCAAAAAAATGTAATGATTGTCTTTTGAATAATAGGGTCTGTTTAGCTCAATTGTTTTTCGGTGTTGTTTTTTTGTTGACTTGTTTGACAAGCTCTGTTACATTATAAGTAGACTGATTTTACTGATATTCAGGCTGTCAAATCTAAACTGCAGACTGTTATCACTTATTACCGTCTTGACTTTCCTCACTATAAGGCAGCATGGATAGATTGCTTTTAAAACTTTCCTTCTTGTAACCACTCCCTCAAAATGCCCAGAACAATGAATAGCCCTCTCCCTTCAGAGACCTCCAAAACTCCTTAGTCCCTTCCAAAAACTCGACCCCTTAGCCTGGAATCCAAGCCTAGTCCCTAGGAGTTTTTTGCTCGGTCAATCCTGGACTCTACTGTGAGCGGCAAGAGAGAATGCCTGGGGACTACGCTGCTAGTACCCTAAGTAATAACCACTCCCTTACTTGCCTTTAATCATCATGCACGAGTGTTTGTAAGTTGGCCTAAATTATATGACGATTAGAGGTCAAGAAATTTCCTGTTTTCCGCTTTTAGATCGACGATGGAAACGTTGAAAGTCTGCAATCGAATTTCTGGGTGAACAATTTTATGACCTTATTGAGCATTCAAAAACGCGTCACATCAACTGGAAAGCCCTTGGTCTGTGAACACTGCAACAGTGGTGACTCAGCTGTTTCTCGTTGCACAAATTGCAAAGTTTTCATGTGTGAGTATTGTGTAACAGCGCATAAAAGAATCAATGCATTTCTTGGCCATCAGATTTTGTCTCTAGCTGAAGTAAAAAAGCTTGGATCAAAGGCCCTTGTCAAGCCAGCCTTTTGTACAAAGCATGCTGATGAGGTATTGAAACTCTATTGCGATACCTGCCAGAAAACCATCTGCCGTGACTGCACCATTGTTGATCATCGAGATCACAAGTACAACTTTGTAGCAGATGTTGCTGAAAGAGAAAGAAAAGCTGTTGAAGCCGTTCTTCGAGAAACCAAAGCAAAGGATGTTACAGTTGAAGAAGGATTGAAAGCAGTGAAAGCCATGGAAACTCGCGTTGAAGCAAAGATTACCGGGGTGAGCAAAGATGTAGATGTGTCTTTTTATCAGCAGGTAAGGGCATTAGAGGAAATGCGGGCAAACTTAAAGCTTGAAGTGAAAACACAAGGCCAAGCCAAGCTTAAGGCACTTTGCAACCAGGAGGAAATGCTTGCATTATCACTTGCACAGCTACGGAATAGTACTGATTTTGCTGAAAAAGCTCTAAAAGATGGAAATGACTTAGAAATCTTGTCTATCAAGCAACAACTCATTCAGCGCCTTGCTCAGCTCAATGCATCACAATTCCATTGCAAACCCTGCAACAGTGACTACCTCAAACTTGAGATTGAGAAAAGAATATCGGACATAGGAGAAATGATGACGTTAGCTCATTCACCAGACACAACGAAATGCGTTCTAAGTATGGTGGGTGGTGAGGAGGGTGTGTTGTACCAGACATTTGCTGGGCAGCCTGTGGATTTCAAGTTTGCCATTGTACGTGATACTTCAGTCAAGGACGCAGAGACTGGTTTCATGGTTCGTGCTTCAGTTAAGAGGGAAGATCAGCAAGAGAGTCAAGACCTTCCTGTAGCTGACAAAGGTGACGGGTTGTATTTCTTCTCCTATCAGCCACAGACTCCTGGACTTTGTACCCTGTCAGTGACAGTTGAAGGGGAGAGCGTGCATGGTAGTCCTTTCACCTGGGAGGTGTTTCCAGAACTCAAGGGTCCAAATGAGCTTAGAGATTTTCTCAACACCCAAAGAAAGACTAAGAAAATAATGCATAGTTGGAAATTAAAGTACTTAGGAAGCACCCCCGGAAATTCTAAAGTTGAAATCGGAGTCAGCTATTTTGACGGAAGTAGTTACTATTACAGGTACACCTGGTGCTGTCAAAACAATGCGTTTACCACATGTCGAGGTAGGAACTCATCGGGTAATCAAGCATCAATAACCTCTTTGCAAAATGACGATATCCTCTCAGTTTATCTGAATCAAACTACTAAAAAACTTTTTATCTACAATCACAGAAATGAACAGTTGAAAAATTTTAGTACTTGTTCTTATTCCTTTACGGCAGTCGTCATTTCACCTTACAAACCGTCTGAAGGTGGTTTTACTTTTGCTATCGAGTAGACAAATTTTTGTTTTAAACCTAGCCTGCCCTCGTAGGCGATGTTAAACCACATAATCTATACTCTAATGGAGGGGAGTAATCTCTTCTGCTTACTCACATTTACGAACTGTATAGGCATTTGAGACTATAGCGTTTTGCCAATCAGAGAATTTCTTCCACTCCCAAAGTTTCCAAAAATCAAAATGCAAAACAAAAATTATTAATTAAAATTGAAAATACTATATAAAAAAAATGAAATGCCTAAAACAAAATAAAGAAAAAAACTGAATTCTAACATTGCAAAGTTGGAAAAACAAATGCGGGTGCCTTTTTAAGTACCACCAAAGACATACAATCAACTTTTACTCTCAGAATTTTTAAGTGAAGTTTAGACATCAACGATATATTAAAGTAGTATAGTGGCCGACGTGGGAGAAATATCAGCTTCCAGGCAGTAACCGGTTTTTACGGTTCTAACTCAAGAGAGATCAAAACTTTGTGTTTTCTGTGATGTTTCCGTTGTTATTTAGGGCTAAAGCGGATTTTTGAGAAGTTTTGGACTATTTGAGAGCATAAGAATTTAAGAGGTGTCTTCTCGGAAGATTTTTAATTTTGGCCAACTTTCGGGAGTTTTGTATCAAAGTGTGCTGCCTAGGACAAACTAGGTGAACGGTGACACAGACTCAAATGTATACTGGAAAGGAGAAAATTTGGACGCGTGCAACGCAGTCTTGGAAAAAACTGACCATTTTTCGTGAATCAACTGTGCTAGCAGGTCTGAATCAGAAGCTGTACTGTTTACACCCTAATTACTGTAACGTCAAACACTTGATTCAACATTTTGTAACGTTCGAAAAGAAATTGAAAGTCGAATTCGTTGCAGCAAAGGCAAAAACTGAAGGAATTTACAACTTAACATATATCCCTGTCTAAATAATGTCCTTAAATGAGGTCATACCAATGTTGTATGTAAAGAGTTTTGGATGAAGAATTTTCATGCAAATACTTAATGGTTTTTTAATGTCTTACTATTGCAATTTGATAATGACAGTATTTCTTGGAAAGCAACGCAAAAACGCGGCCAGTAAATCTATTTTTGTGATGTTTTGTAATCAAACTGGGAATGTACGGCTATTAGCCTGTGAAACTGGCAGTTTTCTATACATAGAATGTTAAAAAGGGGACATATTTTACGAACTGTAACTAGGACTGTATTATATATTATATAAAACATTACCGTTTTGTTTTTAGTATATTTATTAGCTTTGAAGTTTCTAATATCGATTAAAAATGCTGTGCCAGATACCTGACGTACTAAAGTGCTCGAGAACTTTGGCTAGTAAGATGGTATTTAAACTCAAATCTTAGCTTTGCTTGTATCCTCTTTTCATGGCCAACTTTGGGTCGGTATTTTATAAAACTTATGAACGTATAATAAATCTTAATACCGAACTAAAGTCAATTGTGATTTGAATTATACCACATAGTAAATACGACAAAGTTAACCATGCGAAAGATTTAAGTGTGACCGCTATCTTACTCTAATAACCAGTTCACACCACTCTTGAAACACAATGATTCATGTCAAGCATGATTCTAGATTAAGGGGCTGTCCACACTAGATGCTCGGGAACCAGTGCCTAGGGGGTGGGGGGCACCGGCTCAAAATGGTGTTCACACTTTGAGTACCATTTACTTAATTTCGCCCTGCCAGACGCCATTTTGAAACATGAGTAAGTGAAACATTACCTTAGCAGCAACAACAAATCCGTTGACTGCCCGGAACTTACAAAAATTGTGTGCACACGGGTTGGGACCTTGTACTCGGGCACCGGCACCGTGCCCGAATTCTAGCGTGTGTACTTGAAAAATGGGTGTGTTCACATTAGAGCCCAGCGATTACCGCGCTGGGGCACCGTGTCCGGGCACCCAAGTGTGAACTGCTGCCTAAGAATCAAATATATACTTAATTTCACAGTTTTTTCCCAAAAGAAAAAGTTAATGAAACATTAAAGAAATGAGTGATATTCGACTCAAATTATCTATGCAAAAAAATTCCTCTTTCCCGCATAAAAGAAGTAAAATGAATTTATCTTTCTTTCGTTGACTCAGGGGGTGCTTTCATTCCGTGCCGATTTTCGCACAAAAAGGACATTGCAGCGAAAAGTAATCATCTTTTGTTTTCCCTGAATCCTAAAGTGATGTCCAAATTTTCAACTTTTCTGGTGAAATTTACTCAGTTTTGATTTGACTGATCAGAAAGGAGAGTGCTTGCTCGAAAACTTCACCATCCCAACCGCGAGATTTCATCTCAAACCACGAATCAAAGCGATGATCACGACATAAATGTTCCAGAGCTACCTGGCTTTCAATCATTTTTCCTTCTCCCATCCATTCTAAACTGGCTGTATTAAAAGCCACGAGAACGCATGGGATTTGCAAATGTGCAAACTGGACAACTGTCTCTTTCCATTTTAATGCTTCTCTCAATGAAGAAGGATGTTCCGGAATCCAAAAAACAAGGGCCCCGTGAAAAGATTTGAAAGAGAATCCCGCGAATCCCTCGGGATCGGGATCATCTTCATCCAAGACAGATAACGCATTCTGATCGTTCTGTGATGATTTAATTTTTTTCAAATGGATATCCACACATACAGGTGGTAGAGAAGAGCCTTGCGGAGGTGTGCGGATAAAACTGTCTTTGATAAATACACTGTCTTTTCCAGCAATAGTCCCCACGCACAGAATTGTAATACAGTCGCTTCGTTCGTGCTGTTCCGAAATGTTTGTTTTGAATGTTTGCATCTCTGTGTCCTTTCTCAGAGTCCGCAAAACATTTTCGTTTACGTCCTCTGGAATCTCATACTTAGAATCAATTAAAGAAAAAGCTTCCTGGAGGCTGGATGGGTATAAGGTCTGTAAGTATTCCATTTTCTTGAATCTCAATCATGAAAAGAAGACTTCATTTCCGGGTGGTGAACAGATTTCTTATCAAGCGCCGCGCTTTTCGCCCGAGAAACTTGTTGATGTCCTCCAGGAGTTTCGATGTCGGTGAGTTTCGAAGAGACCTCGCCAACTCTTTCTGCTAATTTACACCTGCTGTCAATTCTGTTTTGGACAAGCGAACAATTAAGACGCTTCTCAGTTTTACAACTGACTTGCTTTCAATCAGACCCAGTGGACGCACGAGAAGCGTGACACTCCATTGAAACAAGTTGAAACCTGCCGTTAAATCAACATCATCTCAACTGAGTATTTATTTGGCTATGGCTTATGACCTTGTTTGGATGTGGTTACTTTATAACGAAATCTTTAATCTCTGATAATGAAAACAGTCATCATTTTTTGCGACGTTATTGTCCCAATTCCCCAAGAGTTGTCGAATTTTAGGAATGGGATGATGTCCAAGAACTTTAACAAAAAATAAAAAAATAACAACGATATCCGGTTGATTCTTGTGTCCTGATTTCATGGAAAAGCAAGAAAGACACCTTGAGGTGACGGTTCTTTTCCGTTCTTGTCGTCTTTCACTGAATGCAGGCCTTTCAGAATACCTTTGCCACAGGTTTGATTAAAGTAGCATGATATTTACATTTGTCCATCTAGACCTTCTGCTTCCTCCCCTTCCGCATGCCTGCCAAGCAAGTCAAGAACGTAAGACAGACAAAAATACAGGAAAAAACAAAGGCAAAACAAAATTTAATATTAAAATCCTCTTAGCTTTTAGTTTTCTAGAGCCTTTTTGAGGGGCATATGTTCAGAAAGGCCAAGGGGGCCTCATGTTCGACATTCTTTGGTTTTTTTTTTTTCTATTTTGTGTGGGCGATTACTTCAATCTCTGTCGCCAACGACTTTGTCTTTGATCAGGAGTTTGATAGGATGATAGCACCTATTTAACAACCGCCTATCCCCCTTCCACAGCACCGCCATTGGCCCCGCTCCGGTTAGACAACCGTACCGACGACCGTGCCGAAAAGACAGACAGTAGGGGCGCTTTCCATTTAGTCAAAATTTCCGGAATTTCCGGTTCGGCGGTAAATGGAACACGTTTCGTCGGTTCGTCCCACTGGAAAATTCTCAGAAAAAGTGGAAAATCTAAAAAGGTGGTCCCGTTTTCCCGGTTGGAATTTCCGAACGGAATGTCGTGTTCCATTGACGTTTCTTGTATTTTGTACCAGTTCCAGGTCCACGATCGGGCACCCGGCCACGTACCGGGGTTTACGACCAAATGGAACAAATTTTTACCAATCGGAAATTCCACTTTTGCTACCACCGAAATTTCCGGGTCTTTTTCGTAAATGGAAAGCGCCCTAGGTTCCATTCTCCCCACTCGGTTTTGATGGTCGCCTGTTATTTTGTGGCAACAAAACTGTTTTGATCCTGTTAGAAAGGGCGGTCTGCGTCGTTGGACGTGCCTTATTGTCCTACTAAAGGACCTTGGGTAAGTAAAGCAGTGGTTTATTTTAGCAAAAAATGTATCATCAAAGGTAATAGATGAGATTCATAGGCTTCTATGCACGCTCAAGTCGAATTATTGTTAGTTTGGTGGTACATGTATTCCCGTAATGTATCAGCTAAAAATGGGCTCTATGCACGTGGCGATGCATCACTGCCTGAAGATTTTATCTGAAGCTAACATATAGTTTGCGTTGTTTGAGTTATTTTACTGTTAACATGAAACATTTCCGAATATTTTACAATGCCAACAACATCTTTTTCGCACATTTTACCATCGCAAATTCGTGACGATTGGAGTCAACGAGTATTTTTTGCGGAAATGACGTCATGTACATTGCGTTATGACGTCATCTATCTCCATCAATTTTCTCCATCAATTTTCAATATTTGGAGATGTTGGGTAGGGAGGGGGTGGGGGGAGGGGGAGTTGACAGACCTGGGAAGGGTTTGACCACACATATTTTGGGGCGGGATTTGGGAAAATGAAAAATATCTTGATGGGAAACAGTCATGATATTTCAGTTGACTGGTACTCATGAAGCATTATTCATCAAAATTTGGTCACAGGATGCTGGATTCTTTTGCCTTTCTGTCAGGAATTCGGAAGATTGTCATGACTTAAATATACCTTTTAGCAGCAATGCAGGGTTTTCATAAAACAGGAGTGGGAATGTGGGATCACAACCCCTCCTACTAGACTCTGGTAGACTTGTAGAATATGGCAGAAAATTTACACATTTTTGAAGAGGAAATCTCTGAATTTACTGCCTAAAAAGAACAGCAAGAATACTTCTCGGAGGACGACACCTGCTATTTGTACAATATCTGCTAGAACATCCCTTTATAAAACCTGAATTTGAAGAGTAAGAGGCAAATGAAGACAGAAAATTTCAGCTTCTTGTTAAACTAGGAATTATTTTGAATGAATTAAACAAAAAGTGTTTTATTCACACACCAGGGCTCGAACTTAACTTTTGAACTTAATAGTCAAATGGCTAGTACATGCTCGGGCTTTACTAGCCATAAACGTGTTTCTAGTAGTCTAGGCACTTCTGTACAGAATAAGATTTAAAAAAAATGTCAAAAATCCTGTGGTTATCAAACGTTAATAAAAACTGCAACATAAGAAAAATTTAAATGCATCTTGTCTTGTATGTTTAGTTACAATACAATAATAAATTTTACTGAACTCTACAAACAAGAACCCAACAGCACTTGCGCTGGTCTGCAGTTTAAAGTCCAGCAGCCAGCACCTGCACAAGTTGTCTTGTCTCTACACAATTTGCAGAACATTTGGTTTGCTTCAACGTCGTTTGTGAGCCATGGAAAGTCTTTCAGCCAGGTCCGTACAAATTTTACATGTAGACGCGCTGCCTCCAGCAGAATCATCGCTTGCTCTCTTTAGACCTTTAGTTGTTTTATTTGACAACAGAAATGCCCTAATATCCATGACAATCATGCGTGGACTGTGATTGTAGATTTGCATTTCAAGATGGTGTACATTTGTTTTTTGGCTAGCTTTGCATCATGGGTACGGCCTGGCCCATGCTCCCTGGTCAAACAAAATTTCAAGATGGCAGCGAATAAACGCGAAACTGAAAACCGAATTAACAAATATTATTCTTTCTTTTATTCATGCCAGTTGTTAAAGGGGGAATGAAATAAGAGGTTACTAGAAGGTGCGGATCAACTGGGAAAATGTTGAAAACATTTCAAGGCTTATGTTGTTTACAGGTGCGAAAATTAACTAGCCAAGATGGCTAGTAAATGAGCTAAATCCACTAGCCAAAAATCAAAATCTACTGGTATTTGGCTAGTAGACCACCGCCAAGTTCGAGCCCTGCACACAACAATAATTTGATTTTAATGTGACCTAAAGAGTTATGCCGATCTTTGAGGGTACAGTCGAACCTCAATTATCCGGATTTCTCGATTATCCGGACTTTTTCTCTGGTCCCGATTTGGTCATGAATATCTATCAGTCACGATCAAGATCCGTAGCCGTATCCTTTTTAAAACTACAGCATTGAAAAGTGCAGTCAAATGCGAGGGTTTTTTGCTTTCAAGAGCACAAGCAGCACTCGCGCGCGTCGTAACTAATGAAGAACATTCGAATGAGTTCTGATTGGCTCAGAGTTGCGTTGTTGCTAAGGGAAATTTCACGCTCTATGGCTCGCTCGGCGTTGTATGCAAAACACTGACTCGTCCCCAGTCGTCTCTCATTACTAGTATTTGGTGTGGAAGACTAGAACGGGCTCTTTAACCCTTTAAGCCCCAATATCCACATTCAAATTCACCAAACTGATCTTCATACATCTCCTTTAAGAATTAGTTGAGAGAATTTGATAAAAGGTCATGGAATTTTCTCTATGATGATCATTTTATTAATTCTCATACCTTTATCTCTTGATAGTGTATAGATATTGTTAGGAGAAAATTGTTGTTGGTCACTATTGGGACTTAAAGGGTTAACAAAGAGCATAACCCATGCCAAGCACTTACCTAGTAAATAATTAATGAGTAAAGAGAACTTAGAGATGACTGGAGACCAGTCAGTGCAAAACAAACAAGCTAGCATCACAAACGTTTATTCACGATCATCATGTCTTTGAAGCACAAGCAATCCGTTCTTTTGATAAAAGATAAACAAAATCTATAATTGTGCGATTAGAGAAAGGAGAAAAGGGAACCAATTTGTCAGCTGAATATAACGTTAGTAGAGTGAAGATGAAGACGACATTGTATTCCAAATGATTTGTAAAAGTGTTGTTTCACGATTAAATGTCGTTTTCTTAATTTAATCAGTTTTGCCGGGTTTTGCTCTTCATTACTATTTATATTTTTGGTTATCCAGACCCTCGATTATCCGGACTACTGTATTTCGTCTGGTCCCAACGAGTCCGGATTTAAATCAAGGTTCGACTGTATTATGTTATATCATCTTCCTTGATAAGAATTATTATTAATAATTCGTAATAGATCATACACAGCCTCATCCAATAATATTATATTGCTAATTATTAAGAAGCAATCATTAGTAATCTTTGCTATTATTAGAGGAAATGTTCAAACATGACAGTCATACCCAACTTTTTAATACAGGATCATAGAAAGTTATGGCAGCTCGATATGTTCCACCTGGAGCCAGATCTAAAGAAATACAGGGCTGTAATTCAGTAAATCAGGCAGAAGACCGCCAGAGGTCACTAGCTGAATTAGTAGCCAAAGATGAAAAGACAGATATTTTTACTGTCAAACTGAGATCAGACAACTCATATGGTAAGGACTGTAAAGATTACAAGTGAAAAGCCCTTTAAGGCACATAATTTGTGTTTCTGTGTTAGTGTAAGACTGGGAAAATTATAAAAATAATGTTGTATAGTTTCTAACAAAATTAAATTGACTGTTCTAAAAGTTGCCATTATCATTTCTCTTCATGCCAGGAGTACAAAAACTGTAAAACTCTTAACAGTGCGAATGCCAGCTTTTCGCTTATTTTACTACTCTCCCTAAAACGGCATACAAGTTTACAAGAGTTCTCAGTGATATTTAATCACTTAGTTTAAGTTACAAAGACCCATTAGGATGTACACTTGGATGACTTGTCTAAGAAATAACAACACTCTCATTTTTCAGATAATATTCCCTTTAAAATGGTATCTGATACAGAAAACAGTGATCACCCAAAAACTCAACAGTTTAAATTCCCATTTGGATATAAACAGCTTCGCGAACTTATGCTGGTAAGTTGATTACTACAAAAGTTGACCATTTTCAGAAAACAAATTCTGCATGGATGTACATCATATGCATTGTAAAAATATCTAAAACTTTCCGTTTAACAATTCAAAATACCCTCTACACAATCTTGTAAAGCCAATCCTCAGGAATGTCACAAAAAAGTTTAACTTAAAAGAGCTACTTGACCTGTGCATCTTTCCAGGAATGAATCCTGAATTTTATTATTGGATTTCTTGCCCAAATTTAGGGTAGCATACTTGGCTGTTTTCAGACAGCATTATTGTGAAGTAATTTTAATTATTTTTTTTTTCAATTGGATTGATTGGCTTATCTGATAGTTTCAATGAAAACCAAACCAGGTGGCAGGGAAGGCATGAGGAAACCTTCCCACCCCCTCCCCCCAGGGCTTTCATTTTTGGGTCCCCTGTGCTGAAGTTCATGTGTCAATCAAGAACTGTATTTCTGCAAAACAATGCCAGAGGTAGGGTCCTTAAAGTGCTTGACTTGCTTTTTTGCAGTGGTTTCGTGAGATTGGTTGGAAAGACCAAGATGCAGTACTTCAGTTTCCCGCAAGTCTCGCAAAAGAACAAAGAAAACTTGTCCATGAAACTGCACAAAGTTTTGGCCTGGGAACCTCAAGTTCTGGGTTTAAAGAAACGGTTGGTTATTTTGCATATTTTTATACTAATTTGTTTAGGGGCTGGTTACATGGAGGGAGAAACATCCTAGCACCAAGAAGATCTAAGAAGGCTGATCATCCTTCAGCTATTGTTACTTTTTTGTATTCAGTGTACATGCAAAAGGTTGTACTTTTCCCTAGTACTAGGATCTTCCTTAAGCTGAAGATCCTAGGACCATCAGGCATGGATCTAGGATAAAAACTGATGGATTTCCTAAACGAGCTCAAACAAAAACAAGCCTAGTGGGGTGCAGGGGCGGGCTTCCCCAGGAAATTGTTCGGATTAATTTTTTACTCCTTAAAGTCCCCTTTCCTGGGTTTCCGAGTCATTCAGACAGAATATTGGCCAGATTTCAACTTGGAAAGTGTTTTTGTTATTGACAATATGTTTATTATGAAAAATGTGACCAATTTCCGTAAAACGGTGGAAACTGGACTTGTGGAACTGTGCCTGACCTGCATATAAACTGCCTTTGCTTGGAAGATCCTTGTACCACCAGGGACAAACAGTGGCTAATCATGGCAATAAAGGCTGACCATTTCATTTGGTGTTACCATGAGCCAATGATTGTGATAACTCTGCTAGTTATTAAGGCCAGTTAACAGAAGGGTGCAAATTGCATGTTTATTTTTGTATTCCATCATTTTTAATTCCTTCTCAATCATTCTCTACTTGGGCACCACACAGACCAAATTTCTGCATGTAAACCCAACAAGAAGTTGCTCCACCTTTTAGGATCTTCCTCCCCCATGTAAACAGCCCCTTAAAGTAGGCCTAAATAAAAAGACCCTATACTGCATGCCATAATTTTAGCATTGTAAGTTGTTTTTCTTTCATAATAAATTGATTCTTTTTTTCTAGCGTTACATCAGTATTTATTCAGTGGAGCAAGCCACCCTGGGAGTTGGAAAAGTGTACCTCACAAAAGAAGAACGGGAGAAAGCCAATACAATATGGAGACTAGTTAAACATGAAGAAGATGAGAGATACAAGAAGTTCAGTCACAACGAAATAGATGAAATGGTTCTTGCAAATAAGTTGGATCCATTGATTCAGGAATTATGGGAAAAGAAAAAATCACTGTCGGTAGAAGAGGAATTCAAAGAAAAATGTAAAGTTGCTGATGAAAAATAAAGACATGGTTTTTGAAATAGATCAAAGCAAGTTTGTCTTGTGAAATGAACATGAAATCAAATCTTTATTACAGTGCAAAATATACTGTAACTGGGGCCATGGTAGACAAAGTTGACCAATCAGATTACAGGAAAATAGCAAAACATAATCAAGAAAGTTGGTTCGTGGCCAATCAGCAGCTCATAAAAGTTACTTGAAGCACAAAATTTAATATTGATAGCAAACGTTTTTTGGGAAAAAATGTTTCATCAGACAATGTTTATCTATTTGAACTTTGGATACAAATTATTAACACCCAGGAGACAATTATTCAAGAAAGGCATCTGCTCTCGCAGGCTATGGAATTTGACTCAGTCATTATTTCAAGCAGCTAGATATTGTACAATCAACTCCTGATAATTCAAACCTTCAAATGAAATAAAAAAATGTTCCAGTTATCCGGAGTTCAAGTTTTGGGGTTGAAACTATATTATAGGAAACAAACTGCAGGCCGGGGGAAAAGAAAATTGCTTTGAAGTTCTAAAGCAGGAGGTTCAAGTTATGGAGGGTTCGAGTTACCAGGGGTTGACTGTATAAAAAATCATGACTAACTTATCTCTGGGATGTTGTGTGTACATCAGTTTAAGTGATTAATTTTGATCCGTGTTTTAAAAGCTGTCACCATTGCGACTAGTGAACACTTAAACTTTATATTGACAATTTTTGTGGTTAGTCACTTTTTGACTGCTATTAACTGTGTCCTCTGAATGGAGATTAAACCCAGTTTTCTGGACTCAAAAAAAGTGTCCCTTTCCCCTGAATGGGGAAGTAAATAGAGGTAACAAATAAAACATTTTGCAGGCCTGGGCCGAATTTCATGTCCCCTGATAAATGGACGTGTCCCTTGAATAGAGGTGTCCCAAAGGAGAATGTTCCACTGTAGCCACTGTAGAAGAAATGAAAGATCTCCTGAGACCATTCATTCATTGCCTGTATTTATTTTATGCACGGAAAAATTTACACCAAAATAATACGAGACAGTGGGAATCCATCTTAACAAAAGTCACAGAAACAATAAATGCTATGGTAAAGTTTTATTTCATTCAGTACAACTACAAAGGCAACAGTAACATTATTGCCAGTGACTATGTTTTAAAAATTCTGTTGGTGAGAATGTAATGATTTCTATTTACATCAAGAAAAAAAAAGAAAGAAAACCTTTTAATGTAAAAGCTCTGTATCTTTCTTATATTCATTATTTAGTTATTTAGAAATAGCAATAATATTTTATTGTACATCAATAAATAAAACATTTTCTCCAGGCCAGTTCTCACTTTTTTCATACAAAATTAATTTTTTCTGATTGTAAAATATGTACAGTTATTAATTTTTTTTTACCCACCTTTGAGGTGACAAGAGGATAAAATAAACATATCAACCTGAGCATTTTCTCATGATCATTACGTGAAGTCTCTTGTTACCATAAGTTATTGTAAGAGCAACAATTGCTATTTAATTATAAATTATCATATGAACCTTAATATTTACTCTATCCGCCCTATTTGAAGGTCAACAATATTCTAAATTAATGGGCATCTCTCAAATCATACACAGGACAGCAAGACACAGGAAGGGCCAAGTGCAGTTGTCTTGTGTTTGTGTGAGTTTGGAAGGGGCTGAAATGCTGTGTGCCATAGATCATGCATTCTTTCTGAAACATCTCAAAAAAATTATTTTCATAACGCATCATCTTTTGTGAAGTTGGGCTCCACCCTGATCTCTTGTACAGGCATGACACATTACTGTTTTACTCTGTGAGTCACCTTTAAGGCTACGGATCACAGCAGTTTCATCATGTTACATACAGCTGCTGGATTAGTTCTAAGTTCACAACTGGCTCTTCATTTGATGTTATCTGTCTGACAAGTTGTTCACTCAGTTGCCACAACTTTGCAGCCGTGTCTGGGTTTTTTGATTCCTCTGATGGCAAACACACAGAGCAGTTGTTGAAATAATGTCCTCCCACTCTATTAAGCTCCCTTGACGTAGCACAATATACAACAGTGGCTGCTCCTTGGGCCTGAAAATTAGGTCAAACACATTGCTTAGCACTCAGTGGAGCTCTTGGTCTTTGGACAGCAAACTTCAGTACCTTAAAATACTGAAACTTAATGCTCAGATAACTTATTAATACAGCTGTAGGGTCAGGAAGGGGAATCCTGAACCTGCATTTCCAAGCCCTAGCATTTCAATTCCCATGGAAAACAGTCTTTCGCTTCCGTGCCCAGAAGTCATGGGAAACCATCTGTAACAATTTTTTTTAGCATGGTAAAAATTCATGGAAACCCAACTCTAAAATGTTTTCAATTTTTGGAAGTCATACACTTTTTTGTTGGCCCTGGATCCCATAAACCAGTAACGTTCAATGCACTTTGGAAATGATTCAAGATGATAACGATGATAGATGCTAATCAAAGTTTTAGTTTCGTACATAACCCAAGTCATAACTAAGAATAATATTATTGCTCTACTAGTTAAGAATCCATGTGGAAAAACAGTGAATTTCTGTAAATTGATCAAGGCTGAAACTATTTTTCGGTTCTGTTATTTTAAGACCACGGTAACAACACGGTACCAGAAACAATCATTACCTTGGAATCCTAGGGCATGCATACCTGCTCTTTCTGAACTTGTTTCATCTAATATAATTCCAATCATTTTCTTTCCCAATCCACATATTCCTTAAATTGGTGAATCCCACTTCCCGGGCCGCAGTCATATCCTGTACCCTGCACCATATTTTGGTCAAATCCTGGATCCTCAGAATAGATGCCCTCCAAACCCTGACGTAGCTGTTTTGCTCATGAAGTCAAAAAGTATATATATGATTGCAGGAGGGGATCATGCCCTAACCAATGAATTTGTAAATCACTTTTTGCTTTTTGATTGGCTGTATTTTTTGTGTTGGCTGGGATAAATTTGGGTGGTCCTAATAAGCTCTGAGTCAATAGCCCATGAGCCCGAAGGCCAAATGGCTTAATTGACTGAGAGGCCATCAGTAAAATCCAACTAATTGGCCAAAAATATTGAGACAAAACAACTTTAGTTAGCAAAACGTGATTCAACTGCCATTGCTTTGGTTTTCAAAGCCGGTGCTTTTCGCTACTAGTGGGTGATAACATATAGCCTAGAAGTAGCGCAACCAATCAGAATGCAGCATTGATAATAGACCACTAGTTGGATTTTACTAAATGTCATATAGTCTTGAACCTTCCACATCTTCAGTAGACTGGCCAAGTCATGGAAAAATTATTTGTCATTTTTATTACCTTTCTGATAGCTATAGGTGAATTAAATCCTTTGGCGTTACCCAGAGCCAGATCCAGACCTTGAGATAATGCGGGGACCCGGTCTCCCCCAAATTTTTCGGCCCTTTGAGCCTCAGTTTGGTCTAAAAATAAGGGGGAGCCCGGGCCCCTCCCTTGATCTGCCAATGCTACCATTCAAATGTAACCTCTTTGACAGAGCTTTTGCATGTTCAGGGGTGGATCTAGGAATTTTCTTACGAGGGGGTGCACCACTAAATGACTGATGACGTAAAAAATTTTAAAAGCGAATACGAAGAAGAGGGCTTTTGACTAGGAAATAACATAATGTGAACTGCTGAGAATACATATCAAACGATAGAGCAGATTTTGTATGACTGTGAAGCGACTGCACAGTGTTGATTAAAAGGAGGTCATCCGAGCACCCTCCCCCTAGATCCACCTCTGATGTTAATATTTATTTCTAAGAATTTACCACAAGAAATTAATTGACATGTTTGCATTTTTCAGTTAACTATAAAGGATGAGAGGGTTTACTTACAGCTGTCTTCGCAAAGGGCCTTGCCATTAGGAACAACAACCAATAAAACCAAGAGTTCTTTGGCAGCGATGTGTAGATAAGATTGCCAGGATGCACTGCATTGCATGTGACTCCTTTTGATTTCAGACGGCGATTGAGCTCCATGGAAAACAACAAGTTGCAAAGTTTGGACTGGTTGTAAGCAACAATAGACCAGTATTTGTCTTTGGAGAGTGGAACATCTGATAGATTTAACCTTTTGGAGTAGCTCAAGTCGGGAAACCTGGTAAAACGAACATAATCAGCCTCACGTTCGCTGTTATTACAATCACTACTGCCTCTATTGAAAAATTTCTTTTTCATTTTTGTTTTTCTAATGCCTCTTGTTATGTTCAAAATCATTCTTCATTCACCATGAATTTTGTAACACTGATCATCTTCTTTGGGCTGCCTTTGATTTACATCACCATTCATAATAATCAAAAGTCTAGTATTCAAATGTCAGTGTGGATCCCGGGTCACTTTCAGAGTACTGACTTGAACAATGAAAAAAATGAGGTTGAGCATGGGTGCCCTGGAGGACAGAGGTGCCAAGCAGATAAGAGATGAGCACAATGTATACATAGCAACCAGAGAGGGGTAACCACCAATCAACACCCCCAAGGTGCTTGGCAAGTAAATAAAGGATCTGTAAACTGACTGTAAACGACTACACCAAGTTGAACTTTAACTTAGAAAGAGAAAGGAGAACAATGCTAAATTTCACTAAACTACAGAAGTGATATACCAACCTATGGGATTCAGAAGTGAGAACAACTACTCTGGCAGGAGAAGAGGAACAAAGAATATCCCCTAATAACTGAACCAAGTAAAAATGACCAAGGTGATTGATTCCAAAGGTGCTTTCAACTCCGTCTTCTGTCTTTTTCCATGATGAACTAAATACTGCAGCATTGCAAATTAAGATGTGAAGGGGACTGTTTAAAATGGGAAATGAAACAAAGACATTATTTTTAGAAACATGTATCTGAAGGGCCTTTGGATTTCTATTCAAAAAGAGATATATTTATTTATTATTATAGCCACCATTGTAATAAACAAAAAAACTTAGCTAAACTTCGAAACCTCCAGTACCCATGCAACCTGTGGGGAGGTCACCTGATTATAACTGCAAAAATATTGGTAAACTTTGTGGAATTTTCTGGAAGTCACAGTCAGTGTATGGCAAAAACGTCTGATATGAGAAGCAAATTATGCAGTTTTTCTGGGGCTATATTTTGCCTAGAATAGTAAATCATTTTAGATTCAAAACAACATTAACATTAATAATATTTGAGGTTCTGCAAAAGAATTATTTTCAAAGCAAAATTATTAATAACCTTATTAGTATTAAATTTTATGTATGCCTGTTTTTGTCTAGGTAATGTACTTTTTAATTAATGAGGTACATGTCCCTGTGGATGGAATGCAATAATTATTAATGTGATTTGACATCAATTATGTGAGATCAAACCACCACATACAAAAATCAGAAGCTGCACTGTTATGAATAAATCCACTGTTGCAAAAACATTATTAAGACTTACAGTTTTCTTTGTCTAAATTGTTCTGCAAAGCTTCTGATGCTTGCAAAGGAAGCTAAGTCCAGCAACATCGCCTCAACATAAGCTTCAGGAGTCTTGGAGGAAACAATAATGTTTTTGTGAGAAAAAATGTTGTTTTTGTCTTGTCTTGAGCATGTGACAGAGAAAAAAAAACACCAAGATTCAGCAGCAGGGGAACTCTATAGGTGAGCTATGCTGTCCATTTACTAGGCATGGCCTAACAGTATTGTTAGCTGCTTGAATGGGATGGGTTCATCGCATGGCAGATATGTCCGATATCAATTTCAGGGAATTTTGTGGGTGTAATGTATCAGACCCTATCTATTATGTGTCATTTATCTTCTAAGTCTGGTTACCCTATCTTTCTTGCTGCCTCTAGTTGTTTCAGGCAGCCTGTACCCTTCTTTGTTTTTGCTAATACTTTGTGACGAGTTACAAATGTATAAACAATTGATTTTGGGGTGAAAAATATATTATTGTTTGGTTGATGGTTCTTGGAGATAATTCAGCACCTTAAAATCTAGAGAGGAAGTAGAATTTAGGCTGACATTCAGTCATTTGCAGGGTTGTCAAGATTAGCCGGCTGCCGGTGAAATTCGCCGCCTGCTTGGTTAGTATCGGCCAGCTACTCTGCTTGGCATTTCTTTACGGATGGCGTCTTTTAAATAAAATATCCATGGACTGGCCGCTTTCTTTGACAACTCAGCTGTGTACTTCAAAACTTTCTGACAACGCTGCACTTGTTATTTAAATGACTGTTAAATTGGAAGACAAGCGGTATAAAAATATCTTCTAGTTGGGGAGAACACCTCCATAAAATTAAAACATTTTAAATTGACTGGTATTTCGCTTAACAGATATCAATTACCCATAAACAAATTAACAGACCTGTGTTGTTCTTATCAATACAGCTGCCTTGCTTGCTTTGTTCATGTCTCTGCAGGCTAAAATCACATGAGCTCCGTGAAGTGCAAGTGCTTTGGCTGTTTCAAAACCTGACAAAGGTAAGAAGCTGGATGCGTTCATTTTGTCAATTTCTAGCCTGTGTACATGTATGCTTCTCCATCCATCTCCAAATTATAAAGTCAATTTTTAGGGGAGGAGGTTGATGTATACAGGTATGGCAATGTTTAACAAAGTTATAATTAATTATTAACCTTGTTCCTTTTGGTTTATTTTGTTATATCATTTACTTAGGTTTGCCAGTTTTGGCAGGGTCACCACAACAGCTCATGGTGTCAATTACTGCAGGGGCGTAACAATTCCCCAGCTACCCCTATGAGAGAAAGACCACACCACCAGGGTCTACCTCCCCTACTCTTTTTAAAATGGAGTGCGAGTTCCTTATGTCACCTTCCATTATTTATATGACAGGATGAAGGAGACAAGGCCTGGCTTGGCATCACCGCCCAGTGATGCAATCATCTTATAGATGAGGTGGTTGACGTTGAGTGATACTGCAAAAGATTTTAGATCTCTGGAGAATGGCAGCCCTGCTTGTTCATGTACCACACATAACTAACAACTTAACAGTGTAAATTAAAAGTATCCCTTTAAACACTTACCAATACCACTATTGGATCCTGTCACCACAGCAACCTTTCCAGTTAGGTTCTCTCCATTTAAAACATGCATGGCATTAGAGTAGCCATCCAGCCTTTTTGTGTGATAATTACTAGGATTTTTTCCAAGCCTTGGATCAGTATGACTTGTACGTCTGTTTACAACACTGCAAACAAAGTATATGATGCAATCCATGGGTCTTTAAACTATATACACTCAGATAAAAAAGGTGGTGATACCTTTAATCTACTGATAAAAAATGTTGAGTGAAACTAATTTTTAAGATGTGAAATACTTTCTCAAACTTAAATGTTTTATTGCTGATATTAGTAAGCTATGTTGATGACTTACTCAAAGAAGAAAACATTGCCTTTACTGTCATATTGCTTCTGCCAGCCATGTGGAAGGTCTAGAGAGAAAACAGAAATCAATGTAAATGTGAAAAAGCTTTTGCCAGGTGTTATGAAGCCAGTACATGCCTTATAGTCTATGGCGACTGAAGTAATAATCTTCTGAAAATTAACTTAGTTTCTTATGTGTGCCTTCCCATGATCAATACAGCTTTATATATGGGTGGCTATCATTATAAAAACTCTTTTTTTCTGATGTTGGATTAAAAATATAGTTAGAGCCACCTACTTATAATACCAGCTTAATCACCTTCACTGAGAACAGACCTGACCAATTGAGATGAACATGGACAGGACTTGCAGGACCCATGAGAGGTCTGTTGTGCTCAGGTGTGAAATGAGTACTGGCAACATACTGCTGCCAGTAACTCCCATCCAGGGAGTAGTAGCACTGTTTTTTTTACAATAACAGGGATTTCACACACTGATTATTGGAGAGCTATGGTTGCTGAGAGTAGGAAGGAGACCATAGAAATGATGTGATGATGGCACACATTGTTTTCTCTTTCTCTTACACATGATTTTCCAAGAAACTTCACAGGAAATGGATGTCAAAAACTGTCAGTGAAACCACTTGCCTGCAGCTTGTGGTTGCATATGAGTTTTAAACAATGTGATGTCGGACTAGACCGCCAGTGGTCGTCTTCTTTTCTCGGAGCCACGTGCAGTGAGCGAAGAAGTAAAATTATGCAAATTAATGGAGAAAAAGGAGGAGAGATTGGGGTGAAGAGAAGAAAAAGGATGACCATGGAGGTCTTATTGTGTTTTGAATTATTGTTTTAGTGAAACGGAAATTCCTGATTGGTGGGCTACCTGTCAATATGTCAATGACAAAAACATCTCAGTCCGAAAAGGGTCCAATTTTCACTCCCGCTCCAACTTTCATAGCTCATACCTGACGATGAAAGGTAAGTTTCAACTGGTTTGCCGGTCTATAACGTAGGCATTGTGAGGCTCTTTCGCCTATTCACTTTTTTCCTCGCCTTCTTTGAGGAACCCTACCATCACCTCACAGATAACTAAAGAACTAATGTTCCAAACTAAACAGCAGTGAACAGACAATCGAAAACAAGCTGTTTGATTACAGGAAAAAGCACACGAAACGTTGTCAATTATCAGAAAGGAAGGAGCTGGCAATGACCGCAATTAGGGAGGTGTGCAAAGCAGCAAATTGCCAGATAAAAGATCCCATTACAGTCTCTTATTTTTTCTTTGCTCGGGCTTCTGCCGGGTGGCCCTTGTTCTTTGCGGCTTTGCCCTTCGCCCCTCACGTGTGCTCTCAGTTTACTGCTGTTGATAACAGCAAAGACCATAGAAAATGGCTGTTGATTTTTTAACCAGTAGCTCAGTGCTTACCAAAACAGTCATAAATTATGGCTGATAGGGAAGCATGCCCTTACTTTCTTAGATACTTTCCAAGATATTTTTTCAAAAAATATTCCGGATACTGTATACTTGCTATGAGTCTAGTGTGCAAAAACTGCCACCTCCATTCGCTCCTTGCTGCTATAAGGACGTTTCACAGGAGAGAGATCTGCCCCTCAATGACAGAAATGCCATATTGATTATGTAAATCATTGTTTACATTGTTAATCTGGTAGTCAGGGGGTTCCAAATGTAAATTTGACAAGTTTATGTTTCTCCTGGTCTATTATGGTAAAGTTTTGAGCTACCCAGGGTCATGGTCATGTAACTCTCTTAATTTACAGGACTGTAAAATATGAATAAATACATTAACTTAATATTGTAAACAATTTCCACTTCATGAACAATTATTATTGACCTGAAGTTGTTTACCTCCAGTGACTTTGTATCTTTTTCCTGATTGGGGATGCTCCCACTGAGTAGTTTTTGTCAAATGACTGATAATTGAACAAAATACTGGTGAATATATGAGCTTAAGCTTTAATAAGAATAAATGTAATCTTATATAAACCTGAAAGTCTTAAGTACATTGATTCCGTTTTAAATTAAAGCTAAAAGCTTGGTTACGTTTGGCTTGATTTAATCCAAATCTGTTGATGCCTCTATGAAATTATACCTCTGAGGATATTACGCACATGCAAGCCACATGTAGATCGCAGTCGAAGAAAGTTTACTTACTTTTTTAATGAGCAGTTCAATACAATGATCGACGTGCAACACTGGCAAAAGGCTTGCTCTCCGTAATAATAAACAAAACAAAGTCTTACTTTACGTAATAGATCCTTCCATCGTCCACTGTTCTTATTTCCCATCCGGGAGGCAAATTCTCTTCCGAGAATAACTGATCATTTACAGAAGGTTCATCGAAAGACAGTTCATCTGCCATGTCGGAATTCATCAACCGCGGAGGGACCGGGACGAGTTAGCCTGTGTAATTACGCCTTACGCCCCCCTACTCCCCCTCCCCTCAGTGAAAAATCGACTGTGGGGAGGGTGCGTCTAGCACAGAAAGGCCCGGAGAGAAAGAGTCACCTGGCCCAGGGCTGTAATGTGATGCCTTTGAACCTTTTTCAGGCAGCAGAGGTTTTTTCTAGCCTGCTTAGTTTGGCGATTTTGGTTGAGAGGGAAAAGTAAATAAAGGCGGGCGAGGCCCGGGGGGACGAGGGCAGAGGTTGCCTCCCCGCTCAACTCCCCGCAGAGGAGAAATGAATGCGTGACGAACGAACCCCAAAGAACGTCTGCAGGGAGGCTAGGACAGAGAAACCGCGAGGAGATTGCCCCTCGTTCGCGCGCGTTTTTGCGGCCAGGCGCTCAGTCGTACTCCCGACAAAACTGTAATGCTCCCGAAAAAACAGCCATGCTACGCAGGCCAAGGTCTTTCTGAATTCATTTACGACCATTTAGAGCAACTGACAAACCCCAACTGAAGGTGAAGGTGCCCTCCTCCCACCCCATCGCAAAAAATAGATTGGTCCACAGGGTTCCAACTTCGATGAAAATGTTCTTAAAAACCTGGGCACCCTGTCAGAACATTACACACAATAATATGGATTCTTGGCCTCCTCTAGTAGGAATTAGTCTGCAAGAAAGCTCTCCACTACAGTAACCGAGTTCATTAACATGACTTTTCACAAATTCACTTTAATTAATTTCTTTTTTGAGTGGAAAACAATATTATTTCTAAAAGTGGGAACATAAGACGAACCGTGAAAGCTATGTGTATTGGGTAATGGGTTGGGCTTCAGGGTACCCTCGGTTTAACTGATCCATGACATATTCCTGTATCTGAGTCCATACCCGTCTCTTTTATCAGTACAGAGCAAAATAAAAGTGCAACTACTATTCCTTTAATAAGCTTTTATTAATACCTTCAATGTGGAAAAGAGCTAGTCTTGAACTGTACTTTACAGAACTGTACATGATTCGGGCATTAACTCATAAATGCCAGAAAACAACACTGCTACCAGCTAATTATGTTAACTTTGTTAAACTACATAAATTAATATCACCCATCTTAAAATCGGAGACAAACTTCTTCGTTGTCATCTAAATGAAGCGTAAACACAACAATAAAACAACAACTGTAGTGCTAAGCACAAATAAAAAGCTAAAACTGGTAAAAACAACCCATCTGTAAAACTAAAAGTATTATGACAATATTATAGTACAATAATAACACGTTTTGAAAGATATGGTACAAGCTACAAAATGTCTGTAAACTGATTTCTTTTTAAAGAAAACAATACACTAATGTCCACTGCAAGAAGGGTAACCATGTGAATGCAGGTCTATTAATGCAAAATATGTTGACATGCCATGGTACCAAAAGAGCACACATTTTGAGTGTTGATGACATCAGATCTTACAGTATCTATACTCTGATTTGATTTGTACTAGGCGACCCATGCTACAAAAAGCAAACATTTGACTTGAACTTTTCAATATCTCATCAAGTAAATGAGCTTACAACACCATTCTGACAGTCAACTCTGTATTATCTGAACAAAAGCACAGTTACTTAGATGAAGAATGGTACAGTAATTCAATAATGGCATTTTGCACTGAGCCACCACTACAGCTTCTATGTTTTGTTTTATGATTATGGTTTAATACCAATATTTTGTGTCAAACCGAAAATAAATACTTTTGACACTGAAACACAAAACACAACAACCAAATCTAGCCAAATATCCACTGACCAAAACAAATCTAAATGCTACAGGAATCCCCTTAAATGTAATAGTAGCAATCAGACAACTTCAGTAACACTGGTCAAGGACATTTCCATGCAAATGTTGATGCTTTCTAAGATACGATGATTGGTGAACTCCTATCAAAGACAAAGGAAAAACATCATAATATTACAACACTTTTGTGTGACAACAAGGTGTCCATGGTAGCAGAGATCTCAATGTCAAGAAACAGATGCATTTAATTTCTAATGATTAAATACCTAGAGGTTTCCTCATCTTGTAGTCATAACAGCCAAAACAGCAATAAAGAGAATTTGTATGAACATTTTTTAATACCATAGGTCACATTGAAAGTAGAAGCCAGAACCTCTGACATGTAATGACACACATGAAAGAATATCGGTTTCAGAATTATAAAGCAGCTTAATGTCCCCAAACGTTTAAAGCCTGTGGCCCTCACTGACAGCAGGGAACAAGAAGACCTGACTATTTTAAAAAAAGCTTTCACTTTTGTTGAAAGACACTGAGTAAAAGAAAAATTATATTGATAACTTGCGACACACACCTGTTTAAAGAAGACTCCTCAAATTCAGTGTCCATAGGCTCCATTTCAAACTGTTCACCTTCATCAGACTGGTACTGCGCACTTGAGCTAACAACAAATCATTGTTAACAAGTCACCATAAGACCTTATTTATATAAAGAAAATGCAGTACAGTCCAAATTGTCTGTTCTCAATTTATGGTGCTGGTTGAAAAAACTAGTAGTCCCAAAGTAATTAATTTTTTCACACCAAGAGAATATAATGGTTTGCAAAAAATGGCATAATACCACTTTTTAACAAATAAATGCTGATCACAAATAAACTTAAGACTTACAGTGTATAATGCCCAAGTTTGAAATACTGCATGGCTAAAAATGTGTATATTAAAATGGATATGATGCAATGTTTGTCACTTACTACAAGACATTGTTGGAAAATAAATGTGGTTGCACATATACCTCACCACTTTCACATTTCTAGTCTTTCCCTGTTGCCCTTTATAACTATAAGTACTAAGTTGTAAAATGGGACAAGATTTAAGGTCAGCCAGCCAAAATTGTACAGCATTGTTTCAAAAATTATATTAAAGCTGGCCTTGATTCAAGAATTAACAAGCCATAAACTTCCGGCCCCGGTTGTTCAAATGCTGGATAGCGCTATCCACCGGATAAATCACTATCCAGCGGCTAAGTATTACGAAATCAATTACGCTATCTGCTGGATAGTGATTTATCCGGTGGATAGCGCTAACCGACGTTTGAACAACAGGGCCCAGACGTTTACATCACTATAATTATGTGACTGTCAATGTTACTGTCTGTATCTCACCATGTACCATCACTTTACTTATAACTGTTGTTACCTTGTTGCCCTACATGTAAAGAACAAGATTCTTTTCATTTTCTTGTTGTAGAAGAAGTAGTTGAAGGACCATAGACTACCCTCTTCACCGTAAGGATCTGAATCAAGATCAGGGTTATAACTACAAAAATGAAAGAGATACGTGTATGAGGAAATGATTAGTTAATGGGAACTGGAATGTGCAAAGTATTAGACTGGGAACATGTAATTCAATTCACTGGCAGGAGATCTGACTATTACACCACAGCCACTGAAAAGTGGAGTTTGAAGAACCTAAAAGGAACAAGTAAAAACCGTATCTCTGTATCTTCCTCCACTTTCCTATAGTGTGCTTTTTTGGTAACCTGATCATGTGTAATAAAAAGCATTAATAAAACTACTGAGTGTAAATCAATTTACTCACACAAAAATACAGTTATAAAGCAAAAATTGATTATTTCAGAAAATACTACTTGTTGTAAACTCAAACTCAAAGGAAGAAGGACAACAGGCACGAAACGTTATTTCTCTCTGTTCTTTGTTGCAATAGTTTGGTCATTTCATGATCTGTTGTTAATAAGGAGCAGGTGTGACAACAGCTTGTGGCACAATACTGAACTCTTTATGTTATACATGTAGAATGTGTTTTATTCACCACAATGCAGGTATATCACATATTACCTGTCTTGAAAATGTTTTCAACAAAATTGTTAAAATGCTTTTCTGTGGCAATGAAACTGTAAAATGTGAAAAAAATTAACTTTCGGGCTTCACTTAAGGTTGGTTCATGCTTGGCTGACTCAGGATTGCATTTGACGCTTGAAATGACCAAACTCAATATTTAAAGTTACCTGAAAATATCACACTCTGCAAGATTTATCTCTTCATCCACAGCAGCCCATAACCCAGTCTTCAGCGCCACAAAAGGCTCCCCAACATTTGCTGACAAATTCCCGTTAATTGTGTCTATGACAACTCGCAGATTTGGCTCACGAGAGAATTCATGAGACTTAACATTGCTGAAGTCATAGTCAGGATTGAATGCCGCATTCAGTGTTGATATCAAGTAAAATAACATCTTACGACTGATGGTGTCGCACAATACTGCTTCTTCCTGGCTTCCTGTGCTAAGTGTCCTCGGTCGCATATTGGCCAGAATACCAGGGTAACTGCTGTTTGTGGGCGATATACTACCTGGAGTAGTGGTTTGAAAGTGTGTTTGGGGTGGTGATAATGCTTGAAGTTCATTGGGACCACTGCCTTCATTTAGAGTTTTGTATAATTTCTTGTCACTACCCGCCATCTTGCAAGAATAGCTTTCAATTCTAAGAGAAGATAAATAAACAGGAGAAAGAAGAGTCATATATTAACATATCATGTTATGTAAGAACTTAGTTTCTTCGCCTCAAATGATGTTTTGAGTATATTACACATGTACCAGTCATTTATCAGAGCGAGTCCAGAGATTGTGCCTATTCTGTGGTTTTTATGGTACAGCCTAGGTATGAAGACCAGTCACATGCCCTTTCATCCTTTCAAAGCATTCTAACCAAACATGGCAATGTGTAGACTTCACTTCTCACACCAAGGCAACACCAAAAGTGGCAAAAAATATAGAACAAAAATTTATCTTCTAAATGTTCACTCTTAATTCCTATGAAAATCAAAGAACACTTTCATTCAGCTACAGCTGTAATATATTGTTGTTTTTTGTATTACAGGGCTCGAAATTGCGACTGATACAGTCGCCAATGCGACTAACATTTTCTCTTTGGCGACTAAAAATTCTGGTTAAGTCGCCAAAGTGGCGACCAGATTTTAGAAGAGTAAAATTAAAACAAACATTTCATCTTATCTTGCTTTGCTTTCATCATGAAAAATGTGACAAATCGCATAAACAAAGCCATTTTACCTCCAAATTTATACCGACTTCATGATATTTTCAAATCTGATGGATCGCGCCATAACATGCTGGGCTTCTGATAGGTAGCGGAAAAAAGTCAAATTTCGCGGGATTTTTAGGGGCGAATTCGCAGAAAAATCGGCCGATTTTGCGGCACTTTTGCGGGAATGTTTGGGGCAAACTTCACCGAAAATCATTCGGTAAAAAAGGCTGATTTTGTGGTTATTTTTGAGGGAAAATTTTGTCAGATATCGATCGGTTTTGCGCCGATCAGACCAGCGTTTTAAACGTTTTTCTAACAGAGGTCATCATTTGCTCTTTCAACAACAATACGCTCGAGAAACGAACCAATGGCAAAGCCTTTAACATCATGGCTAGTGCTCAGTTTTTCGCAACATAATCTACGCCTGGTAGTTTCGTGACGTTATTTGCACGTTTCAGTGACGAAGTATCAAGATAAATTTGCAAGTTTACGGCAAGTAAATAGCCCCAATAGCTGAGATAAGTTTCAAATATGTTGTGCAGACATGTATTAGATAAGATTTCCACTGAATTTCGCAGTATTTCGCGTGTTTTTGTGAATTTCGCGGCTCCGCTCCTGCTCGAAATATCGGAAGCCCTGTACCTATGAGCTGCGTCATTTACATTTTACAAACTGGCGACTAAAAATTTGCATCTGGCGACTATATTTCTCGGGTTGGTCGCCAAAGGCGACCTGGAGATTTTTTTAATTTCGAGCCCTGTATTACCATATTACCAACTATGATGTACATCCACCACATTTTGATATACAGTTATTTCTAGAAAGGTTGTCAGAAAAACTGTGCATGCAACAATCCCGAAAGGTAATATGGGATATGATCAATACACTGTTGCTGACATTGTAGCCGTCGAACCTACTTTTGTTGCTTTCCTTTAGCACTCACTAACATACGTCCATGGCCCCTCTTGCCATTCTTTGAAATTTCTTTGAAAAAACTGTGATCTAAAAACCACCCACAATACCTTTCGGGATTGTTGCGTGCACTTTTTCCGACAACCTTTCGCAAAATAGCTGTATAAACTGCATAAAACCCACAATCCACTGAGTTGCTCTGATGAAAGTCTTGTGCTTGAAACTTCTGCTTTATAATTTCTTTACAGAGGTAAATTAACTCTTAGACCAAATTTTTCAGGTTTGATATATTAAAATTCTAAAATGACTCCGATGCTTTCCGGTCATTTTTCTATATTTGGTTTGGTTTCTTTGTGCTCAAGTCTCTTCTGGGAATTGCGACACAATGGAGTCATGTAAAATTTGCATTTATGACCCTAAAGCCTCGGAGTCGTATTTTTTTAAATACATCAAACTTGGGCAATTTCCCACTGACACAGCACCATACATTAGTTTCTCTGGTAACCAAGCCCTCCAGTCTCATTACATGAACATATCACGAGGTAGAGACCGCAGTTGTTTACCATATGCAAAAAGTTTCCAGAAAATCCAGTTGGCAAGCAAATGGAACATGACTTTTCAGGTCATTCCAATTAAAAAAACTTCTGTGAGCAACAGAATTTCTGAAAAGAAAAGGTAACGTTTTTGTGTTCCAAATGTTCCAAGCAGAAATTCGTGTTCCATTTTCATCGAAGTCACCTTTGATACCAGTTTCAGGCTTTCGTAGCTGTTTTTTGGGAAAATGGATTTGATTTGTGCAAATGGTGAACGAGATTAAAGGACGATATTTGCCAGTCATGAATTTTGCGTACCATTTGCCCAAACCGTGAATCGATATCCGTTTGCCCTTGTATTTTGGTAAACAATCCCCTCGATTTGTCCTCTCTCCGTCAGCGGAAAGTCCCGTGATCGACGGAAAACAACACATTTACACAATGGCTCAATCTGTATCTGGCATTGTTTTTCTCTTTATCGATCATTACCCTTCTCAAAAATATATGACAATTAAAATAGGCGAAGGGTTAAATTGAAACACAGCGTTTGTACATAGTCATCGACCGAAATAAAATCAAATCACGAAAACGAAATTAATCTAGTGTAAAAGTAGAAAAATAATATTGGTTTTAAGCCTTGTGTTCGTTCATATGGCAGAAAATCAGCCGTAATACTGCACGTCTTGCCTCAGAGAAATGCAGTCAGTTGGATCACTTTGACAGCTAAGCTTATTTAGAGCAAACAATAAAGTTAGCTTATAACTGTAAGACGACAACCGACATCTTACCTTCCCTCGATCTGGCTGTCCCCTGTGTTGGTGGAAATTGCTGCACTAAGCGTATCCAACCGGGCGTTTGCCAAAAGCTTCATGATTTCTTTGTGCTCTTGAGATTCGCTTCTTGTCGCTTCCGAACGAAGCTAAGGAGGTTGTATTTTCGCAGCTTCAGTTCCTCGACGTCTGTTGATCAAACCTCGCTTCTAGTGAGCTTAACAGAGTCTCTGCTGGTTTTGTAACCGCTCAATAAACGAACTAATACTGGACTTCTTGTTAATCGAATGGTGTCGGGGCTTCCTTCCACTTTGGGCGCCAAACTTCTCTACAAAGAAATTGAGGATGGAACTCGGCTTGCTCGGATGCATGTAGAAGATTTCCTCCAGTGATAAAAAACTCCTCAATATAGCCCACAATATTGCGAGCCAATACTTAAAAACCAGGTCTTGGGAAAACTGTGCTTATTGACAAGGCTTGAAATCGATTTGAAACGCGAAAATTTATCTTCAAAGACGAACAAAATGGCGAATAAACAATCTTTGCAGAAACTGAAAGATGACGTCATTGCTCTTAAATAAAGAAAATAAAGAGAACAAATGGAAGGGAAATGGAATGAAATGTTGTGGACGCGAGACAAAATCCGCTTATATGCGGCCCTAAAAAGGACAGATGCTCGTATACAAGTTATTTTTGATGACTTGATTAAAATAATGGAGACCTTTAGATTCGAGGCCAAGAATGACTACGAAAACGAGATTTGACTTAGATACCCAAGAAAGCTTCATTACCCAAAAAGTTATCACTGTACATCAGGGGCTCCTGCTGTACATGTTATCTTTACTGAACGAGGCTACGCCCTCTGCCTGCCGATCGCAAAATGATAAAACTTCTAAGATTTGATAACTTGTCTATCACGTTTTCCCGCCAAAACGACGCTGGTTCCACGCGTGTGAGGAAATCTCGTACTCGTAGTCATCCTACAGGTCAATGTCTGATTGGCCACTATTGCGTCATAAAATGAATAGTTAAATTGCAATTAGTACGTTTATTAACTCAGAGCAGATTACAGCAACGAAAATAATCCATTACATTATAAGAGCGAATAACAAGAAAGGTATGGATGTTCAGCAAAAGCCAAACGAAAGCGTCCCTCGACCATTTTTAGACGAAGCCAAACTATCAAAAAACGAGAGAGCACAACTTATTGAAAAAGTTGTGGAGCGCTTAACAAGTACAGGATCTGACAAAGTACCTGATTCAAACAGGACTGGAGCTGCCAAAGAAATGGGTATCATGAACAGTTTTGCATGGAGAGGATGGTAACCAAGTTACAAGACAGTGAAAGAAATTAGCAGTAGCTCGTCTGACCCGAGGCTGAAATCTGGGAGCGCCATTATTGAACAGTCTGGCATGATCACTAAATGATGCTGCTTGCGTCTCAGTGCGCTATAAAAGAAGAGCTAAAGAAGACTTTTAAAACACGAGAGAAGTCCCGGCATTTCTAGACAGCTGAACGCAGAACATTTAAGGTCAACTCTAGTTGGGTTAGCTTTATCAGTTATGAGTTATTTCAGTGTTGCTTGTAATATTGTTTACCCCCCTGATAAGACAAATCCACTCGTGCAACATTTCACAAATAAACGCACGACTAAATATACTTTTGATTATTGGTGATATACTTTATTTAACTTTTTAGTTGTATCAGCAATATATATTTTTGATTCAAACTATTTAACGTTCTAAAAGCACACCATTTTTTAGACTTAGCCCGAGAGCAAGCTCTCAGGGGCGCTGGCGCTCTTGCAGCGGCGCGCCCCATCCCAGAGCGCCCCGGAGATCTTGCTAGCGGGCTATTCTTCTCCTAGGAACTTCTATATTACAAATTGTAACGCTAATGCTGGAATGAGAATGCCAAAAGTAACAGAAGAATAGTTCGCAATGACTACACTACTGCATATATTGCGCTTGAACAAATACTCTCGGCCTTAATAAAGTAGTAGTCGAAAACACCAACTGGTAATCAACTGGCATAGCTCCAATCTATTTTATTTCAACAGTTTTTTTTTCTCAGTTAGCTGTATTCAACTATAAATTTTTGGTGTCAAGATTACTATCCTCTTTTTCATAAATTATGCTCCAGCGAAGGTTAACTTCATCCTCCTTCAGATCACACGGTCAGGGACTAAATGTGGATGTGAAAATTGCTGGAATGAATAATAAAAAGAATCCCCATGACAATTCAGTTTCAACGTATTTAAGTAGAAACATTGACATAAATCGGAATTTCATGACGGCGCGCGCAAATCAAATAACTGGGCTGACCAATGGCAGAGCGGCAAATTGGGCACCGGAAGTCGTGTTTAGTCCTTTCCGCGCGCTTTTCTGTCGTCAACTGACGTTCCCGTCCTGTTGCTAAATCAGCCTACTAAGACTCTCCCGCGACCGTTCTGTGACCGCTTAACATAAGAGACGACTGGGAACGAATCAGCTTTCTTCGTCAACTGACGTTCCCGTTCTTTTGCTAAATCAGCCCATTGTATCTGGTGCGAAGGAGACGATGGGAAGGTAACATAGGAAAGGAAGAAACTCTTTCCCTTTTCATCCCCAGGGCTTCCTTTAACCGCGCAGTTGACGAAGGCTCGCGCAAATCAAACAACTGGCTTGACCAATGGCAGAGCGGCAAATTGGGCTCAGGAAGTCACCTGCAGTCCGTTTGGCGCGCTTTCCCATCGTCAATTGACGTTCCCGTTCTGTTGCTAAATCAACCTAATTAAATAGGAAACCGAGAGACGACTGGGGACAAGTCAGCATAGGATGGTTTAATCGACAGGAAACAGGACCCCATCAATTGATGGGCTCCTCACAGGAAACTAAGTCCGGCATCAATCAGCAACGGAGAATAGAACTCACTTCATGAATTCTGGTGATCTCGCTATAACGTTTTCAAATTCCGCAAAAGATAACAGGCCGTCTTCGTCCAGGTCTGCTTCCTCTAACAACTGTTGAGACAAAAAGGACAAGCTAAGTTTTAAATGTTTTCAAACGTTCTGCCAATCGTCATCAAGGCAACTGGCGAGAAGGGACTAGTGAGAGACTGATGCAGGGTACAGGAGTGGCTCCTGAGGGTATTATACTTTCTCAATAGTCCTTCGCTTCTCATTTCCGGTTTCGATCACAGGCCCGAGTGCGAAATACCGGCTCTCAAACTACAACTTTGGACAGAACAAAATGGAACAGCAGACCACAACGCCATTCCCTAAACAGATCAAGGATGAAGCCGCGCGATGGTCAAAGCGGACCTTTTTCCTATCCTTGATGAATTTAGCAGGGCAGGTCTTTCTACATGCATTTTGTCCAAGACTGCAATCATGGACAGAATCAGAACGAAACGACAGCAAAAAGATATAGATCTAGAGGACGAAAGTTTCGACCCTATTTTAATTTGTAAAATCAAACGAACGCCAACCACCGGAGGAGGGTCCGTGCATGTAGTAGATAGCCTGTTACAGGCTCCGAAATAGTGGTGAAAAGTCGTTCAGAAAAAAAATGCGAAAAACGCTACACAATTTCAATTTGAAAAGCATCAATTGAATTCTCTACCCGAAGAGTAAGCACGGTCAAGTAATTAGCACACGTGACTAGATTTTTACCAGAAAATGCACGACATCGTTTACCTTATCAGTGACAAACTCCATCTCTTCGTCGGAAAGTTCATTTGCTGTGATGGCTCGCAGGGTCAGTTTTAAGTCTTCCTTACCAAGATAATTGTCGCCATCAAAATCTTGATAAAGCAGAAATAGATTTTAAAAGTAGAGCTACCCAGTTAGTGCCTTATCTCAAAAAGTGAGCAGATCAAAGTGAAGTGAGGAGTACGGTGCCAGGGAAATCACCCAAGAAAGAATTTAAAAGAGAAATTTGCCGACTTAAAATATAGATATTTTAGTAAAAGAAAATGACTTATAATAGAAACACCTATCATTATACAAAAAGTTGGGCTTGCTAAATATATAAATAATTAAGTGTTTATAAAGTTTCAACTGATTTCCTCTTAAACGTCTAACCTTATCGTTGCCTTAACTCTGTGTTTATGTAATAATACTTTACAGCTGTAACAGTTAATTAACCCTCAGTTTTTCGTCCGTCCCGCCTAGATTATTAGCAGTTGCTACCTGCGGGTCAATGCAAATACTTAAGTTAAATTCTTGAAATAAAGTTTTTTGTTGTTGTTGTTGTTTAAGTCATTGCCCGGCCTTAAACGAAGGACAACGTATGTGCTAAGTATTGGCTTTTCTGCATCTTTTTAGATATTTGTATGGATTGCCTTCTGGACTTCCCAAGTTTCTTCCCAAGTTAACAAGTATTTTCGGCCTAGAAAGTAGTCAACACTTTACTGCCGGCCAGAAGATGCACATATCACCTGAAACCGAGCAAAACATTTTCGTCCACATCGTCTTCGATTTTTTTTTTCGAGAATGATGCCTCAACCGCAACAAGAAGTTAAGTGCGCCTCAAAAAGCCTCAAACGCGTATCCATGATTTGGGGCCGGGTTGGGGAAATTTGCGCTATTACGACTTTTGACTTCTAGTCTTACCAAATATCTTGAATGCGTACTTTGCCTTCAGTTCTCTTGGTGCCTGTAAAATGAGAACGAAAAATTCATGACTTTTGTGCTTTTGGTGAATTGTCATCAACCTTACTTACTAAGATGATACATGAGTCGCCATCACGAATCAGCAAGAGAGTAAATAGTCTAAACAGTTTTCCAATCGATTGTCAAACTCACCGATTCACTAAGAACTGACATCATGTTCAGAAAGTCGTCAAATGTTAAGGCACCGTCTCCTTTCAGTGAAAATACCTCGCAGATCCTCCTTCTAAAGGGATTCTCCTGCGAGGAAACAGAAATGGAGCGTTACTGTCGCTGCTCATCTTGCCTGCTTTCTCTGGATTTCCAGTTGTGCATGTTGGTCACGCAAGAAAAAGTTCTCTTTTTGGCCCATAACAAATCTTTTAGTGGCCAAACTGAGGTAAAGATGGCTGGATATTGGACTCGTCTTCAATTTCTTTTAAAAGTTTTGATAGACTTCGACTCGGTCTCGGTCCATAAAAAAGGCAAAACAAACAAACAAACAAAAAAACAAACAACAACAAAAAAACCTTGGCCGATGTTCAGCTTTCTGTGACCTCACCCTTGGTCAATATATTAATAACGCATATATATATTTCATGTTTCCGCGCCTTAGTGGCTGTAAAGACCTTATACGCCAGATCTACCAAGCCGTCTTAAAGTAAGATGTAACTGAACTATCAGGTTTCTCAAAATAGTAGGCCTTTTAATAGGAACAATCACTTCAGTAGGATATATCGTCATTGGGATAATGACTGTGGGACTCCGGGCATAACCTTCAGTCGTTCACCAATTCAGCCGCGATAGCCTGTGTACAGTCGGCGGGTCAACCCATCCCTTTCCAGAAATCAGCTCGCACCTTACTTTTTGATACACTAAAATCATTAATCGCTAATTTAACTTATCTTACTTTAAGTTCTGGAAGCTGCTGAAGGAATTTATATTTCAGTTTTGGTTGGACGTCAAGTTCTGTAAAGTCCTTCGGAATAACGTCTGCGTTCAATTCCCTGTATCTTTTGTGAATTCTGAAAACAATAACAAATGAGAAAGTCTATCCCGCAAACAGAAGAGGGAATAAAAGCCCTGGCTTTAAACTTCTTGGAGTGATTCTTAAGCGTAATAACAATTATTAAAGGCATGGATTGAATAGCAAATAGTCAAAGGCCGACGGAAACGGGCCACCCCCTTTACATGATTGCAAAGATATGTGAAAGACTGAGGCGTTGATCTAGTCGAGTGGTATACAAGAGATACTCTCACATATATAACAGTTAGTAAATATAATGAGTAAAGAACTTGGGTCCCAAGCCGTCTCGTCAAGCCTACATGCGTGTAATAACTGAAGTGGTCCAATGTTTTTCCTACATGGTGCTTTCCATCGGGAGGAAGTTTCGACTGAGAAGTTGAAGGTGCATTTGATAGATGGGGTTATATGAAAATTTATAGTACCACTTTACAGGGATTTAAATCAGGTTATCAAAATAGCCAAAAATGATTGCGTGGCCACATTTGTTGTGTAATTTTCCCCTAAAACTCATGACTGTCTTTCGTTTGCTTTAACTCAAAAAAAGGTGGTGCGTTTTTGGTGCGTTTTCGAGATCTATAAATTTGGCAGGTTAAAAGCAGCAATTAATTTTCGAACAGCTTAGTCTGATCATGAAAATGAGATCGATCGCGCGTGAAATATAACTGTTTATCACTTTAATACATATAATTCTGTGTACTCTTGTACCTTGTGTTTAATTTGTTTTAGAGAAATGCATGAGATCTTAATTATCCCAGCAGTTATTCAAACTTACCTTAATATATCAGCTCGGTTAAAGTAAGTACAGTCCTGAAACGATAAAAATAAAATACAGAAGTAAAGCTAAACTATGTGCCACTTCTAGATAGATGTTTACGCTTGAACATTTTATAATGGATAACACATATTTTTCGGTTATAAAACGAAAACCTGATAATCTTCAAGCTGATCTTCTGTAAAGGCCGCCTGTTTGTTTCCCATTTTACATGTACATCCGAGAACAGAACACAATTATATTTTCTGATGACAACTTTCGAAAGACTGTTCTTGCGGAGTTAATTTTAAATTTTTGCGTTCATCTATTCTGATGTGGATAAATCTGATTCGAGTAATAGTAAATTCATTGCACCTGTTTGCCAAATATAACAAAACAAGCAAATGCATTGGTGCACTACATATTTGTTTGCAATTGTTTTTGTCCAGCTCATAATCATTCTCTGAATTCCCTTTATGTTTATAGCTTATAGAGAGCTCGGATTTCTCATCTCTCCCGCTGATATAGACCTCATTCGTTAATAATTCATTTTACCACCTAGGAGAAAATTACTGTAGTGGTACACACCGTTATTAATTTAAAGTAATTTATATGCTACCCAGCAGAGAATGCAGAGCAATTTCTAGAACGCCATGTTAGAGCCATTTTTTTTAAAGAAAAGTATATACAGTTTTACCATTTTCAAAGTTAATTTGGACCTCGCTTTTCCTCATGTATTAGTCCATATAATGCGAAATTCGATGACTGTACGAGTACAAATTATCCTTCGCCAATACAGTTTTATTTATTAAATCTGGCTCTTTGGTACCTACTGAAAACTATATCGCGGAGTCAAGTTGACCTTTTTTTATTTAAATGTAAAATCATAAATTTTGCCTAGTCGAGCTGCTTTGATTGGTTATCGCCATTCTAAAAAAAGCGCCCTGGTGTACTGGCTTCTTCTTCCCTCGCCAGTAAACCGACTCGTCTGGCGCTAGCTCTCAGCTCTTTGAGACCTTAGATGATCTCTACGGATTACTGGCGGCTACACGCCCGGAGATTAAGGCAAGGTATATTAAGTAAATAGAGCGGTTTTCACTTGACTGTCGTAAAACCAAAACCAAAGTAAATACACTAGCCAACCAAAGGGCGTAGTAAAACCAAAACCAAGCCAATTCCTCAATTACTTTCGACAGTCAAGTGAAAACCGCTCTATATTCAAAGATAGTAGTGAAGCTGTAATTTAGTAGGCGATGACGTCATAAAAATTAAGTTTCTGAAATTATGGGATTTGTCAGGATATTCTGAAAGAACGATGTCCGAGAGACCTACTCAGTGTTAAGCCATGGATAAAAGAAAGCCCAGTCTTTCATGGTTAAGCTAGTGAAATCCTATTTTTTTGAAAACCTTTTAGGAAAGGAAATTACCAAACTACCCTACCCTCTCCCATGTAAGATATCGACAGAATCCGTCTAAACTTTGCCGGATCCCCCCCAAGTTTGTAATTAGTCCAACGCTAAATTTTTATTGCGAAACTTTTCCAAAGTTTGCTGAAGCTTTGGTGCCTGTTTGGACTACAAACAGCGGTACAAACCGGAAGGACTCTAAATGCGTCCAAGACGGGTCGTCCAACTGGAGTCCAACTGGAGGGTCTCAATGGGGTGGTGGCTTTTACGGTTATCGGCTAAAATTTTGGCTCTTCTACGGCTATCGGTTAATTTTTTTCAGTTACGGTTAACGAAAAAGTTAAAAATTAACTTCTTTTGTTTCAAAAAGTTAAATATTAATTAACCTGTATTTTTTTGTATCTTTAAATCAAAAGAAAGGTCTTCGGATCATCTCGGGATGAAATAAGCTATTCTTTTGAAAAATTTTAACATTTGATAGACAAAACTTTTTATAAAGTATTGCACTTCTGATATTATTTTACACACAGAAATGTCAATAGTCAATTTAAAAATAATCTTTGTGAAAAAGCAAAAGCAGACACGCGAACACCCAACTCAAGGCCGGGGCGCGACATTCATTATAACAGAAATGGCCGTTTTCACACTAGAGAAGGATTATTCGTGTGAGACGGGTTATCCGTTTGATGATTCTCGTCAGATAGGTGATACGTCTTAATTTGGCAATGGAATAGTTTTAATTTTGAATAAACAATCCGCCTGACTTTTGAAGACAGGATTATCCGTTCCAGTTAGCCTGTGTACAGCCGCCCCCTCCCCTCAGAAAAAAAAATCGGAGAAGGGGTGTCTGTGGGGAGGGCGCGACTGTACAGAGGCTAGTCTCAGACGGATGATCCATTTCCAGGTCTAGTGTGAAAACGGCAATAACAAAATTCCCGTGTCCAGTGTTTCTAATGATAGCGAAGGACTGTACGTAGGCCGCATTATTCCGCGCGGCTGATGCCTTTCGGGTCATGTGGTCCGAGCGAGTTCGCCACTGAAATGCCTTGACCGAGATTGCGTGGGAAGACGCCGAACAGGGACTAGGCATGGCGATGTCTACCGTAGCGTCCGAGAAAAACAGGGAAATTTGTTTATCGGCAACGTGTTTTACAAACAGTGACATCTCTGAGTGTCGTTTCACTACTGTTTTCAGGTCACCACCTCCTGAAAATTGCAAATATTAATCCCTAGCAAGAAGCCACACTTTCGCTATGGAAAAAATTAGTTCCCCAAGAAAGCGCCGGAAATGGAGCCTAGGTCTTGGTTAACACCTAAAAGGTGCTTCGCCTAACGTGCGTAAGGAGTCACACTAGCCGGGAAATAAAAAACGCAACCATAAGTGAGATTAGTACCTTCCTTAAAAGTAGCAAATCTAGGGAACACTTTCTTTTACGGTGAACTCTTTTTTACGCTATTTACGGCTAACGGTTCAATTTTTTTAATTTTTACGGCTATCGGCTAAATTTTTGGCCGTTTTACGCCTATCGGTTAACCCCATTGAGACCCTCCAACTGGCCCTTTGTTTCAGTTCTAAATGGGGAGGGGTGAACCGGTGAAGTGACAAACCAACTTTGTCACGTGAAAGCATCGTTTCCGCTCAAATGCAAAACTTGTGATCGTTTGGCTGAGTGCAGCAGTTTGCAAGCGCTAGCTGCACTTTAGGGTACGTGTTTCACCGGGCTCAATATTTAACTGTTTAATTTCTGTTCATATTCACGAGATGCTGAAAAAAGAAAACTAGGAGAGATTTGCGAGCAGGAAAGTTTTTCTTCGTTCAAGAATTTTGATGACCGCGTCACAAGTGACATTGAAGATGCACCGCTGCTGGTCCAATATTTATTTGTTACGTTAGTTACGTCGTGTTCAAGTTGTTATTTGTGAAAAAAGTTATTGGAAAGCTGCATGGCATTAACTGATCGTAAGTCTGATATTTGATTGTTAAGCGGCACTTAATTTTTGGAGATAATTTTAGCTTGTGTTAGGGTCCATGCCATTCATAAAGTTAATGGGAAGTTGATTAATTATTAATGACATTAATCAATAAATCCTGTTTAGCTTTTCCCAGGGGATTTAAGCCAATCAGAAAGAAAGAAATATTTTACATTCATGAAAATAAAAATTAAAAACTGAATTAAGTTGGTGAATGAAGTGAGTAAAGTGAATGAAATATCGATGCATCTTCATGTAGCATTCATCAAACCTTAAACAAAGATTAGTTGCCCTTAGCAAAGACATTTCCATGGTTTTTCAACTTTTGACATGGAAAAGTTTGGGAAAATCCATCAACTCACTGAGTATGAGCCTGAGAAGTGAGACTAGGGAATAATGTAGTTGTTATGGAACATTAAGTAGGGCTTGCTCATCAAACATCTGATCTGCTACCACTAGACACTACAAAAACAGCATCTATCTAGTTCTGTAGAATCACATTCAATGCTTTGGATTATTTCTGCATTTGCTCTTTCTTTATCGACTATGCTATTTGTTTACATTCTTTTGCAGTTTAGAATACAGTTAGTTTGTGCTGTAGGCAGGCTAAATCCCCCTCATAGCCTACCAATATATCAAGCTCTCTATGTAGGTCTTAAGTGACAGGTCCGGCTGCAATTCATGCTAGAAACTGGGGTAAATTGAAGTAGAACCCTTTTAATGTCATTGAGAGAGATTGAGCGTTACTAGTTTTAGCATTAGTATTCTTTTGATTGAATTTGCACGTGAGTGCATGAGTGTGATTCCTGAGGTGTAGCTGCATGGCACAAAGTTTGCACATTATATAAATGCTGCCTTTTATTCTGCTATTTCTGTGAATGGTAATTAGTCTAATTGCCACATGGGGGGGCGGTAGGTGGGAGAGACGTCTGAATTCCGAGTGTTATAATGTTGTCTGGTGAACTCACCTACTTTTGCAAATTATGGTAGGTATTTTCTGATTGGCTATTACCTTTCCAAAACAGAAAACCTTTTATTATTGGCGGAACATGCCAACGAAAACATCCGGTTTGAAAATAGTGTTGACATGCTAAACAAGAATAAATGTGACCTTAGAGTCAGTCTCTCACACAAAGTAAAGACTTATTACCATGGTAGCAACTAACAAGGAACCTTTTAATTCTGTAACAGCAGTCTTGCTTTAGGCACTTGTAACAAAAAATGCACTACCCGTACAGTCACATAGACTATCTAGCTAAAACAAAAGTAATTGCCAATGGAGGAACTGTGGGACATAGTGCTCCAGACCACAGGAAATAATTGCTCAGTATGCATGTTTCAGACCAGCTTCATGACCTCTAAATACAAGACTCAGAGTGGCAAAAGTAAGATTTGCTCTGTCAGAGTTTAAAATACTCCATGTTATCCATAACCTAGACTAGTTCAAGCTAACTCCAAGGCCAAGGTCACATTTCACACTATGAGTTGTGTTTAGCCTGTCAACACCTCGTTTCAAACTTGAAAAGTTGAACAACCCTGTACATTTATTCTGGACACTTTATCGTCAAGCGCCTTCACAGCACTCAAAACACAAAACAATTCATATCGACCATGCGCAGCCATAAGTAATGGAACTGTGAACAGCAGCATGGAAACTTGTTAAGAAATCAAAATTTATGCAAAAGTCCCCAAATTACTAGTTTTAGCATTTTGCATATTGAAGGTCAGGTTGCTCAAATATGGATATCTTTTCAAAAAGATAGAATGATTTTGATGGAGAATGACAACTTTCTGAAAGCTTTGCAATCAGTGTCAACAAGGAGTAATTGAACTGGTTTAAAATGGCAACATCCTTGATTCTCTCAACAGTCAAATTTAGTAACAATATTATTGTCCTCGGATATTGTCTTTTTGCTGCCACTGTGATCTCAGTGGCTTGGAACGTTGAACTACAGTCTAATTTTTTTAGAATGAGGTGGTATATCGGTTATTTGAACAGTGTGCTTCTGGAAGAGGAACCAAACTAATGATGCTTTGACTGGGAACATTTTGTTGTTTTACCTAAATGCAAGGTGGCAGCTCATAAGGGCCAGGGGCAATTTGACTGCATAAGGTAGAAGATTGCAGGTGTGACTAGAAACCCTTAATGTCTGTGCAGTGTCTCTCAATGACACATTTGCGTTTCCAAAGGAGTAACAACAGAGATTAGTGTTGTAAAATAATGATCAAAGAAATTTGTTTACAATCATAGCTTGTTGAACACTCAAGCTTGAGTAAATCCTCTGCCACCAGGAGACAATGCAACATGGGTGGTACTAAGACTGGAATCATCAGATTTAACATTTATTTTTTTGTTTTCGATGTCGACTTGAAATTATTTGAGTGGGATTTAAATCGCTACAGCAGAATCTTGATTTTTGTTTAACTTACTCAATGAAAATGAAATTGGTTTGAATTATTGGAAGGTTTGACAAATTGAGGGTATATTGATAGAATTTGACTAGGGCAGGGGAGACAGTTTTGTGCAAATAATATGGGTATGCTGAAGAAATTTTTATAGTAACTTATGCAGTGCCAGTTCAAGATAGAATCCCTTAGGTCTGACTGATTACATGGAGTCTTGTAAGATGGTTCTAACTTTTTAGTCTGTGGACAAAAGCCTTTGGTGTTACCATCCTTTGGCAGTACTTTCACATGATACTTTTTGTTCTTAGCATTTTACAGATTGAAATTCAGAACATTTGTACAATTTGTCTTTGACCACTTATGGGGTTGAAAAAAGGGTTAACCCTTTAAGTCCCCAATAGTGCTCAAAATCAATTTTCTCCTAACGGTATCCATAGACTATCATGAGCAAAGTCTATGAGAATTAACAAAATGATCACAAAGAGAAAAAATTAGATCTTTTACCAAATTCTCTCAACTAATTCTTCAAGAAAATGTATGGAGATCAGTTTGGAGAATTTGTATGTGGATATTGGGACTTAAAGGGTTAAACAATAAAACTGTGTATGTTGCAACATCCATATGATGACTAGGCTTGATTACCTGCTACTCATGCTTTGGGATGAGATGACTGCGAGGAGAAAACTCTGAGATGATCGCAATAAGCCACACAATATTGACAACGTAAAGTGTTTTAATTTCAACTAACACACACTATATACAACATCAGTACAAATACCACTAAATGTCTTTTTTTTATCCACACTACTAGGTAATGAGGAAACAAAATCCAACTGACATGCAGTTGCTTGATTTATTTGGGACATTTTTCTTTGGATAACAACGTGTCAACATGTGAGTACATGATTTTAATATACATAATATTGATAAGTTGTTCAGAAAACTATCTGTGGGGCAAGGGTACTATAAGAAACTTCCCCCTGGTATCAGCCCAGAAAGTTCAAGAATTCCTAAAGTTAATAACTCCCTAGAAATATATTTTTGTTTTTTTCATTCAACTGTTTAAATTTTTTTTCCATAGTTTCTTGTTCTCAATTAAATTGTATTTTTTCTTCTTTTTGAAAAATTTAATTTGTTTTGTTTTGTTTTTGCTTTTCTTTAGACGGGTTGAGATCGCTCAATAAATACATGAAAAAAAGAGAATATATAATCCGTCTCACTAACTACTGAACTCGCGTTCACGTGTCAGCGGTCAACCGCTACTTAATAACAAAAATACATCATTACGTCACGCAACGTTTCGCGACGTTCTGGAACGTTTTAGCTAACTAGCCGTCTGAAATACCGAGCTAACAACGAGCTAAAAATTCTAAAACAACTATGAGCATTTTAAATAAGAACAACAAGCTTGAGAGATGATATGTTCGAAAGCTATGGGAATGTCCAACGTTAACTTTTTCACTTATAGCGAAGTTACAACTTGCCCAATGTTGCCCAACTGCCCTCGTACTGATAAGCAGTTGATTCACTTAACTTAGTTGTACATGTACAAAGGAACTATAAAATTCAGTGTTTTATAGCATAACCTCAGTGTTTGTACGGAGAAAAGTCTCCTTCAGTTTGGTAGAGGGCTAATCTTGATCAGCTTTCCTGGCATTTTGGAAACTTGAGTCAGCAATTTGACGTACTTGTCCTTGTACATATCGCGCTCTCGTTCCACAGCAGTCACCTGTTTTCGAAGCTTTTCCAGCTCTTGCGACAGGCTCTTCTTTTCCACTTCCAGATTGTTTTTAGTTTCTATCCTTCGCAGCCTTGAATGCTGAGCATATCTTCTATTCTTTAAAGTTCGTCGCCTGTGTTTCACTCTCGCAATTTCATCTTTTGACAGCCCTCGTTCTTTGAGAAGTCTATTTATATCTTTCACAGAGAGCTCTCGCAGCTCTTTCTCTGTAAATTTCATTTCATTCGGGCTGAGCGGTTCGTCTTCGCTGAAAAAGTGGCTGTTGCTTGTGGAGCTGCATTCAGAAGGTGCCGGACTGAATTCCTCCGAAGCAACTACCGCCATAGTGTTTAGAATGTTCTGATCGTCCCGCGGTTGGCACGTTTCGCTCAGCCATGCAGGCATTCCGTTGAGATCCAGTGTTGAATCAGGGACATATTGGGCTTTCTCTTCTTTCTCCTCTGCGTTTATTATCCACAAATGATCCAAGGCTGAGAAATCAAAGTTGGACGGGTCAAAGCTGAAGCCGGTTTCGTCTGTCAAAGGGGACACGACATCATGGCTTTCTTGGTTATTGTTATGAATCATTGTGGCAGATCTTGCAAGGCGGTCGATCGCGAATGTCAGGAAAGACAAACTCTTAAAGTGCAAGGCACTGATTCACTTCTCGATTGGAGAACTAAAGATTTTCTTCACCAACAATTAAACGATCTAAACACGTGCGCTAAGCTCCGAAGATAACTAGGAATGAAGAGTTCTTTCTCTACCGACCGCTTATAACCGGTGTAAGAAAGAGCAAGGATTGCACCACTTTATGGTCCAAATTTTATTTATTGGATGATGTAATGTTACCCAAAACAGTTCAACCAATCAAACGCGAGAGAGAGTGGGCATGTACAGGCCGTTACCATGACTACGATGCGACCGGTGACGAACGGGGAATCCCCTAGTTGGCTTTCGTGACAGGTTTTTAAGCCCAATTTAAACTGTTTTTAAATAATTTCAGTTATGCGGATTTTTGGGAATGAAATCAGCGATTTTGCTTCAAATTTTATGATTGAAGGAAGGTTGCAACTAAATCCCATTTTTTTTGCTTAATATGGAGGTGTTTGAAATAACTGCTAGTATTTATTTTGGTGTAGCGGTGTATTAATCAATTTTTCTGCTTCAAATAAAATAATCGCCCGCACGGAAATAACCCTAATGAAATTAAGCTAACGATACGAGAGTTTATGTGAAAAAAAATTTATATACCATTTTCATCATATGTAGTGTAAAAAAAATCGTAGAGTTTTTTCTGGATATTTTTTTTGGACATGATCACAAAGCATTGATTTGTATTTGTGATCAATAGAGCGTAGAAAACTGACACGTCACCACGAATGTCGTAGCGCGTTACAACTCCTCATTGAAAACATTGATATCCCCTCTAAAGATTTCATTTAAGCGTGTATTATTGTAAGTTGTTAGTGAATGGGTTATATATAGCAGTGACTAGGCTATAAGATGATTCAACAAAACCTGTTTATCTTCTATATTCATTACATCAGCCAAGAAGTCAGTTCTCATTCGCGATAGCTGCGCTAGAATTCACTGGCATATTGTAAAATTAAGCCGCTAGCTTTGATCATTTACCTCGTGTCGGCGAAGTACTCTTTGGCGGATAACGGAACGTACGGATCGTCAAAACGTTTTCTTTCGTTTGAAGTTAAATTCTTATCTCTTAATTGAAATTCAATATATCACGCTTAGAATTTCACTTAAATTATAATATCACAAACCTTTTAGATTTTTCTTTGATCGCTTTTCGTAAGGATGAAAAAATCTAGACCCTCCAAAGTGCAGTGCTTTTATGTTATATCTTGTAAAGTAAGAGAACAAAAACCTATCAGTTTTCACTTTTTCGGCCTTTAAAAATCATTAGATAATGACCGAGGAGAGCGCTTTTTGCTCTGCCTTTTTTGTTTTGTTTTTGTTTTTCTATTTATAAACTGAGAAAGGAAGAGGTTAATGGTAATTTCTAGTACAAATTGGACAACAGAATGTGCTGAGATACTGTAATCATCCGAGTTTCATTTGTCGACTTTAAAATCGCGTAGCAAATGTTTTCCCTTGTTTTTTCAGTTGCAGTTTCTTTCAAGACTGAACAATGCTAATTCAGTGAGACGATAGTAAAGTAATATCAATTAGTAAAGGTCGTCCATACATGTCACGAGCGATAACGCTACGAACAAAGTAATTTGTGTGGACAGTGAGTAGCGTTCAGCTGATCGTAATGAAGACATATTAATCCGAAAATGGAAAGTAAGGGTTTCCTGATTTTTGAACGGCTTGTAGTTTTGTGATCATGCTAACTTGACGGGTCATTTTCGTGCCTCACTATTTGCTTCTAAAATTAGTAGATGTTTGGCGCCCTATAGAAGTAGCGCCTTTTGTTCCCAATAGTATAAGAAAAGAAAGACAATCCTGTTCCCAGTGCCCTGCTCTGTGCACAAGCCTCAACTTTGCGCCGTTCTTTTCATTTTCAAAGCTTTTCTGTTATCTCTTTCCACTTGCTGTAAGAGAAAACTTGAGTTTTGCTATAGCATATTAGATGGTGCTGTTTTTGTAGAGATGTCGCACACTAGTCCCTTTCAATCGCAACTTATTCATCTGTACAAAAGACCTGTTTAGAATTTGAGGCGGTAAACAGGTTAATGCAAATTAAAAATGGCCGGTGTCATTCCTTATTCAGAGCCGTCATTTCAATTCTTTAAGTTTGGTTTCGCCTTAAATTTCAAAGGAAAAATGACTTAAGTTGTAAGGGTAGGAAAGATTACTTTTTCTATGTAAAAGACCTTGAAGTCCGCGGTAATGTGTATTTTCACGAGTTACTTGTAGTTGTTTGGGAAATTAATTATAGTGATATGCCCAGACTTGCTTATTTCCATTATGACGTCACTGTTTGCGTGGAATATTGCGCCAGCCTTCTAGCCGGGCCGCACTGGGTACTAACGTTGATATGGACCCGATGAAAAAATGGTTGCTTTAGTAATATTTTATTTTTACATAAAAATTTGCTCGAATATATTGCGAACAAAGTTATTGAGGCTATAAGAGTGAAATTTTCGCTCTTAATTTTCTCTATAGAAAATTCACAAAGAAAGCTTTTCTGAACTGGAGGAGAAAACAAAGCGATGACAAACTTGAATTTAAGCGAAGGCTTTCACGCGGGAAAGACATTCACTGGAGTTCTGTTGCTGAAGAACAAACACTCCTTTCCGTACAATCATAACGATGTCGTACTCCACACTACAGCTGAGTTCCTGTTGGCTCGATTACTAGCCGCTCCATAGAAAATGAGCCTACTCTCTTCGAATGAAAAGACTTCTCGGCAGTACCCGAGAGACCGGTACTGTCTAGAGTTCCTGAGGCGAGTTGCTTGAAGGGGTCTTAACCTTTAACGTCGGACTCAGCAGCCGATATGTGTGGTTTAGTCAAGTCAAGCTCTTTATTTTAACGCGTAACGTTAGCAATTGCCGAACTAGCCTGCAACACAGACGAGACTAAATTCTAGTTAAGTCCGTCTGCGAAACAGCGCCGAAATCCTTGTTCTGGGTCCCCCACCTGTGTACCAGGATTTGAGTAAGCGCCATGATTGGCCTGTTAAAAAAGTCATTGTCGATTTGCCAACCCGACCCAACCCGACCCGACCCTCGGGATCAAAGGAAATTCGAAACGCACTTCCGGTAACTCACTGAGTCCGCTAGGGACCCAGAACAAGGATCTCGGCGATGCTTCGCGAGGTTAAATTACGCCTGTGACGCAGGCTATTGCCTAACCTGCGATCAGACGTTCTTTTTTGGGGGAAAGTGTGAAAGTCAGCGGACGGCTCCCAAACAAAAACGGAAGAAGGACCACATTATCGCAGGTTAGCAATTGTTCGACTAACCTCCAACGTTAGTTTCTATGCAACGGACCCCTGAGGCCAGCTACATAAAACCTAACGCGAGACGTATGTTAGACTACCACTTTACGATTTACGCAACTTATCCCATACTCCTGGCCCCAGTTGTTCAAAAGGTGGATAGCACAATTGGTTTCCCTAACACTTATCCACTGGATAGTGATTTATCCGGTGGAATTAGCGCTATCCAGCTTTTGAACAACTGGGGCCTGCATTATAACGCCAGACCTAAGGAGTAATACTAGTCTGATGGAGTTACGTCGGCTAAGCTGACATCTATGCGACTGGGCCTGAATCCCTGTATTTAAACGCCAAACGTCAGCTGGTCCCGGCCGTTCAAATGCTGGATAGCGCTGTCCAATGGACAAATCACTATCCAGCGGATTTTTTAGCCTGCCTAGCCGGCGGGATTGTTGTGCTCAGGGTTTCTTTTTTGGCGAAGCGAGAACGGCGAAGCCCCGAGGGATTTTCGCTAGCCCCGAGGGTTGCTCTCAATCTTTACGAGGCTCCACCGCTTAAAAAACTACAGCACTCACCTGCTAATACCTCCAGCTACGCAGGCTACCGATTTTTCAGAGATTTTCCCAGTGAATAGCGCTATCCATCTTTTAAACATCCCGGGCCAGAAGTCACGTTTGATGTAAGGGCTTATTAATTATTCATCAGGCCCCAGACCCCTGTATTTTAACGCCTGACGTCAGTAGTAGGCCAAGTAGTAGGCTCCGACTATGCAACAGGCCCCAGACCCCTGTATTTTAACGCCTGACGTCAACAGTAGGCCCCGACTATGCAACAGGCCCCAGACCCCTGTATTTTAACGCCTGACGTCAACAGTAGGCCCCGACTATGCAACAGGCCCCAGACCCCTGTATTTTAACGCCTGATTTTTTAGGCTCCGTCTGTGCAACTGTTACAGATCCCTGTATTTTAACTCCAGTCGTATACATTACATCAAAATTCGATTGCTTTTAGTTATCGTCAAATTAAGAACCTGTTCACAATTGAAGTTAAGTAAGGGGGGCTAGAGTGCCGGCTAACCTTTCCTTTTCCTACATCGGAAACAAGGAAAGTCGCTAAAAATTTAGACAAGAAATTTATCTTTGAAATGGTACCCAAATCTTCACGGAATCGAAAAATTAAACGCCTTTCCCTCACTTAATTTATTCTTGTTTTTCGTGCTACCATTTGCCCGCCAATATATCGTAATAACGTAGCTTCTGATGACCATTCTATATATAAACCTTACAGAATCCCCAATTCCTTGATTCGCTCCAACAGATGGCCAGTGCTCCTTACGTCAGTCTTTCAATCTCTACTTTACTAACTGCTACAACTGAATTGTCCATAGGTTATACAATAACTGAAGGGCTTTTACTGTATCAAAAAAGTACAATCCGGGGGACCGGTATTCAAGTCATTTACTCGTGAATTGGTCTGAATTTCTTTGTTTAATGAGTCATCGGTAACTTTGTCTGGTGTGGTTGATTGGCTGAAGATTCGATTTGTTTAAAAACGCTTTATTTGCCTTGTTTCTTGGTTTTGCACTATTTTTAAACTCGCCTCTATTTATCACGTATTGACGCCAGTTTGTGGGCACAATAGCGTGTGATATTCCTGGAGTTTACTAACTATGACAACAGTAAAGAAAAATATAATGGTTTTTCGTGTTCAAAATAAACAGCTCTGTTGTATTGAACTAGATCTTCTGATAATGAAATTAAGAGCGCGATATTGTTTGAAGTCTCAGGAAGTAAAATAACTTGAGTCAAGTTTCTTCCCGTCATTTAAAAGAAAATCATGGCAGTAAACGCGATTGCCTCTCTCCTTGTTGGTCAAGCCATCGTTGTAGAAAGAGTTGAACTTGAGATTCAATGCAAACTCGGCAGTGGAGCTTTTGGTGTGGTTTACAAGACGCGGGACTTGCTATGTAATTATCCTATGTTTTACGCGTTGAAAGATGTTGCCTGTTATAATACTTCCTCCCTCGGCAAGGCAATCAGCGAAGTCGAAACTCTTCGTCGCGTAGATCACGACTTTATTGTTAAAATTATAGCCGCGGATCAGTTTGTAGACTGCCGAGGAGGGTTTCACGTTCTAATTTTAACCGAGTACTGCTCGGGAGGTAATCTAAACGACCGGTTATCGCGGCCGAGCAGCGAAGAGACCACTCTGAAATGGTTGAGTCAACTGGCGAGTGCTTTAAGCTATCTTCACTCAAGGCAAATAGTCCATCGTGATTTAAAACCAGACAACGTCTTGCTGACAGATTCCACAACTGAAGACTTAAAACTTGGCGATTTTGGTCTGGCAAGAGAATTTCTAGCTTTAAAGAGAGTCGGTACACATATCTCTCCTTGTGGCTTAGCGCAATATTACATGCGTTCAGGTACAGGGCCTGCACACTGGATGGCACCAGAGGTATTCAGTTGCCATTACACGGAGAAAGCGGACATTTTCTCCCTCGGAGTTCTATTCCACGCAATTCTCGTTCGCGACTTTGCTTTTTCAACTAACGACATAAGGTGGTACGGCGCTTTTGTGAAAATTCCCGGGGGTGTTAAAGTTGGCCTTGGTTATGCTATGTCAAGGGTTGGTCCAGCAGCCATGACCCAGTTTACTCGCGATTATTTACTGGGCGAGGAAAATGGCTTTCGCGGCTTGATCTTGGATGCTTTGAATTTTGTTCCACGGATACGACCGAGAGCAGAAGAAATTTTCTACAGGTTAGAGGAGATCTGTACGTGTATTCGTTTAAAATGGTCTCATGAGGAAATTCTTCGCGGCAGACGAGGCAGAAGGGCGAAAACGCACCCATCACGAAAGAGGGACAGATGCAGCATTTGCTAATCTAAAAGAAACTTTAATTTACTTCTACCAAAACTAGTGGAGATTTAGATGACGAAAGGAGCGATTTGGTGATGCCGGCAGCATAAAAGAAATATTGAAAACTGTCCTAAGAGTTCCGTTTGAAACAAAAAACCACACTAATCATCCCGTCGTCCTGTTGTAGCTGCTTTTTCATTCTTTTTTAACTTTGGTCTTGGGGGTGCTTTGCAGCAAACTCTCGATGGTGATTGTTAACATCATAGTGATTAAGAAGGACATCTATCAAGCGACCCGATATAGAATCGTAAAAGGGAAGCTGGCGAACATTTGTGATGGCGTTTTTAATATTCCTAACTTCATTAGCGATATGAGGTATTACCTAAGATTGCAGCCCACTATAATTTAGTTGAATGAAATGAGTTTTGTTGCAAGTCGAGTGTTTTTGGACCACTTTTCAGTCTGGTCAAGAGCCTCTTTAATGTACTAGGATAATTTTTTAAAGAATTGTCCTCTTTTTTTATCATTTGTTGTGAAATTATAAACACGTAAAATTATAACAATATGACAGGAAATATCAAGATGTGATGCTACTCTTTATATCTAACTTTTGAACCAATACCCAAAACCATAGAGACGGACAAAGATATAGAAACAGAAATTTGAATTATCCATGACAACTGGAAAAAGATTTTGTCGATGATTATTTGACTGAGTAACCTCGTAGCGATGTGGAAGACTCGATTACTCGAGATGGCAAGCTAGGGTTTCATAGGCTCGATATTGGCTGTTTTATGATACAGACCCTGAACAGCTACTCGGCTGGATCTTTTTAAGGAAAAAGGATTGGGACAGTTATTTCACGGCCCTCTGGACGAGACGTCCCGTGATCGTTTATCAAGTGAGACCTCAAATCCTCTTTTCGACTTCTTTCCTTCCCATGTAGCCTAAAAAAGCAGCGTTGACTTTAAATGCCCTAAAAAGAAGCATTGAAGGAGAGGTCGGGGACATGAGCGCACCTTCGGCCTCTTCTTTGCCGTTAGTGAGATGCTAACTTTTCTGAGCTACTGACTTAAAGTAAAGGCTCTTTACTTCTACTTTTACCTATAATACATGTTGAGGTGCCGAGTAACATCAAACGACTTCGCTTTCAAATTCAAATCTTCAGTCTCTGTCAAAAAAACTTAGAACACTTCCGGATTTTTTGGGCATGCACATTGCAGTGAAGTCCCCTCGCCCCCCTGCGGCAGTGTATTTAGAAGGGGCAGTTTGGGAAAGCTTGAGCGATTTTCAACTTGGTGAAGGGGGAGTGAGAGGAAAACGACCAAGTGTTCCAACTATTTTGTCTGGGGTTGTTGCTTTTGACCCAAAAATAAACCGGTTTCGTAAATATGTCGATTTGATTGATGGTTGTGATTGTACCTGTAGCCAGGTCATATGCGGGCTCACTTTTCCCTTTATAACACATGCCGATAAAAGAATCAAATAAAGTGAAATTCCGATATAACGAATCCCTATTTAACACCCCGGTATAATGAATAACATTTTTTCACCCTGTATGGTAAAGAACCCCGACGGAGGCGGATCCAGGAATTTTTTTATTAAAGGGGCGCAAACTTGTGCTTACCGTTTTACAGCTAATAATTTTCAGCCGTTTTACTCGTCCCTTTTGCTGATTATTCTAGTAAATTAAACTGCGTAGATTTTTAGATGTGATCCTTCGGCAGTAACAAATTTTGTCAAGCCATTTTGTTCTCAAAATAAACAAGCAATATAAAACTGTACACAAATAATGTCTAGTGGCCTATTCAATCGTCCATACGAGAATAGGTCATTTAATTTGCTGCTGGGCAGTTACCTGGTACAGAATGCTATGCTGTGACGCAAGAGCTCGCAGCATTTAAAGTGGTAATTTCTTTTGAAATAATCAATATATGAAAATCATATTTTAGAACTGCGGGGCGAAGAATTAAATGTAAAGAGATCATCGCAGTTGTAGTCTCAGTTTGTTTCTTGTGTCCCAGCATGGCGTTTTTTTGTACCATGATGTGGCAGTGGTAAAAACACGAAAGAATTTCGTAACTGTGCTATTTGTAATTTATCTTTTTGGAACTTATTAAGTTATGAAATCGTGCAATAGGTTGCGGAAGCCTCAATCATCAACAATTGCGTTTCCTCTATTACTTTGACCTCCTCCTCCTCCAGTTTCCCGGAACCTCGGCAGCGGTGGGCCGTTTTTGTTTTTGTTTTTGTTCGTACGGCAAAGCAGCGAGAGTGATGCTTTTCATGCATTGTGTTAGATCCTTTTGCTCCGTCTGAAAATGCAGGTTGAATACATTAGGTAGTAGGGTGGGTCTATGCACCTTTGCACAACCGAGACCTCATGGCTGAACCCTTGGACCACTACCTTCTTAGATTGTCTTTTCCTTTACGTAACTTAAGTACTAAATTATGCTCGAATGGTAAATATGTTTTGAAACAATTTTTAATGGCTTTAAACAGTACAAAATAAAGTTGATGCTGTAGTTGACTCTGACGTTATTCTAAAGGTATTATATTCTGATTAAGAACTTTTTGTGAGCTGATGTAAACTTTTATTGCTTCGTCTTAAATATCGGGCAACCGTTAACATTTCTTCTCATTAATAATCCGATCTATCTGGCCTTCTTCTACTGTTAGTGTGGCTGAAACATTTTTTCTTATACACTATGTAGAGATCACAATATAGAGGTTATACAAGAAAATATAGCATTCACTCCTTGCTGTCAAAAACAGCCTGTCTCGTTATCAAAAAACTCAGTGAAATAGTTGTGTTGTTTGTTCAGGGAAAGTCACGCGATAGTGATTTTGAAACATCGTGCACCTTAAAATTTGCCAGCACACTACAACTCCCCTTTCCTAACAAACATGTACAAAACTATGAAAGTTCCAGATTAAGTACATATTCCATTTCTACGATAAAAATCTAAATGATTAAATTATGAAATTGTACAGTAGTTTCCAGAAACCTCTTTCATCCAGAATTGCATTTCTTTCCTCAGCTCTTCAAACTGTTGGTGAATCTCAGCGGCGGTGGGTCGTTCATCTTCGTCATACTGCAAGGCGTTGAGAGTTATACTTTGCATTATAATGGATCCTTGGGCCTGCTCTGAAAATGCAACATTGATACCTTGGTTATTCGATTGGAACATTGCATATCCAAGCCCAACTTTTTTCGCAAATAACTGGCCGTATGGACGACCAAACGCACCGTAAAACCTTTTTCCATTTACTGTGAGAAAATCGCGTTCTAGAATGGAAAAAAAGAGGGCGCCAAGGGAAAAAACATCGGCTTTTTCAGTGTAACGGTGTTTGAAAACTTCGGGGGCCATCCAACTCACTGTACCAGCTTCGGAGGACATGTAATGTTTTGCATATTGGCCAATCCATGAGTTGTCCGTCAATCTTGCTTCGGCATTGAGGACGACGACGAACTCTCTCGCCAAACCAAAGTCGGCCAATTTCACATCCTCAGTCGCGGTTAACAGGACATTCTCTGGTTTCAGATCACGATGGGCTACATTTTTTGAATGAAGGAATGCAAGCCCCGCGGTCATTTGCCGTATCCATTTGAAATTCATCAAGTCGCTGCTCGGTCGATGAAGGCGTTCGTTCAAGTTTCCGCCGACGTAGAACTCAGTCAAAATTGTCATGTGCTGTAAGCCTTGTGCTTTGTAGCCGCCTGCTGCAGTGATTGAGATTACGTTTTCGTGGGTCGAAATTTTACATAATGTTTGAATCTCTTTCATTACAGCTATCAGTTCCGATTGATCTTCACAAACCACGTCTTTTAACGCATACTCGTTTACAGTCGCCTCCTCCTTCACTTTGTACACGACACCGAAAGCCCCAGCCCCGAGTCGTTGCTGAACTGTCACCAATTTTTCGCCAACTTGGAGCGTCTTTGGCATAGTTGCTGAGCTTAGAGTGTACATTTTGTGTCGTTTCCCTACTGCTTTCAACTCGTCTGCTCGCTCCTTTCAAAGCGGAAAAACGATTTCATAGAAAACGCTCTTGTTTTCTCAGAAAACTGGAAACTATGGGGTGGAGGGGGTGGTGGTGGTGTCCTCAAGTATAGTGAAAGGAACTTTTTACCCAGCCTCTTTCTTACCTTCGTACCCAAGCTCCTTGCCGTACATTCTTTTTCGGTTTTGGTTTTTAATTGGTGTTCGATGGACTCTTACGTAGTGCTGTGTGATCTTGTATAAGCCTTAAGTAGGTGACCTACTAATTTAGGCGCTTATTCGGAAGGAGCATTGCCATGCCATATAGGTAAAAAAGAGGGGCATTTTTATCGGGGGTTGGGGAAGTGATGTGCCTCATTCCGGTTAGCTGAAAATGGAAGTAACTCATTTAGTGCAGTGACGTGAACAGGAGGATTGTGTCCTGAACCGGAAAAGGAAGTCACCTCCACAGTGGAAACAATGCGCCGTTTTCCAAGAATGACCTACGTGTGTGTCTTGTTATAGCTGTGGAGTATGTACGTGCTTGTTCAGAGGATCAAGCATGCATTGGAAACAAAATATATTCAATTGTCTAACCGGTAACGTTTTTCTGTTTACTTTTAAGCGTATATATATCGTTAAGATTAGTGAAGAAACTTTTGATAAAAGTTGCAATGATTATTTATTGTAAGGAATGAAGTCAACGGAAACACCCGATCAACATGCTTGCAAAAACTTTAAATTTATTTTCTACTACTGTCAGCAGGAACAGGGCTCCTGGGAGGAATTAATGAGTGTTTTTTTCTAAAATGTGTTTGTAATTACTTAGTTACTTTTGGAGTCGCAAACTTTCTGAAAACCTTTTTCCCGCTGTTTGGTTATCATAATCAACACTCTTTCTGGTATTTGACCGGTTGTTTTTTCTTTTGTCTAACGTCGTTCCAAACAAGAAAACGCCTACCTCAGCCAAAGCTAGAATAACCAGCAAGTGCATTTTCACTTTAAAAACACTGAAATAGATGAAGGTGCTAAAATATGACTGCTACTATGACTACAACAAAACGTTGATCTCTTACAAGTCTTGACTAAAGTATTCGACCGTTACCTCTTTTCGGGGTTTAACAGCACCCTCTCCGCCCTGGTGACGGTTGTTGATTTCCAGAACCACTGAGCTTTACATTTCCTTCGATGTTTGTGATTCGGTTATGAATCTCAGCAGCGCTTGGGCGATCATCTTTGTCGTATTGCAAAGCATCGAGAGCTATTCTTTGCAGAGCGTTGGATCCTTGTGCACGAGGTGAGAATTGAATGGTTGTGTTTGGATCTAAATGCATCGCACGCCCAACGTTGCCTTCACCAGGAACATTCTTGAAAGCACCATAAATCGCCTTCTCCATAAACACAATAGAATCCCGCTCCAAGATTGCGAAAAACAAAGTACCGAGAGAAAACACATCAGCCTTCTCGGTGTAATGGCCATCAAAGAATTCGGGTGCCACCCAGGGTATTGGGCCAGTGCCCGATGTCATGTAGTACCGCTCATAGCTCGTCACCCACGACTCATCGCCACCATTTTCTTCGATTCGTGTGAGTGCAATGAATTCTCGAGCCAAACCAAAGTCGGCCAATTTTGCATCCTCCGTCGCAGTCAGCAGTACGTTGTCTGCTTTCAGGTCGCGGTGAACCACGCTGCACGAGTGGAGGAAGGCAAGGGCGGCAGCCATTTGACGAATCCACTTAAAGTTCTCTTCTTCGGTGCTCGATCGGTGGAGACGCTCGTTCAAGGTGCCACCAACGCAATATTCAGTCAAGATGAACATGTGTAACTTGTGACTTTGATCGCGAAACTGTTAGGCGTCTATTATAGAAATCACATTCTTGTGGGAGATTTGTTTCATGGTTTGAACCTCACGAATGGCATTCTTGATTTGCTTATCATTCTTCCACGGGATATCTTTCAAAGCGTATACTCTGGAAGATGCCTCATCTTTGACTTTATAAACGACACCAAAAAATCCGCTTCCGAGTTTCTGTTGGATTCTTAGCTTTCTACCTCCAACTTTCACTGTTGAATTCATTGTGATATGTGTTCAAGGCAATGGTGCAAAGAACTTCTCCGTTGCTGTTAGTTAACGCTCGCTGTTGCTTCTATGGCAACCGAACAATTTCTTACTGAGAAAACACCATGGCGCTCTTTTTCTACTGACAAACAATACGTTTCCAAGAAAAGACCTTTGAACTTGCATGCTTTTTTTCCCAGTACAGGTCAGATCATGTGACATTACTCTTGTATAATGTGTCTGTCAACTTTTGTCCCTCTCTCGTGCTTATCTTTGCATAATTTATATCAAGAGACAAAAGGCAAATTTCCTCTCTAGGAAGAGGTTGCTGCATTCAGAAAATCTTGTACAACCCCTCTTTTCTGTCAAAACATTTTATGACCCTCCCCCCCCCACGCCCCCTCAAATTCCTCTACCGCCCTTGTGGTATACATAATAAATGCAGCCTTAGTGTGTTTAAAGAGGATACGAATTAGATTTTGCTTTTTATTATTGACATAATGTTTAGTTACATTTCTTCCTACATGTTACAGGGCTTCATCGAAGAAAATCTCACATTCTCACCAAATCTTACATTAGCTGTGAATGAAAGTTATGGAGCTTCCTTTATTCGTGCTGCGTATTTGAAACTACTGTGGCAACCTTAGCGTCGCTTATGCAAAGAACAAAATACCTGCCATATTAACTGGAGTACAGTTTTAAATGAAACAGATCACGCTACAAAGTTTCTATAGTACTCAAAGTTTACATCACTGGCAAGGCTGTCATCAAGGAATCCGGTGCGACCATGAAGTCATTGCGGAGTTTAACAACACCCTGTCGCAGCTGGCGACGGTTGCTGATTCCTAGAACCACTGAGCTTCACACTTGCTTGGATATTTATGATTCGGTTATGAATCTCAGCAGCGCTTGGGCGATTATCTTTGTTGTACTGCAAAGCATCGAGAGCGATCCTTTGCAGAGGGCGGGATCCTTGTGCAGGGGGTGAGAATTGAATCGTGGTGTTTGCATTACACCTTGCCATTGCATATCCAATGCCAACTTTGCCAATTCCAGAAATTTCCTTGTATGCGCCGTAAAAGGCTTTGTCGTTGAACTTGAGAGAATCTCGCTCAAGAATTGCGAAAAACAAGATGCCAAGTGAAAACACATCTGCTTTATCTGTATAACGGCCATTGAACACTTCTGGAGCCATCCAATGAGGTGTACCAACCACAGAGTCCATGTAAAACTGTGCATAGCCGCGCAGCCATGAGCCATCATCACTTCGAGCGGCGATACTCTTAAGTGCTACAAACTCTCTGGCCAAACCAAAGTCAGCTAACTTTACATCCTCCTTCGGCTTCGCGGTTAACAACACATTCTCAGGTTTCAGATCGCGATGGACGACATTCTGTGAATGGAGGTAGGCAAGACCTGCGGCAATTTGTCTCATCCATTTTAGATTCATCTCGTCGGTGCTCTTTTGATTAAGACGCTCGTTTAAGTTACCGCCAGCGCAGTACTCGCTCAAAATCAACATGTGTAGGCCTTGGGCATCCTTCAGATGGTCTGCGCCTAACACAGAGATTACGTTCTCATGGGAGAGTTTCTGCATGGTTTTAACCTCACGAATGGCATCCTCGATTTGCGCCTTGTCCTTACACAAAATATCTTTTAAAGCGTATACTGTGGAATATGCCTCGTCTTTGACTTTGTACACGACACCAAAAGCGCCGTTTCCGAGTCTCTGTTGGACAATGAACACTTGTTTCCCGACGCTAACTTTCGAACTGGTTGGACGAGTCCCGACGGCTTGCAGCATTTTGGCGTATATACTACAGGCAAACGTAAACTACTTGGTCAGTTACTTTTCGCTTTCTTATATATGTTGATGCCAGAAACGAGTTTCTTAGAAAACACCAGGTGTACCTCATTTACTTACAAATGAGTTGTTTCCAAGAACTCTTCGTTTTCTCTTTTGAAGCTATCAGGGGTATAGTGTGGAAGCAAAGCTACTACCTAGAACTCTCCACGTTTACCCTAGAGCCCCTTCCTTCAGCCGGATGATTCCAAAGCTCTAATCTAAAATAGGAAATATAGGGTATTGTTTAATTGTATCAAAGACCTGACTCTATTTGTTCATTCCTGTGCTACGTCATCTTTCTTGGAATACAGCTGATTGAAAACGCGTCGTATCGTAATTAGAAGTGAGACGTCTTCAGTGTTTGCTATACTTCTAAAGAAAAAAACATTTTTCGATTCCTGTGAGCGCGATGAATTCTTGAGCTCAACTGAAGTCGGCCAACTTTGCGTCCTCCGTCGCAGGTAGCAGGACGACACGTTCTATTGTCGGCTTTAAAGTCGCGATGAACCTAGTTATGTCCTTGTGCAGTCGATTACTAACGTACTAACGCGAGCCTAAATAAATAGAATGAAAGCCGTGGAATTCATCTTTATAATAGTAAAGAGCACGATTTCCTGGAACGACGGGTAGTTGAGTAATCTGTTTGATATTTGTAAGGGAAGAAGTTACCTTTTGAAATTATTTAAGTAGTAAGCTTAGCATGGATAAAAGTTAACATTTTTTTACAACCAAGAGCGCGTTCGATTGACTGTATCCTGGAATACGAATTTATGGAATAAACTCTAAAAATGTCGCATGCTAATGATTCAAACATTCGCGGTGAATTTAGTCTCAGTGTCAACAAAGTGACTTGAATTAACAAGGAAGGTTCCCGGAACCTTCCCCTGCAAATTCAATGCTACAGCATTTCCGTCTTTACGAGTAATAGCGATTGGTTATATAGAATCCAGGAGACTGAAATAGCAAAATTTGCTATAAGAAAAAGGAAATTCCACCCAAGTAAATTCAGGCTTGGTTCCTTCACAGATCTTTAAAATAATTTAACGGGGTTGGGGTGCATTTCGATGTGTTTTCAACTAAGGTAGAGTTCTTTAAATTGCATTTAGGAAATTCTTGATAACGGCATCATGTGACACCGACGCCCTACTGTATCCAGTATCAAACAATTTTTTGACCTAAAATTCCCACTAGTTAGTCGTTCCTTCTACAGATCCAAATAATGACAACTAATGGTGTTCTTGTAAAACTGTTCGGAATGAGACGAGGCCATTTAACTTCTTATCCCTGTTCAAATGTTGATGGAGGATTGGCACTTGTCAACGAACACCAGTTACACTTACAAATGAGGACTCCTTGACCCGTTTCTCGCTGATTTCGTAATCATTTAAAAAAGGGTTCATTGTTTTGATACAGAGAACCTGAAGCTGCGAGAAATGGTGATTGCAAATTTCAAACAGTAGAGGGCGTGGTAAATCACGTGAGCAGGTACTTTGAGTATCTAGTGATAAACAACACAAACAACATAGACATTAGAAGAACTATCTATTGGGCTGCCCGTAAGGGCAACGCCCAATCAAGAATTACCTTCCGTCTTTGTCGAAAATAGACAAAATGGCGGACGGAACTACATGAAGGCTTTGCTTGTCCCATTCCCCTCAATAGGGCTGATTTTTGCGGGGAGAGGACAGGTCGTTTCAGGTTGTCTGGCGACCACACTTGGAAGTCGATTAGGAACGAACACAAAATTATTGCGTGGAATTGTTGGCCCTGTATCTACGCCGAATGATTATTGCTGCGGAGCGACCGCAGGGAGCGAGCAGCAACATAATCAGGATTTAAAGGAAATATATATAGGGGCAACGAATTCTCGAATTCATCACTTTTTACCACAATGCATTGCATTTAACCACACTTTTTACCACAATGCATTGCATTTAACCAGAGTGCACTGCGCCACGGACAAGTCAAATGATAACACGGGGAAGTTCGCATCGTTCGCTGTCCAGACTCAGAGTTTTCTTTGTAGCAAATTTTCTACAGCGCGGTTAGAGGTCTTACCAAATTTAAGACACGCAGGAGTCTTTCAGATGAGTACAATGGTTAACTTGGGGATTGGATTTCAATTCAAGAGCCTTTGACTCGTCCAGGTGTTAAACCTGACGAGAAGATGAGTATTTGCTCTTCGACTCCGCAACACGGGGGATATACAAATTCCAGCTTGCTAGATGTGAAAGTGAGAAAATGTCATGCCATGCTATTCTTAAGAACCTGTATGAGCCGAAAATGGATGTGATTTTGACCATTCGCTTCAAAATAACAGCGGAAATCGAGATAACAAAACATGTTTTGTGTCCTACGTTGCAGACGAGGACGTGTATCGGCGTTTTGAAAAGCATAATTATGTTCTTTCATTCATTCATTGCCATGGAATATGCGTTTACATTGTTTTTTACTGTTAATAGCTCGATTAATGCGGCTGGCGATCATCTTGCCGGCGGAAGTTTCATGCAAAAAGCATTAAATTAAAGACTTTTCCCAAAATTACTTAATCAGTCTCTGTGGTGTAGTGGTTAGGTGTAGTCGCGTCGAGCCGATGGTGCTGGGTTCGAATCCTACCGAACTTTTTTTTTCCTTCTTTCCTTTTTTTTTTTTCCGTTTTTTGTGTTGTTGTTTTCCATAAATATATAGCTAAATAACTGTTACTTAATAAAGTGCAATAAACAGCAAGAAAAGTATCGTGTTTCCAGAGAAATGATAGTACACCATATATTATCTGAATTTCTATCATTTCCTACAATTTACTGTGGGAAAACCAGAGTTGATAACCACTTGATCATTTTCTAAACAACGTTCCCACGAGTTCTTTCTATAGACTGATAATAATTATTCTAGTACTTTCCAACATGTAAATAGGACATTCAATGTCATTTTCGATTCTTTCAAGTCCCACTGCCTAACTAATGCCAGTATCAACAGAATGTGCCGCAGCATTACTATCTTTTAGATACCCTAGTCTAAATACAGTATTCGATGAGGTAGTTAGCCTTCGCAGGAGCTTCAGATACTATGCCCTTCCACGGTCCCCACGGGAAAAGCCTCAATTTGTTGCAATTCTCTCCCGGCGTGTGAAAAGTCTTTCCTTACAAGGAAAGAATATGCTATTTGTAGATCGCCTCGTTAAATAGAAACACATCCACTTGGTTAGTTAGAAGGGCTTTAATACAATATCCGATAGAAATAAAAATGAACGTAATTAGCTTCAGCTGTGGCTTTGCGAGTTTTAAGAAATCGAAAATTACTCTTATATAAAGTATGTGAAAGGTTTGAACCCAGGGGTCATTTCGTAAGTAGGTTGAGCATGATCGTCCGGATAAACGTAGTCCTGAATAGGACTGTTGCTGACTGTAACCGACGTTTCGACAACCTGTGCTGTAGTCATCTTCAGTGCATAGTCAAAGTGAGTTGTATTACGTCTGTTGACAATATGAATATACAAACTTAAGCTGCAGCTGTCCGGGCTAATAGCATTTACCTTCATCAAAAGGCCATTTGTCCCTTCAAGGTTTTTGGGACAGGACAAACAGAGACTCTATTCAAGGAGAGTGTCTTTTTCATAGATTTTCCTCCCTTGGCATGATTTAACTTACGTTTCAGTCAAATATCAAAGACAATCAAGCATGAAGCATGCCTTCATGCAAATTTTTCATATTAGATATTTCTCATATGTTCATGTCACGGCTGTATAGTGTTTTTTGTTTGAACGTAACTACCTGATCTTCAATAACTTTATTTACTTTATTTGAGATGTGGAAAATATGGGGGAGGAGACGAACGAATTTTGCACAAAAATCGGCCGACAGAAAAATGTCATCGGCAGTTTAGTCTTGATTTTTTTGTTCGTGTCATCTTTCCTTTATCAGTTCAATCAAAAACTAAGTATTTAATTTAATGTAGATTCCCTGCAGTTATGACTTCAAATCCTCATTTCGACTTATTTCCTTTCCTTTTAACTCTGAGTAGCTTTCAATATCGTAAAACGCGGGAGCACTGATGCTGGGCAGGCGGGATGAAATGAGTGCACTTTCGGCCTCGGGTTTGTCAGTCTAATTTGTACTGTTACGAGGTACCGACATAAAAGAAGGGAACCTCGTCCTTGGGACTTTTCCCTCAAAAAATGGGTGGGACGGGGAAAAGCCCTGGGGACGAGGTTGAAAAGAAGGACATTTTTTTATTTAACATAATTCTTTCGTTACACTTTGAAACCCTGCGGATTAAGAAAACCTCGAAGCTAAAGAAAATGATTTAGTCCTGAAGTCTAAGATGTTTTTGCAGCTGTAAGCTGATGTAATAAGAACTTTGTACTTAAGATAATAAACATCCCACTACTGACATTTTGATATTTTGTATTGACACAATTGATTGGTAACAAGACTTCGTGTCGAACAATCCAGGGGTGGTGGCGCTTGTGATTTTAGATCGGACTCACTCATGAATTGTACTTCACTCCGTCCTATACAAATAATTTTCAGCCTTCGTGCATCACCGCTACTACCATGTGAGCAGAGGAGCTACTTTTCGCACGCCAGCTCATACCGCGAAAATGTAGCCTTTGCTCGCAGGGTACACCGCTACATATTATTTTCCACTAAATTAAGCTACGTAGATTCTTATATGATTGGAGATTCCTATAGTGGTCACAAATTTTACGTAAAACCATGTTTTTTTGAATCTTAACTAGCAACACAAAACTGTGTACAAATGATGACTGTCTAGTGGTCACCCTTCGAGAGTCTTCCACACCTAGGCCATTCGCTTCTGGGCAGTCAACTAGTACAAAAACGCCATGCTAGGACGCAAGAGCTGACATAATTTAAAATGGTATTTCTCTTTGAAATACCGATTGTATGAAAATCATATATTCATATATATTTTAGAACAGCTGGACGAAAAATTAAACTTAAAGAGGACAACGCGGTCTTAAACCACGTGGCTGACCAGCTGCAAATGGACTATTTAACAAAAGAGAGTGCTTCAAACATGAAAGAGTAACTTTGCTATTGAATTTGTTTTGTGTTGAAAATTTTTGAATTACGAAATTTTACAATAATATGCAGGAGCCTCTTTTATCCAGAAAAGCATTTCCTCCATTACCTCCTCCAGTCTGCTGTGAACCTCGGCAGCAGTGGGTCGTTTTTTTCCTTCTTTCTGTAAAGCATCGAGAGTGATGCTTTTCATTGTGTTGGAGCCTTGTGCTCCCTCTGAAAACGCAGCTTGAATAATACCATTTGGCTCACCATTTTCCGCCATTTCATAACCAAGGCCCCACCTCTTTGTCACCTACTCGATGAAACACACCATAAAATCTTTTACCATTCACATCAACACAATCCCTTTGCAGGATCGCAAAGAAAATGGCACCAAGGGAAAACACGTCGGCTCTTTCTGTGTAATGCCCTTCAAAAACGTCTGGAGCCATCCAGTGGGGTGTTCCAACTTGTGAATTCATGTAATATTCTGCCAGCAATGAGTCATCACAAAACCGTGATGGCGGATTTGTTTTCCTGTTTTTCAGTGCGATGAAAGGTCTTGCTAAACCAAAATCAGCAAGATTTACATCCTCAGTTTCGGTTAACAGCACATTCTCAGTTTTCAGATCGTGATGGACTACATTCTGTTCATGAAGATAGACAAGGCCACTGGCGGCTTGCTTCATCCACTTTACGTTTACTATATCACTGCTTGGTCGATGGAGGCGTTCGTTCAAGATTCCCCCTGCGCAGTACTCCATCAAAATTAGTTCGTGGGAACTTTCAAAATCAAAGTGATTCATGTTGTCTCGAGCAATCAGTGTAACCACATTTACGTGAGAGATTTGTCCTAATATGTCACTTTCTTTCATTTCAGCTAACGACTCTTTTGATTGATGTACATCTTTTAGCGCATACTTCATTCCAGTTGCCTTGTCCTTCACTTTGTACACATCACCAAAAGCCCCCGAACCGACATTTAGAGGGACCCCGAGGTTCAAGGGCATACTTTTCTTTCCGTTTTTCCACTCGTGATAAGAAAACGTGTTTGTAAAAAAGTATCTTATCATATGGCCAGGTGAAGCGAATGCTGTAGCCCGCGTAGCATGGCGGGTTTGGTTGGGCGCGCTAAGTAGGCGGGCGAGGGCAAAGAAACCGCGAGGAGATTGGGGCGGGACAAATGCTGCGTTCTAATTGGCTACCCGAGAGTGCAAAATGCTAGGGATTTCCCGCTTTGCCCCGCAAGAACAGATTTTGTTTTGGCCCTATAGTAAATCCTTTATTGACCCGCTAGCTTGTTCGGTGAAGATGGCTAGCTAGTATGGTGATTTGTTTTGAACTTGAACTTCGACGTGCATTAAAATGGAAAAAAAAATGGCCAATTTCCAACCATCTCGACCTTACGCTTGCAAAGCTGCTAAGTTTTACTTACCCAAAGATACGCGTTTGAAGACAAGACAAATCTCAAGTTATTTTACTTTGCATCTAATTAAAGTCGGAAAGTTGATAAGATTCAAGAAAAGTTTCAAGTGACTTGAAAACCATCCTTAAAACCGACTTAGCGAAATTACGGTTTATTGAGCTATGAAGAAGGCGAAACATGTCAGTTAATCTTAATTATGTTGCGTGGTAAAATAGCCTTAAGTTAACCAGAAGTAAAAAAGAAACGGTTGTGTGTGAAGCTTTATTTTACTTGAAGTATTGAAAATCTACTTGTCTTGAAATATTTCTTCGCTTATTTAGGTTCAAGTGTAAAGACTAATCAAAGTGTTGTATTTCTTAGAAAACTAAATAAATCATGGATGACGTAGCCAGGGGAGGGACTGGAGGGGTCAAAACCTCTCTCCCAGCTTCAGAAAAAAAATGAAACATATCATTGAAAGATGATTAATGAAAAAAAAAATATTTTGAAACAAACAATTTCTTTTTGCCTCCTCCAACGAATTTATGTAACCCTTCACTGAGTAACATACTCATAACAGACATCGACGAAGCCTTAGCCTGCATGGCCATCGTTTTCGTTCAGTTTTACTATGAGCTAAGCGGGATTAGCGCACGAGACATGCAAGGGCATAGGTAAAAAGGAACGACTGCTACGCGACCTAACGCGAGCTTAAGTTTTTGCTGTTGTTTAGTAGAATAGTTCTTTTCAAACGCTTCAATCTGTTTTGGTCGCTACTATTAGGGAAGCTGTTGTGCATATGATAGGTAACAAACTTCTGCGTTTGGGCGAAAATTTACAAAGGCTTGCTCCATTTTCCTTTAAGTACCAAACTTCGAATTCTTCTTCTTATTTTTTTAGTCAGCTTATGGCATAGAAAAATTCTAACTGGACAAACGAACCGGAACAGGAAGGCTCCCTCAGCAATGGAAGCAATCATCAACTTCAGTTTCTTGGAATAAGGCCGGATGTCCAATATGCCTTAATTTGGATATGTGCCGCAGAAAACAAAATTTTCTGTTTGTTGAGTTATATATTAGTAACCGTTTCTGATTTCTTCATTTTCTTTTCTTTTTCACTTTAAACGTTGCACCATTTATTAAGAAAAACTTCCTTCATTATCTCGTCAGTACAGAAGCAGTGCAAAAGATACAATGCCGTGATTATAAACTTGGAAGATTGATTATCACATACTTAGTAGATTAATGCACCTATCAATGTAAATCCCGTGGGGGGGTGCGGGCAAGGGGCGGGGATTTGATGCCTGAGACTATCCCCCTGTCGGGCTTTTGATCGTGCGAAGCGACCCCGGGGTCGGGACATTTGACTTTGACCGACAGAAGCCTGGTATTCCTGGTATCAATTCAGAAGCGGTTACCAGGTCCGTTTCTCGAGGCTTTCTGAAAGTCACGCTGTTGGAGAAAGGTATGAAGTTTTCATTTGTTTTAATAGCCATAATCCGATACTTTAAACTGTCTATAATGTCTATTTTAAGAAAGTTTTTATTTTCAAGTTCCCATCTGATTGTAAAACTCGATTGAAATCGAATTCCACCATGAAAGTCAGAGGATTTTTTACGAGTCACTGATCTGACATGTTGACCAGGTGTTATAAAGCATTTTACGTTTCATTTATATTATAATAGCACGGTCAGTCTTCCTGGAGTGATTTTGTTGTTCAAAATAAGAAATGCTAGTGGAGAGAGAAAATACTTAATTACAGCAAGTAACTTAACGGAGCTTACGTTCACCTTAAATAAAACTAGTAAGAACGTACTTTTGAAATGTTCTTTTATTCGTTTTATATAATATTATAGTATTGTTTGTTGAGATTTTTTCCCCTGGGGTGGGGTCTCTTTTGACACATTTGATTGACCTTTCGTTTCAAAAAAATTTTAAAAATTTTAAAATTTGTCAAATCCCCACCCCTTGCCCGCACTCCCCCCGACGGGGTTTACATTGATAGGTGCATAACTATGATTATGTCAACCTGAACGACTTGAATTTCCGATAACATGCCTGGCCCCCGCAATGCCAACATAGACTCGTCACAAGTAGACCGCGAGAGCGCCAAATGCGCTAAATTCGCTCGCTAAACTGAAAAAAGCACGTTTCTAGCTTCTTTTCGCAAGATTTATCTGATGTTAATTCTGAGAAAACCGCAAATGAATGTAAGCAATTTTTTACTTAGCCGCTTTAATTTGAAGCAGTAACTATTTATAGGATTTTCATGGCGTCTCAGAAATATATATTTTCACGGGAAATAAAGCCTGCCCTTATTTCGTTTATTGTTTCTTTCATTAGGTGGTAAATTAAAAAAAAAAAAGGGGAACTTCCTTGTGCATTAAAACGCGTCCGATGTTTGGTTGCTATTTGTAAAATATTCTTTGAATCCTCGTAAGCAAGACTTTAAAACTAGTACAGGTATTACTTAATATTCTGTACTCAGCTTGACTGCTTGTCTCACCGACCGGTGCAGCCTCCAGTAAAATCCGCGGACCACAAAGTCAACAGCACCATCCTTCTGATGCTTGTTGATTCCCAGAATTGCTGAGCCTAACACTTCTTTGGATGTTTGTGATTCGGTTATGAATCTCTTCGGCGCTCGGGCGGTCATTTTTATTGTACTGCATCGCGTCGAGAGCGATCCTTTGCATCGCTCCAGATCCTTGTGCGTAGGGTGAAAACTGAATGGTGATGTTTGAACCATAATTCGCCATTGCATACCCAATGCCAACTTCGCCCCCTCCAGGAATACGTTTGAACGCGCCGTACATAGGTGTGCCATTTATCATGACAAAATCTCGCTCCAGAATCGCGAAAAACAAGGTACCAAGCGAAAACACGTCGGCTTTCTCGGTGTAACGGCCACTGAAAAATTCAGGAGCCACCCAATGTATGGGGCCAACTCCTGAATTCATGTAATATTGTGTATAGCATGACATCCACAACCCATCGTCACGAGAGGCGTCGATTCGCTTGAGCGCAATGTATTCTCGGGCCAGACCAAAGTCGGCCAACTTTACATCTTCCGTCGCAGTCAGCAGTACGTTGTCGGCTTTCAAGTCGCGGTGAACGATTCTTCTTGAGTGGAGGAAGGCAAGGGCTACTGCCATTTGACGAATCCACTTGAAGTTGATTTCTTCGCTGCTCCGACGCGTGAGACGCTCGTTCAAGGTTCCACCAACACAGTATTCGGTCAAAATCAACATGTGCAGACCTCGGGCATCGCGAAACTGCTCCGCTGCTAGCACCGAAATCACGTTCTCGTGTGCGGTTTGGTTCATGGTTCGAACCTCGCGAACAGCGTTGCGAATGTCTGAACCTTTCAAACACACGACATCTTTTAGTGCGTAGACGTTAGATGTTTCATCTATGACTTTGTAAACCACACCGAATGCACCGTTGCCGAGTCTCTGCTGGATTCGTAGCACTTTACTTCCAACGGTAACTCTTGAATGGATTTGAAAGTTTCCAAAGGCTTGCTGCATTCTTGCTTTTATTTCCAGGCAGTCAGTAAAAACTTCTTCTTTATATCACTCGGTTATGCTTCCACGGCGAAACCGGGTTTCTCGGAAAACACCAGGCCCTCCTTATCGCAAGTTACCACTTACAGTGCGGAACTATATGTTTCGAAGAAAAGGCCGTATTTAATTTCCTAAAAGAGGTCAAGTGATATTGCTCTGGACTTCAAAAATTTTATGCACGTACATATGAACCGCGCTTACGCAAAGGCTTTTATGAACGTTATGGTTTATGAATCGAGTGGATGGATTGATTGAAGAGATTTTTTGCCGGGAACATCACTCTTTTGACTATATGAACATGCAGAGCGCACGCAAAGTTATCATCGCAAACATGTACGCAAGGCTTAAGAAAATTAAGAGATTATTTTTGACGTCTGTCAAGCGACCCTTTCACCTAGTCCATATCGTTTATAAGATACAGCAACGCGGATACTCGTTGCGAACCACACAAGCCACCACCTCAGCGCTTGGTCGAGAATCTTTGTCAAACTTTAAGGCATCAAGGGTCACCTTTTTAGCATGAGGAAATTCTGGGCCTGAGAAGCTGACGGTGATATTTGGATCTTGGTGTGCCATTGCATATCCTAGACCAACTTTGCCTGCACAAGGAATACGCTTCAACGCCCCGTAGTTCTTTCTTCTATTGAACTCGATATAATCCCGTTCTAAAATTGCGTATATAAGGACACCGAGGGAAAATACGTCAGATTTTTCTGTGTAGCGGCCACTGAAAAATTCAGGAGCCACCCAGTGTATTGGACCGGTCCTTGAGGTCATATAGTAAAGTGTTTTGAACCCCGAGTTCTCGTCGCTTGGAATTTCGCCTTGTTGGTACGCCGTATATTCTCGAGCCAAGCCAAAATCTGCTACCTTTACATCCTCCGCCGCCGTGAGCAGGACGTTATCTGGCTTCAAATCACGGTGAACTATTCCGCTTGAATGGAGGAAGGAAAGAGCATCGGCAGTTTCACGAATCCATTTGCGATTCTTCCAGTAAACACTTGGTCGTGATAGACGCTCGTTCAGGTTGCCTCCATTACAATATTCAGTCAAAATCAGCACGTATATGTTTTGAGACTGGACGAGTTGCTCTGCTGCCACGATTTTCAACACGTTTTCGTGAGAGATTTTTTTCAAGGTTTGCACCTCGCGAATGGCATTTCGAATTTCTGAAAATTTCACACATAAGACTTCTTTTAGTGCGTAGCTCGTGGCGGGAGTTAACTTGTCTTCCACACTTTATAAACAACTCCAAAAGCGCCATTACCAAGTCTTTGCTGGATTTTGATAACTTTTCCCCCAATTTGAACGTCTTCTCCAACTTTTAGTGAGGATGGCTGCATAACTTCAACGTGCCTTTTATCTGAATGTGCCTGTAGACGTCATATTGCAATTCACGATCTCGATCATTCGTCACAGAAGTTCTATGCGGAGCTTAGATTTTCTTATACAATGCTTTATTCGTGTATATTATTTTGGTTATGCATGATAAAGTTAAACCTTATAGGGTGTACAATTCATTGATATGGTATCTAACACTGCACTCGGAAACATTTATCAACAAATTATAAGGCTATCCAACTGGAATTTAATCCGAGTTTTTAGGTTTCATAATTCCACTAGAAAAATATTTATGGACCCAGTCAAAATAAATGAACTTCCGCCAGTTCCGAGAATCGAATTTACAGAACATTTGTTGTGACTAAACCAAGTGTGGCCATCCGTGGCAAAACGTTCAGGGTCCGGGTCCCTCTCGTTAGTCAGCGGACATTCCTCCGGTGTGAATTATCCGGTATAGAATGAACAGCAACTACACAGAACTGGTACATGTCACTCACACACATTGAACATCATGTCCGGAAAGGGGTCACCGCCGAGACAGAGAGGGTTTTGTTCTTTAGATCCCAATCTTCACTCCTCCTCAATATTTTACTTACGTCTCTGTGGGTTCCAGGCCTCTTTGAGCACTTCGATCTGAGGTCTACTAACACGAGTCCTGATGTACGGATAGTCATCAAGGCGGGAGGATTTTGGACGCGGGGAGTTAGGGAATTTTTTTTTAGCCTGCGTAGCAAGCGTTTCTGAGCGGTTTAGGAGCAAAGAACGAGGAACAAGAGTCAAAGACCGCGCGAAAAATGGCTCTCGTTTCATTTCTAAGGCGGTCAAAACCGAAAATCACCTTCCTCGCTCTTTTTTTGCTCTGAAACTAAACGGAAATGCTTGCTACGAGGGGTACATTTTTTGATGTACGAGTGACGCGCGTTAACTCATGTAGCAACCAGAACAAGAGTACCCTCGCCATCTTCAAGAAAATACCAAAAAGAGTCTTCAATGTAGAAATAGGTACTTTCACACCCTTGGTCTTCGGCACAAAAGGCGGTATGGGTACTGAAAGCCAACTTCTTCTAAAGAATCTAGCAAACAAACTCTACCTTAAAACTGGAGATGATTATGCATCCACAATGACATGGTTAAGAACACGCTTAAGTTTTGAAATTTTGAGATCTGCAAACATGTGTGTCGGAGGGTCAAGAACTCCTTTTAGATATAACAAAGACACATTAGATGACTTTTATTTGAGCAATTTTATAGCGCATACAAAGTGATGCAATTTTCTCATTTTTTTTTTCCGCTTTTTTAAATTTTCTTTTCCTTAACAGTTTCTATATACGGTTCACCTAATCTTGGTGAGTGACAGAGTTGAGAATATAATGAAATCCTTTTTAAACATTTAAAAAAATTGTAAATATCTTATCCGAATAGACTTTACTTAAAACGTTTTAATTACTTAAGGATAGTTTTGTTGTTGAGGTGTAGATTAGAATTGTGATTTACTTGATTAACGAAGAATTCATCTTCTTAAAAATAATAATATTATTAATTTTTTAATTTTTTTTTAATAATTCGAACATATTTTATTGATAACAATGCTAACTATTAAAATCCTATTTACAATTAATTCACTTAAAAACTATTCCGTCAAAACACTATTTACAATTCCTTTCGTTCAAAAAATCACTTGGTCAGTCTGATTAGAAAAAAACATGAATCATTTAATAAGAAACATTTTTCGAATTAAAAACATGACATTTCGATTAAAACAATCCATTTCGATTAAAAAAATAATAAGTAATAATAATAATAACTGTAAGTCATTTGTTAGGAAAAAGCTGGAAACGATCCATATCTTTTATTTATTCTCCTTGAAACCTTTGCTTTCTCATCATATTCGCATCTGAGATCAATGGATGTTGTGCTCCTTTGATTTGTTAACCGAGCGTATCATTTCTCCCAGCGATAACCCGGTTGAATCAGTTCCATTTTCGTTTTGCTTACCAAATACTGAGAATTCTGACGAATATTCAATGAAGTTCTCGAATTAGTAATTTGTTTTGAATTTCTATGTAAATGTTTGCGATGAGCTGACGTATAGGAGTCCCACCTGGGAGTCTCTGTCGAGATTAACTCCAGCGAACATAGTTTCGTGTTAAGGACAGTATTTCTGCCCCACTTCACTTGTTTTAAAATTTGCTTCGAAACGGTCTGTTACACTTGAATATTTCAGTCTGTAATTTATTATAGTGGAAAACCATAAGATTTGTCGCGGTAAAACTTGCATCGGGTATGACAAGAAACTGCGCTTTCTAATCGAAAGTGTAGCCGAGTACTTCTAAAACGGTTGTCATGCAGTTTTATAAGTTATCTTGTTGGTTAGTATCAGCTTTGCAGCCATTCCGAAGTTTAAACGCCTCCTCTGTGCTGTTTCCAAGGATCATGGGGGCATTCCATTGTTGGATGCACACCTTACTCGGTTATAAATTTCCGCCGCGCGCGCTTGGACGGTGATCTTTGTTGTATTGCATGGAATTAAAGAGCAATTCTTTGCAGGGCACTTGATCTTTGTGCACGATCTCTTGAAAATTGAATGGTGATATTTGGATCATGTATTGCCATTGCAAACCCAATGCCAACTCTTGCCAGCTGAATGTGGCCGCGGAAGCCTGGGGGGTACTCCCTATAATGGCCTTTACGGGGAGGCTGCGCCCGAAAGGGGTATCTTTTTCAGGCTTCAGGTATATGAAAGGGTAGGGAATTTACTGGGTGAAGGACACAAAAGGGTAGAGGAATCTGCCATTTGGGTGAGTGAAAAAGCGCAAAAGGCTAACAGATGAATTTATGGCTTTATAAATCGAGAAAACGTTCTATTTTTGTTATTAATTCCTGTTTAAATGACAGTGGATTTATAGTAGTTAAAAGGGGTGCAAAGTTCTAAACAAGGTATACGAAAGGTGTACCAAAAATGGAAAATAAAAGGGTAAGGGGTTGGACCTCGGGGCGGTGCCTCCCAGCAATAAAAATTGTCGAGTACCCCCACCCCCACCCCCCAACCCCTTGGGCGAGGAAGTCAGCCTGAGGAATGGATACATAAGCACCGTAATAGGCTCTGCCTCTAAATTTGATAAAATCTCGCTCAAGGATCCCGAAAATTAAGGTTCCAAGCGAAAAAGAGTCGGCTCTCTTGTTGTACCGGCGATGGAAAAATTCAGGAGCCACCCAATGTGGCGGACCAACCCTTGAATCTATGTACTTTTGAATATAACTCATCATGCCCGAGCCATCGTCGCCATATTCCACGAACTGTTTGACTGGGATGAATTCTCGAGCCAAACTAAAGTCGGCCAATTTGATATCACCTGTTGCAGTTAGCAGGACGTTATCAGCCTTTAAGTCGAGGTGAACTATGTCGTGCATATGGAGGTAGGCAACAGCGCTGGATATTTTACGAATCCACCTTTCGTTGGTTTCATCGTGGAGGCGTTGTTTTTCCCCAACACAAAACTCGGTCAAAATCAACCCTCATCGAACTCGAACAGTTCTCGTGCGAGAGTTGTTTTAAAATTTGAACTTCTCGAACAGCATTGTGAAATTGGGAAGCATTCAAACAAAGGACTTCCTTCAACGCATAATTTTGCCACGGTTCTTCTTCATCGACAGCTTTGTAAACGACACCAAAAGCCATAATGCCAAGTATCTGCCGGATTCTAGGCATTAATCCATCTACTTGAATTCTTGAAGGAATCCTCACACAGGGCTGCTGCATTGAAGTCACCAGCCCTTTTTCCTTGTAAGGTGGCAAATTTTGCGGATAAAATATCGCCACCGTGTCGAGTTCAACTTAGGAAAGGCCCTTGCAAGCATGAGGGCATTTAGTTTTTGTATCGCGGGCGCAACATATTAAGTTTGTCGTTTCCCAGCCTTTTTCCCGCTTCAGAATAATCGAGTATTTTTTGTTTTAATCCATATTCAATAGTCCAGTTTCGAATTCGTTGGGGCCGCTAAGTAGAAGTACTCAAGATTCATTCAGACAGGGTTAGCCTCGACCTACAGTAAAATATTCACAAATACCAGTGAGAGGATGCCTGAGTTTGAGTTTAAAACAATACAGACAGTTGTACAGGAACGGGTCTTCTTCTGACTGGAATTTGTGAATATATTTTATAAATGGGTCTTCGGTGCTTCTAATCAATCTTGGTTTAGCACTTGTAGATTAGTATACGTAGCTTTGGAGCGAATCAGTCAAAAATAAATTTTAAAACACTAACCTTTATCCTATAGGAAAAGCTGTCTGAATGCAGAGGTAAATATAACTGACTGGTTCCTCTTGCCGGATCTCTTACGAAAAGAGATGCTCTAGCCAAATGTCACTTAAAGTGTAAAATAAAACAAAACTGAATGAAAGGCTGGCACTACGGCAAAGGGCAGTATACAGAACGGGGGCAGCTGTAGTGTCAACTGTTACTAGTTACAGGCCAATATTTCGGTTAACAAAATTAGCCTTTCTCATGGCCAAAGCTATATTTATAGCACAGAGGCTACTGTTGTCATGAAATGGCAGCTTATAGACCTCTTTCATAAAGGCGGCCTATTAACATATTCTCTTATATGTATGATAATTAGCCTTTCTGGCCTCGTTAGCATGTGCAAAGTACAAAAGAATTCTGACTTTCAAACGAGGCCAGAAAGGTTAATTATCATACGTATAAAAGAATAGATTAAAAGGCCACCATTTTGAAAAAGGTCTATTGGTAAAAGAAGACAATAGCCCATGTTCGATATACGGTATCACAAAAAATATTCTTCAACACCAACAATTTGTTGAAAGTTTAGCAGAGCTTTCGGAACCCATTCAGATCCCTCGATCAGTGATGACGTTTGATGACGCCTCGTTTTGATCAGGCTACAAAATTGTCGCAACAGAAGAATCTCTACTCTGTCATTAAAATTCTAACGTGACTCCGTGGGTTTAGGGTCAAAATTGCAACGTTTTCACGACTACATTGTCTCGCAATTCCCAGAAGAGACAAAGAAAACCAATCCAAACATAGAAAAATGACCAGAAAGCCTCGGAGTCATGTTAGAATTTTAATATATCGAATGTGGGCTTACCGTTTATACTGAATCATTAATGGCTTACCCATTCATGAGTTACCAAGTGGCGATATTTTGTGAAAGGACGCATGACCAATTGCCTTTTCTGGCCACCATCCGCTGACTAAGATTGGGTGTGGGCCATAAGTACGTGCGAAGCCATTGTTATTAAAGTCATTTTTCATTCTCATGCAAATAAACTTATTTTTTCGAGAAAGGTTTTGCACTTAGCCTCGTTTTGCAAGTGAGAACTTTTGGGACTCGGAAATGGCCTTCTAGAGTGGCTCACCTAGTTTTGCGGCTGTTGATGTTACTTAGAACTTGGCCTATTGCAGTTGGGTGGTCGCCTGTGACCGCCCAAACATTGACAAGGTCAAGTTTTGGCGAAATGAAAATCAGTCGTTAAGGAAATTAACGAAAGGTCATGTCAAAGGAGGTCAACATTTAACACTTTAAAATGCCAGGGAAACAAAATTAACTCGAGTGACCATTAAGTGATTTTTCTTAGTCGTATAGATATCAGTAGATCCAAATATCAAAACAAAGCAGTGGTGGCCTCGGTCTGACGTCAATGAATTTTGTCGGGTGGAGCAGTTCAGTGATAGATGTCACGTGACGTTTAAGCAGCTGAAAAATTCCAGCTATTTCTAACAAGCTAATTTCCTTATAGACCGACGTACGCAACCCACCAAGTATAATCATATGATATAAACGGTTTTATAACACACACCTGAATTCGATCGGTTGTCACAAATAAAGTTTAGATATGAATTATATTAGGCCGGATGTACGGCACTACTTAACATTTGCATTCGGTGGAATGAGATATTCTGTGAAGTGGTCGATTTCAATTATCAGGACCAGGGGCTATAAACAATGGAACATTTTAACCTTCTGCTTAAAATGTAGACGCTGTCGTTAGCGACAGACTTGACTGAGAGATTTTGGAGAGTTGTCTCTTTCGGTATAGCATTTTATAGCGTTCAGGGACTGAATTGAGAGGTCTTCAGTGTGTACATGTATATAGATTTATGTACCAATTTGCATACGAGATAATTTTCACTTATCTATGGCAAAGTGAGCTGGGAAATGAAATGCGAAAATGTAACCATGCAATTCGTTTTCAGTTTTCCAAAAGCGTTTTTATTGGGCCTTTGATGCGATGAGCGAGTTGATACTATCATTTACGTAGCCTAGTATAGCAAGAACAAAGTTGTTGTTGTTTTTTTTTTTACGAGTGCTTGCCCTTTTAAGCAAGCCTGACAAACATTCTGAGATTATAATCTACCGGTTGAAGGGTGAAATAATTCAAAAGGATAAAACGTGCAATATTGTTTAGGATTGTAGAAACTGCGATAAAAAAAATGGTCAAACAAATTGAAAAATAAAATTCATCATCAGGATTTAAATAAGTATGCGTATGACTGGTGTGCATTTGAATTAATGTGAATGAGAAATTTCAAAGTTCTTGGCAGTCTCTGATGGTAAGATTAAAAGAAACCTGAGAAAGTATCACTTTCCTTTCTTAATACCAAGACTGAATTACTCCGGCATTCTAATGAATAGACTCGCGCGTTCAGCAAAAAACCATAAAGCGCCAGTCAAGGAAACGATTATTTCACCAAAAATAACAAAACTAAGTGCTTCCGGCATCGGTTTTTGACCAATTCAAGACATTCGATTTGGGGGGGGTGGGGGAAGGGGGCACCCAAGAGAATTTTTGATAGAGGCTTGTCTACCTTGTTTAAAACAAGACACCTTATTTTATGACCTTTTGCATACAGAATTAGGTAAATTTTAGGAAAAATAATTGTTGGTACCACAAATGTAGACCGCTCATTTGCAGTCTTCATACTGTTATAAAGGCTTCCGGTCCTAAAAGTAAGCAACAACGACGGCGAAAGCTACGAAAACTTCACTCAAAACTGAATTCGAGCTGCCTCAAACTTTATCGCTCTCATTCCATCTCGTTTCTTCAAATGTTGGCAATTTTTTTGGAGTTGAATTCTAAAGGACCGTGTCAAAGTTCAAGAAGAGAACAAGAAATTTGTTGTCCTGTGTTCCCGTCCTCGACAAAAACGAAGGCTAAGAACAGTGTACAAAAGCACGTGCAAAGTTGTTGCTTTGCTAATTTAAACCTATTACTTTTTTCCCGTCAGTCGTTGTCGTGCCGTCGCTTAAGCCCCCTAATATTAGTGAAATTGTGTACCGTGTTTAAAACTAAAGTCCGGCCGAAAACTATACCCAGGTCAGCGGCACATATCCATGAAGGCCCCAAAAGGAGTGCCCCCCCCGAGTCTAAGGCCATGAATAGCGTACTCCTGCCGATTAACAAACCATAAAACCTAAAACTAAAAAAAGCACTTCAGTGAGTCAGCATTGTTTCAAATTAGATTTCTTATTACTTTTTTTTAACCATTGAAATGTCACGCTGGGAATTTTTTTTCAGCTTTTTCTTTAGACGCTTGTTTCCAACAGCGATTTCAAATTGAAAGAAACAGCGGCGAGGAAAGCTTTTAAATAGTATTTTGTTTTGACAACGAAGCGCTAATCTGGATCGCAAATTGATGTTAATCTACAAAAGTAGTGATTAAAATCGACTTTTCGGGGAACTTTTGTAATAAGCTGCAAGGCACAAGAGATAACGATCATCTTTAATAAACCCTTGACAGTTCTAAAACGGAATTTCCTGAATTGAAATTTGCAACATAGAGGCGAGACATTGTTAGCTTATGTGCAATCAATTCCCAGAGACGTCATTAAGAGTTTTTTTTGGTGGCGTGGGTAAAAGTGCCCTTTAAATTGCAAATTTCCTAATCTATTTCGTTAGCTGTAAAACTCATGACACCTGCTTATGTCGCGGAAGATATTAAAACTGTATATAACTTATCTTTGCGTTTTGTTCAATGTAATTTGCAAGCGTTTGCATATACTTTATTTTCGGATTTCTCTCCCAGGGGTTCTTCTATACAAATGGTAAAATTTTTAACGAGGGTCCTTGCGAATCCACTCTCAGAGTTGCTCCAAATCAACCGCTTGCCCGCCTTCGTTCGAGATATTTCAGTGATCCGTTGAACTTATATAACCAGTTTTAGTCGACAAACAAGAAAGCAGAAGACATTCACTCAACACGGATTTTCTTTTCAAAACATTTCGCGCGTGGGATAAGGAAGTTCCTTTTTAGTTATCTCTAGAATTTAGCGTTTTGATTTATTCACAATTTTTCGCATTCACTTGTTTCATTAATACGGATTCTCCTCAGCGAGGAAGGCACAATTCATAACCATGAATAAGCATTAATAGTGTTCAAATTTTTTTCGTAAACAAAACAATAAAACAGTCGGAAGTACCATTTTAGTTTCAATCATTTATTGTAAGACAATTCTGCTTTAGGTTTTTTATGGGGCTGGTTGAACAGAGATCACAAGTAAGGGGGAGTGACTCTGCCTTTGTCATAATATCGAGTTTGTATCCGTTTGTGTCTTGCTTTGTACAATAGCGGTCATACAAAAGACATTTTCAACCAAAAAATTTCATCCATTGCACCAAGATGGCCTCGTCAGTAGCATATTTGTCTTTCAAATCCGCACTGTTTTCGCTTTCAAATGGCTGTTCATCAACAGCTAGTTCTAAATTGTTGTTACAGTCGCGTCCAATTTCACTCTCTTTATTTTCGTTAGAAATATATTTGGCAAAAAATCCTGTTTTTAAATTTAACGCGGGAAGAATACAGTGTCGTTGGCTTTCTTTCTTGCTTGGAGGAAAAGATAAGCGACGACTCGAGGCTGGCTGAGACTGCCTAGCTTTCTGAACTTCCAGAACTGGAGCATTAAAAGGAACAGGGACTAGAGACGACTTTCGTCTCCGTGTGTACACTTGTCGCCCTGCTTGATTACTGTCTGTTTGCATTTGTGGTCTGTTCTTACCACAGACAGATGACCCCGTCAATTGTGGGTCCACCGTTCTGCTCCATCTTTCTTGACGATCCGGCGACTTTTCCACCTGCTCCGCGGTAACTAAGCACATGGGATCAGAATGCCTCCTAGGCGTCAATAAATCTCGAACTCCACTTCTCCATACCCCCTGCCCACTTTCAACCGAAGATCTTTTCCAAGAGGCGTTTTCTCTTTCAGCGCTCACACTGTAGCTGTCATTTTTACGCAGTGACAAGCTTTGAATAGTCCCCTGCGTTTTCAAACCAGCTGGCTCCGAATATCTTCGCCTTTGACAAGAAATAGGCGCATTAGAAGCGCGCCTTATTATCAAATACGAACCGTCCCGATAAATTGCTGGTAAAGACATAGTTCTAGGTCGACGGTGGTAGCTTAATCCTTCACTCGCAGTAATAGTTTCGAATCCATGAGCTAACCTCGTGCTTTCCGAGTGATAATTATCGTCGCCAGATTCTGAGATTGTTTTCAGTTGAGTTGATTGTACAGAAAGACGCCTCTCGGTTACTCGTGGATGAGAAATGCTTTTCTCGTAACACCCCAATGGATACGCAACTTTTCCTCCGAAAATACTTTCCACCATGTTCGTCGACTGAACTTCGTACCACGATCCGACTGCCTCATAAATCCTGTCTATCGGAGATATATTTTCAGTTTTCTGGCAGATCCAAATCTTCTGAGGTGATCTATTGTTGAAATTGCCCAGTGCCCTTTTTAAGGAAGCTGACCTGTTCGCGAAAAACACAAGTTACGAACAATGTTCGCACTGGAGGACGATTCTTCTACAAACGTAGTTTCAAAGCGAAAGCTTGCTTGTGGTCGTTTTGTTAATAAGTGTGTGCTTATAAATATTAACCACGGTTTGGCTACACGTAAAATTAATAACAACCATCGAAAGTGCTCTTTTTTTAGACCACTTATCATTCAAGACTGGTCAAGCATGGATCGAGTGTCACGAGCTTGCTCAACCGGCGCGCTTTATGTCTCTTGCATAATGATATCAAAACACATTTGCACCCTTAATGAGGTTGTTTTCATTCCTCTGGAATGACCCTGTCAGATATGAAATTGTCACTTTTAAAATTGGTTTGCCTGAAAGAAGTATTTCGTGATTTAAATGGAGCATTTTTATCTCCCTAACAATGAGAACGGTTATCTTTATGGATCGCCAGGTGTAGGTATAAATGCCATAAATGAAAGGTCGTAGCCTTAAGAAACATTTCATTGTTTCCGCGTGATTGTCAAGCTATTTCAGGAGGAAAAAGTGTAAATAACCAAACAAAAAATCGTCCATTTTACTAGAGTAAAAAATACTTACTTCCCAATAGTTGATACAGTATACGCATGCTCATGTTTCAACAGCATTTATAGATAATTTTCATGTTTTCACGTGTGTGCGCGCCGTAGTTACCACGGTAGCAGCTTGCAGAGTACAAAAGTGTTAAGTTTGTCGGGAAATATTCAAAACCCTTGTTAAAATAATGAGACTAAAGAAGATTATTTTGCATTTCCAATCGTAAAATTTTCTTTAATTAATGAAGAGTAACTTTTTTCGTCTTAGAATGATCAAACGACCGGGAATGAATTTAACACAGATAGTTTGCTCGCGGGGGGGGAGGGGTAACTCCTGGGATTTCTTGGTGGTGGTGTGCCGCCCGGTTCTCCAAATTCTGACCAAGTTTCAGACCAAAAAAATGTCATTTTCCACACCCGTTTTCAGACCTGGCCTCTAAAATCCTTACCCGTGTGGTCACAAAACATAACATTACATGTTTGCACAGAAATTAATTATGTCATGTCTGTCATCATTGCTGAGATTAAAATTGCAACAAAAAGATTACTTAAAATCCCCCGGCAAAATCCATTTCGATTTCGCATATTCCACCCTCTTATTCATTTGGAATTGAAACGACCGAACACATTGATACACTATCGTAATTCCTTTGTAAACCATACCCGATTCAACGGCTCAAAATGGGCAAAATCTATAACCGTTCTCAGACCAAAACGGCACAAAAACTCTACCCTTTGGGGTGGCACATACCAATATGGCTTATATAAGGGAGTACCCCCGGGCTAACAGCACTGGGCAACCGATGTAATTCATCAGATCCACTTCGTGAGCGATGACTGGGCCTATTATCTTGGTACCTCCCACCACCTGAGCTCTAAAAATATCTGGCATAAATTAATGTCCGACGACATCCATTTTTCATTTTCAAATCAATGATTGCTATCATTTTGCCTGCTCTTATCTTCTTAGATTAAAAACAGGCATCCTCTATGTTTTTTCTTATATTACATTTTTAAATAATGCCAAATTGAGTCAGTTTTTAAAAGTTTTACAAACCAGACATACTGAACTCTGAATGCGCCCTTTATATAACACAGACCTTTGTACTGCTCAATTTAATTACAGGAAAACATTTTTTTCCTTGTGGTTTGTGACAATTGAAAAAATGACCTTGGCACTGGAGACGCCGTGCAATTATATAAAAAATTCTCGCAATATTAGACAAATTTCTTTGAGTTAAAATGGTTTTTGTTTGCCTCTTTTTATCTCCCCAATAGCAATGGAAGTCAGACCGATGTACTTTTTATGATTTATAGTAACATGCGATAACTGCGTTCTTTTCGAGACACTGGGCACGTGAAGATGGCGGGCGACGGCAACGATAACCTCAAAAAGAGCGATAAGTAATAAATATACAAAATGTAGCATAACACAGACATCGAACTTATCCCACTCGAACTTATCAACACTAAAACAGAACAACGTAGAGCACGCGAACGTTTTTACATTGAAAAGTCACAAACTATGCAGTACCGGGAATAAACAGAGAGGACGACCGTTAAACGATTTACGTACTCATTATTATTATATTCTTTATTTCATTTCAGTTTATTTTATTATTATTATTATTATTATTATTATTATTATATTTGTTCATATATTTTTATTTATTTCTAATGTTTTCTTTTTACACTGCCGTATTATTATTTACTTTTTATTTCTTATTCTATTTTTTACATTTTTTATTTTATTTATTTATCTTTAATTTTTAATTAATTTAATTTATTATTATTATTACTATTTTATTATTATTAAATACTTTTTATTTTACTTAATTTTTAATTTTTTTCCAGTTACCAAACTATCTCATTTGTTTGAATCGTTTCTCGTTATTGGCTCATTTCGTTTTTTACATTGCCTTTGTATTGAATTTCCAACTACTACTCGTCGTTTATAATATTTGAATTGTAACGACTTTTCGATTCTCTATTACATCCCCTGAAGAAGGACGGCTTGTCCGTCCGAAATATCGGGAAACCTTAAGCCGCTTTCCTTTTTGCTGCTTTGTTATTGATGTCTATAAAATGTAGCAATACCTATTTGTACATTTCGTTGCCGTCACTGCACGTGAAAATACTCGTAGGCTGGACGTAATTGAACAAGCCACGGCGAAATATTCTTCGGCTTTCCAGGGGTCCATTGTAAGTGAGCGGGAATCAGTTCGCAATGAAGAGTTCACTCGCAGGCGACGTTGTCGCCGCCGTGACCGTCCTTGGATCTGGGTCTCCACTGTGTGGCTCCATGTAAGGGAACACGGGAAATGTTTGCTGGTGAAACGTGAATTCGAAACAGGGCTCAAGGGATCCGGAATCCCACTAACGATTAGAATCGGGAATTCAAGTTCCACTGACAAAGACTGGAATCTAGTACCAGGAATCCGGAGTCACCGTATGGAATCCCAGAATTCAAGACCGTCTTGGATTCCCTTACTTTGGGCGAACTGTGGAGAGCGCATTCGTGTAGCTGCGCACAGGAGACCCAGCCCTTCGGTTCAGAAGCCGACCTAAAACCCCTTACGAAGATGTACATAAGCAGGAGCCGGCTCCTGGCATATATAAGCGAAGCCCAGGGCTTATAAACGTAAGTTTACGGTATCTGATGTTTGTACTAAGCCCCCAAATCCAATATTTTCTATTTGTCCACACTTTTAAACACCCTCTCCCACTTTTTGTTCATTTTTAACATTCGAAAAATCATCTAAAACTTCTTAAACATTTCAGTATTGAACCAATTACTCTGACCCTATCGAGCCATTGTTTAGACGCCCAGGTGGTTCTTTTTTTAAAAGACCTTGCCCGATTTCAGACCATAATGTGCAAAATCTATACCTTTTCAGACTTTTGAGACCAAAACGGCTAAAGAACCAAATCCTTTGGGACGGCATAGGAGTACCTAACAATCTCTGTAACTTTTCCCTGGTTTATGGCGTTAAAAATTAGGTTGTCGCTATCTACAAATTAGGATTGCTTCGTACAAAGCGTGTTCTTTGAAATCACATGGCATAAACCACTACGGGGCTTTCGATACTTGCTTTAGAGGCAACCTTAAATCACAATTTGATTTTATCAGAAATGCTCTTGGTCTTTGGCCGTCTCAGTTTTAAAAGGAATAGCACACAAAGTGCGGTTACTAAAAAAACTTCAGAAATAACAAATTAACGGTCACTTCTGAAGATGTATGTTGAAGCATACGAAACGTCAAGTTCCTTTTATAAAAGTCAGTTATACAAAGTGTTTGTTATTTGTGATGTTTGTAACCGCAGTTTGTGTGTAATTCCTTTTGATTTTATTAAACCCGATAATATTAATATATTACATTGAGCTAAAAAATCTCAGCACGTGATCAGTTTTTTCGCCATCCCCTACTCTGCTTACCCGTGCGAGTCAATTTATGTCAACGAAAATTAATCTCAAAGCACTAAAACGAATCTGTTTTCACCATAGTGAAACCGGATATCTGCGTTTATATGGAAAGTAGTCTGTTACACAGCCGTTTTTACTGTCGTCACGCAACGCTCCTGCGTGACGACACTAAAAACGACTGTGCAGCAGACCATATGGAGAGCGAATTTTCTGGTAATGACCAGCAAAATCTATAACTGCAATGATCTACTTTCATATAACTCTTCACCCTGCACTTCACATATATGATTTTCATACATTCATAACTTCATCATCATGATTTTGCGGAGTTTATAACAAACCAATTCAACGACCTGCTCCCAGCTGGCTTGTTAGCTCAGTTGGTAAGAGCGCTGCACCGCTAGCCTAAATTTTTTTTGCCAGGCTTTCTTTTTATAACTGCAAAAGTTGCGTCTATAACTGCGATCGATCTACTTTCATATAATTCTTCACCCCGCAGTTTACATATATGATTTTTATATATTCATAACTTTAAAAGTAACATCAAGATGTATGCAGATGACCATGGAAGATGGGGAAAGGATTTAAAAGGCTGACCTCAAATTGGTACCAACTCAATTTGCTGAAATGTAATCCGAAAAAAAAATCAATTTAGTTTTTGTGCACCGGTTTTGTGTAGGGTGTCTCTTCGTGAATTTATTTTCAGATCAATTGACTTCATCATCAACAAAAGTGACTACGCTGACTACGTACTTCGTTCTTATTTTTATTTTTGTTGGCTTAACTGCTTTCTTCCGTTAACTAGATTTACGATGCTCACATTTTCCTTTTTTGACAACAGTTTCACTTACTTCTACAATCGGAATGCAGCACGTTAATACATCACGCTGAGCTCGACATTAAAACATTGCTTCGCTCGGCTCAAGATCTAAACAAAGAAAAACAGTAAGAGAAAAGGGACCAATAGAGCCTGCGGCCTCATTCCAGCGGTTTCAGCACTGTTATTCAGGGGATTGCCGAGGTCCTTCACACCAAAACATTGGTCATTTCCTGTTGCTTCAGGATCTCGATTATTTTTGCAGAAAGGATTGTAGTCGTTGAAGCCCAAATCTATTAATTCCTGGTCAGAAGATGAAAAGGTACATTGCGATCGTAACAGGTTCTTCAGGCACTTCTTTGCTTTGGCATTTTCCCTGTCGAAATGAAAAGAGACCAATGTGTCAGGATTTTTTGATGGTAAGGGCGGACTGAAGTGGCGAAAAGGAGAAAGGGGCTGCTCAGGTGGAGGAGAGAAATTGAGGAGGCAGAGGGATTCAATCGAATTTGCGCAATCTTTCCTCATATCCTCATATGTCCTAATTTAATTCTTTAACCCTTAATGGCTCGGCATCACTCACTGGACGAAAAAAAGGATTTTACACAAATTTGCTTTTGGCAGATGTGTAGCAAGGTTTTAAAAACAGATGAGTAAATCTGAGGCAAAAATGGTAAATATCTCATTTGCCTAGTTATTTACACCCCCTGTTTTTTGCCCCTATTTCCAAGGAGTACATTTCTCCAAATCCATTTTTCGTCCAGTGACTTTTCCCTATCGATCTACTGCAAGTTGAAACTGGCGAGACTTGACAAGCTCGTCCCTGGAATTCCGAAAGAAAAGGCCGGGGAACATTGCTGAGTGGGGAAATGAGAGAAGACTGAAGGTCGGGGGAAAAATGGATCATTATGACTTTAAGCATAGGCAAACTTTTAATCTGTTTGCAAACCATGGCCACTGCTGACTGCCACCACACCATGTAGGGTCATAGATAATATAGGAGTTAAGTATAGTGGATTGTCCTTGGCACGGAGCTAACTGGGAAGACTTTGAATTATTTCTTTAAAGATTCAACTTACGAGCAAAGACCTGGATCCGACCTGTTTGCAGCGAATTTATGATGGAAGGTTCTCAAACAATTGGTTGCACCAGTGCTAAACGAGCTTCTACATGGTGAGCCCACCGAAGGAATGGCTGGAACCTCATATCCACCTTTTAAACACATGACATTTTCTTTGAAATGCTTGCGTGCAAGGCTTTCGATGCGACTTTGAGACAAATAATGTCCAGCACAAATATGCCCAGTCTTTGTTAAACAAGCAATTAATCTCTCGAACTTGGCACTACGGAAGAAAAATGGAAAATTAATGCATCATCTTGTCCAGAATTAACGGGAGACATTTATATGTTATGAGCGCCGGCTCTGCATTTCATCGTCCGTTAACTTTGTACTTGTCGTCTACTTTACATTGGACCGGTATATGTGTTTTGGTCACCTACAGTATCCAAAACTATCCCATCCCACAATGCCTTTGAACACAACTAGGAACCTCAATACCCCTTGCTATTGTTACAGAGATCAGTCTCTCATGTATAACTGAAATTCAACGTGAACCCACTTAACCTAGCTGTAGTTGCATGTATGTCGACATGCATGTGCGTAGGAAAGCACCGAAGAGGAAGTTGGGTAAACAAATAAGAAACAGTAGTTTAGGTATCTTTGCAAAAGACCGGGACTTTGATCTCTTACAGTAAAGCAGACTGCTTGCTGTTGGTTGTTCTCTCGAATTTCGTCCTTGAAATGTAATTCCACTTCCTCAAAAGCTCAGAGAAAAAAAGTTGCCTTGAAGACAGGAATTAGGGCGTGTCAAGGAACACAGTGAGGGGATAGGTTAAGAAAAGCTGGACCGCAAGAAGTGCACATGCGCAGTGGAAGTTCTCCTCGGCACACTCGAGTAGGTGGACAGCTCTTTTAATGGTCGCCTTCGCAACACCCGTTTTTCTCAACTCCCATACGAACTCTGTATTTTTACATTCCCGTAAGCGGCCAGCTTCAATTACGGACAACTTTTTCGCGTTTCGAACAACTGTTCTGTACCTGCAATCTCCATTAGGGTCTTTCTGGAGTCTTTTAACAAACACCGTTTGGCATTTCGTGGCATCACAGAAATATTCCATAAATGTACATTTACCAACGTCAGGAAGAGCTGTTGTTCCTTCTGCATATAGGATGGCTAAAAGAAAACCGAGAGGGATTATTGCAATTGAAAGAGCGAATGATATTCATAGTACAAAACAACAAATCGATTAATGGATCAATCATTCAATGAATGTTCAGATTGAGTGTAATTTGGCTTTTCTCAGCTGGTTATCATAGTACTTGGCGTGTTGGCGCTTTACCTGGTAGCACAGTTTCTGTACTGTGTCAGTTTACCACAATAATAAGCGAAGCGCCTTACAAAAATGGGAAACGAGGAAGGAGGAACGAGAAACGAGAAACTATCAAGGGCAAAGGGAGAGTGAAATAATTGAACAAAACAGAGAATGTTTGAGAGGATGGGCTTTGTACCCATGCATGTATTCCCTATTCCTCATTTAAGTAACTTCTCCTTTTAAGTCCCTTTTTTATTAAAGAGTAAAAAATTTCATGTTTGAATCATTGTCCATCATCTCAGATGAAAGTCTGAGCCCTCAAATGTTTAGAAAGCGCTTCGATATTTTGATGAAAAATACATCTTTATAACCCACTCAAATAAACCTATGAAAAGAGATAATTAGTCGTAAAATGTATAGCCAACTCAAAATAGAGAATAGGTTGCGCCCTTTTCTTGCAGGTTGATGAAATAAATCACGATGCACAGAAAACGACAAAAAATTTTGTAAAATTCTCAGTCTCGGTACTGGGCTTGTTCTCTGTCGTCTTTCTTTTGATGCAAAACGTTTTTTTGGCTTTATCTTATACATTGTAAGAAATTCCGGGCATAGTCACTGAAATGATAGTTAAGACTAAAGAATGCCTGTTGTTGGACGGTTCAGTTTGAGTGCAAGAAACATCACAGAATATGCAAGCAAAACAAAGGTACTTTTCGGCATGAATTAGCATGAAAGTCGAGCCGTAGGTTCGGTTTTTGTGAAAAGGCAAAAGTCTTGAAATTAATGAAACCGAAGTTGACGGCTTACCAAACAAGAGAAGAATGCTTTTGAGGTACATTTTGCCTCTAAGATGACTTCAGTGTGGTGACCTGTTAACAATTGATCTGTACTGAGACTAATTTGAACTTGAACTGCCAACTCGCATTTAAAAGTACATCAAGAAGACACAATGATGCATAAAAAACCTGATGTAAAACTACTGAATCGGTCACTGTACTTGGTATGCGGAAAAGTTGATCATCCTCTCGGAACTGAGATTGAGGCCATTTCTCTTAAACAATCAATCCATTAATCAACTTTTTTTAAACACGGTAAATGGCTCACCAAGCTGGTTTTCAGACATGCCGTGTAATAATTACAATTTATAAAAATTAAGACTGGTGATTAACAAACAATTCAATATAACAGCAAGAAATGAGTATTAAAGAAATAAGATAACCGTCCTTGTTCTATAGAATCGAAACGTGGGTCCTTCGTTTTTAATATGCATGTCTCTGGAAAGGAAGTGAAGACGTCTGATATCGATCACAGGAAGACAAAATGACGCAAAGAGACCGAGCGTAAAAATACTTTTAAATATGTTCCTGTGATGTACTTGGTACGTGGAAAACTGCGCCCCCCTTCCCCCCACCCCCTCTTCACTAGAAATATCACCCTGGGGCATTTAATGTCTTTTTGTCACATTGCCATAAAAAAATAAGGAGTCCTTAGGTTGCTGTAGAAAACGTACGTTTTTCCGAATTTTCTGACACACCACTAAAACACTACTTAGTTTCTCTTAGATTGTTCAAAAAATCATCGAGCAAAACGCACAGTACCAACAAAGGAAAAAAAGCTAGTGAGGGCGCATAAGGCGAATCAATGAAGTTATGTTAAAACATAAAGCATTTGGGCATGAGGTTCGCGTCCAAGGCTGTTATGAGGTTCGACCGAATAAAAATGAAAGTAAATAAATAATAAAAAATGACATGCCAGGCACAAAAAGAATTTGTGAGGTACAGTTAAATCTTAGGCATTTTCACACTAACCGTAAAAAATTCTTTGAAACAGTATATTTTCCCAGAAAGAACCAAATACGGCTCCAAAAAGGCCAATATTATTTTTTCAGTATATCAAGGAGTTTTCGGCCATTTTACGACAATTTATTTCAGATTTCCAAAGGCCACACAACATTTCCGAAGACTGCCGAAGACTCTCGAAGACCAACGAAGAGGTCCGACCATTGATTGCCAGAGATGTCCGAAGAACGCAACTTCGGAAACAGAAAACATTATAAAATTAGCCAATTTAACAGCAAACACTAAAAATTTTTATGGCCAAATAACACTAAACACTAAACCCCATTCAGACCCTCTGTTAACATGCATGTCTGAAAAAGTGTGGAAGCAACTTGTGTAACAGGAAGCAAAATGATTTGAAGTGTCCGTGAGTAAAAATGCTGTGAAGAACTTCCCGTGAAAATATTTAAGAGGTTCATAAAGACTTTTTAAAACAGGAAGAGAAAATGATGTAACGAGATCGAGCGTAAAAATACGGTAAAATTATGTTCCCGTGAACATATTTACTGCCGGAAACATTTCGTAGTTTATCGTATTTAATGATATTTAATTTGGTGCGAAGTATTTCCACGTAGGCATGTCTCTTGAGTATGAACAAAGCAACTTGTGTAACGATAAGACAGAGTGATGCAAAAAAAAAAAAAAAAAAAAAAACGAGCGTTAAAATACAGTTCAGTTTCCCTGTGTTACTGATATCTCGGCATTGTAATATTCAAACATTGGTGGCGAAACTGAATGAATTAAAATAGTAGCTAACTAAAGAAAATAGCCGACGCCATTGTGCATTTTTCGTTATCGATGGAGGAGGCTCTCAGTAGAACATGGCGAAACCGTAGAAGAAAAGAAAGGCTGAAAAATAATTTCCGGGTCCGTCAGTCAGCGTGTTTCAGAGCACGAACTCTGCATCGACTGCGTCATGAGGTTTTTTAACCCGGCGTGTTAATTTTCTTTTTATCAGCTATCACCATTCCTAGAACTGTTTTCTGAATCCACTGTTTCAAACAGTTGAACATGAAATGGAAGTGAGAGAAAATGTGCAAGACGTTTTCACTGCGTTGATTGACATTATTATGTAAAACTGCATAGACCATGATCGTTTCAGGTTGTATTAAGTCCCCGGGGGGGGGGGGGCACTTTAGGAATTTCTGGGTGGGGATGTGCCACTGGGACCCTGGAACCCTTGACCTATACCAGAGCTAGTTCAGCTGAGTTTTGCTACCCTATACTAGAGTAAAAATCCCCCTATCCCCAAACACTCTGATTTATATACCCTATCCTAGAGTAAACTGTTTCCCCAGTCTAGATAAAATCTTCAACCAACTGATCAATCGTTTCCAGTGAAAAAATCATACCCTATTCTAGACCCAAACGCTCGGATTTATATACCCATTTTTATCCTAGAAGTAAACTGCTTGAAAACCATAATTATATTCACAAATCAGCGGCACATACCTATATGGCCCATATATGGCAATACCCCCCCCCCCCGGATTAAGTCGTTCTGTTAAGAATCCAATCGTTGATAACAGTGAGAAAAGCTTTAATGTTATACATAATTAGTGTTACTTCGCACCGCTCTCCACTATCTGAACGTTAAATAGCGGGGACTTCGAATTTACATAAAGACGATCTGCTGTTATTATGATTGGTAACATGCGATAGTGCGTTATTTTCGCTGGACACCAGGGACTTTAAGACGGCGGGCTACGGCGACGGCATCGAGAACGTCAAAAAGTGCGATAGGTTGAAAAGGCCAAACAACAACTTTGCACGTGTAGCAACACCTATTTCTACATTTCGTTGCCGTCACTGCACGAAAACAACGTGAAAATACACTTGCGCTGGGCGTAAAAAAGGCACGACGAAATATTCTTTCGCTTTCTGAACTTGGATGTGGAAATCCAGAGAAAGTCAAGTGAGACAAAATATTCCCAATGAAGAGAGTTCACTCACAGCACAGGCGACGTTGCCGGTGCAATGACCGTCGGCTTGGATATTTAGGTCCCCACTGTGTCGCTCCGTGTAAGGGAATACTAGGGAGCTTTAAATTTAAGCTTCGACGACGGCAACGGCAGCGAAAACGTCAGTTTTAAAATGAATTCCCGTTTTTTCAATCTTTGTCGCGTTTATTCCAATTTGCTGAAAATGGCAAGTGTAGGAGAATTTCCCTGGAGTTGATTTCTTGAGGACCGCACTCAAGTTTAGGAGAGAAAAAGAGGTTTACGTCCTCTATAAAACTTGTTATTAGGCATTTTCACGTCGTAGTCGTGCAAGGACGGTAAAGAAATGTACAAGAAAGCGTGATGCACCTGCAAAGTTGTTGTTTTGCTAACATAAACCTATTGCTTTTTTGACGTCCTCGTTGCCGTCGCCGTCGCCGTCGTCGTTGCTAAAGCTCCCTACTGATTCCGGAGTCCGGGAAATTTTTACTTGTGTAATCCGCGACATCCTGGGCTTTGAAATCCGGAATACAGCTCAAGGAATCAGGAATCCCACTAATTAATTATTGGAATCCAGAATCCAAGTTCCATTGACAAAGACTGGAATCCAGTACCTGCAATCCGGAGCCACGGTATGGATTGGATTGCCTTTCATAAGGCGTGCTGTGGAGAGCGCGTTTTTACGACGGTAGTACATAGCCGCGCACAGGAAGCCCAAGCTCACTATGCGAGCCCGTGAGAACCACCTACGGTTGCTTAGCTAATTAATCATGCATACAGTAACTATTTTAAGAAGTTCTATGCTGCTCTATAGTAAAATTTCTTATGTTTATTTGTGAACTGACTGCGTTTCAGGCCTCTTAGGCACGTTTACCTTGCTTTTCCTTGTTCTGGCTTGTCCAAAGCGCTTTTTCTATTCCAGTTATAAGCGCCCTTGGATATAGTCCCTCTGTTCATAAGCAGACCTAAAACCCCTTACGAAGATGTATAAGCGTAGCCCAGGGGTTATAACGCGCACAGTCTACGGTATCTGATATTTGTATTGAACCCCCAAATCCAATATATTTCAATTTTCCATACTTTTAAACACCCTCCCCGACTTTTTGTTCCTTTTTAACATTCGAAAAATCATCTAAAACTTCTAAAACATTTCAGTATTGAACCAATTACTCTGACTGTATCGAGCCATTGTTTAGACGTCTCTCCCCATTCACAATATGATTTTATTAAAACCCGATAATATTAAATTGAGCTAAAAAGTCTCAGTTCGTAATCAGCACGTTAATTTTATTATCCTTCTGAAAGTTAAATGTTTGGTTTTTTTTTTCGCCATCCTCTACTCTGCTTACTCGTGCGAGTCAATTTATGTCTTTGGGGAGAATTAATCTCTTAACATTAAAACGAATCTATTATTGATATCTGCGTTATGGAAGTAGTCTGTTACACAGCCGTCTTTCGTGTCGTCACGGGGAGGAGCGTTGCGTGACGACACTAACAACGGCTGTGTAGCAGACTATAAGGAGAGTGAATATTCTGATAATGTCCCGGGGGGGGCACTTGGGTATTTTTTGGGTGGGTATGTGCCGCCCGGGATTCCAAATTGGCACCCCGTTCTAGAAAAAAATTCCCCTAAAATTGATACCCCGTTCTAGAAATAGGCCAATTTTTTATACCCCGTTCTAGAATTCGCCCTAAAACTAACACCCCGTTCTAGAAATGGGCCAGTTTTTTATACTCCGTTCTAGGGTGCAACAAGAGTACAACGGTTTGCTTGTTAACGCACTGAACCGTATTTTTAAAAGCAATCTGTCCTTGAAGGCTTTCAAATGGCTGCTTACAAAAGTGGAGAGCTTTCATGCGTTCGAAATATTATACCCCGTTCTAAACCAGGAGCTTCAAAATCACGACCCCTTTGGGCGGCACATACCCGTATAGGTAATGTATGGGAGTACCCCCCCCGGGGATAATGTCCAGCAAGTCTATATAATTTTTATAGTGTCCGCACGACACTGTTCTGTTTTGTTTTTCCAATAAGTAACATGAATTGGATCAAAAGGGAATTTGTCCTTTGTCTTGTCATAAATTATGCGTACTTGTGCGCGTAAATAATAATAAGAGACTTCGGTACTCTGAAGATTAAAAATATCACATGACTAACACAACAAAGAAAAACCGACTGAAGAACATACACTGTTCCGTTAGGTTTGCAATGCCCCGGCTGCGAGTGTGTGTTATCGGAGCCGGAGCTGCTGGACTCGCGGCCGCTAGACATCTCACAAGTGAACTGGACGCGTTTGATTTGCGTGTGTTTGAACAAGCCTCTCGTGTTGGAGGAACATGGGTCTACACTGAAAACACAGGGATCGACGAACGCGGGATTCCAGTTCACTCCAGCATGTACAGAAACCTCAGGTAATTAAAGAAAAAATAGAAAGAAGAAACTTGCGACATTCATATTGAACTTAGCCCTCAAAATTAAGCGTGTTTTTTACGTAAACACAGACGCTAGAAGTATTGCCAAGGCAAATATAAACACAAGCGTAAAATATAAATTGTTCACTGAGTTTTGATTGCGTAACTTGGCTTGGCTACGCGAAGAATCAAATTCTGAGAAGATTTTTGTTACTGTCAGATTAATTACAACGGCCTTCAGAAAAACCTGTGACTTCCATTGATATATACCAACCTGCTGTTTATAAAACTTTATTACTTTTCTCTTGATGAAACTTTGGAGCAAAAATTATTATCAAAGCTTAGTTAATTACTCCATTTTTGGTCTCCCGTCGCAGCCGCTCCCAGGCTAGAGTCACGCAAGCTCTCCGCTCCCACGCGGCGAATCACGCTGCGCGGCGCGCTTGGGGGCGGGGAGCTTGCGTGACTCCGGCCGAGCGGATTCACTGTGTGCCATAAGGCAGGAACGCGTTCTTTTAAAAGAGAGAGATTAGTTTCTTGGTCTTTTTTTCCGTGACCAGCTTAGATATGCTCTTATGTCGCATGACTCAAATGGTATTTACCGCACGAGCCAAGCGCGTGCGGTCCGAATAAAGCAATACAGCCAAAAAGAACGATATTTTCCATTTTGTTGTGCTTCTGGTGCCTTCTTTCCATTCATCGTATTTCTTTTAGGGAGCCTAAAAATATAATCCCTGCAGAAAATAATAATACTTTGAACTTAGCCCCGCTTGAAGCAGAGATTTTGGGCAATTTGGAAATGGAGTATGGCGCTCGTTGGAAACACTTGAACTAAAAGAATATATATTTTATATCTCTTTTCAGAACCAATCTGCCCAAAGAGGTGATGGCTTTTCCTGATTTTCCATTTCCTTCAGAGTGGAGCTCATTCTTAAGTCACCAACAAGTTCTGAAATACTTAGAAGATTATGCCAGTCATTTTTACTTGTACAAGTACATTCAGTTCAACTCCATTATCAGCAGTGTCCGTCCTCTGATGGGAAAAGACAGTCAAAAGCCACTGTGGGAAGTTGCTGTTACAGATGCTGATACTAAGGAATCTCAAGTTCTCCTGTTTAATGCTGTTATTGTTTGCAGTGGGTAAGTCGATTTCTGTCTTTCGCGGTTGTTGCTATAAAATCGAAAACCTCTACAACATTATGACTTTGACAGAGTCGGAGCTGGAGTAGCGGAATCGGAAGAAAATGGAAACGTTCTGATTCTTCTGACTCCGATTCCGTCGCGCTGATGACTCCGCTTACGACTCCGACTCCGTCGCTAGTGAAAACCAGCCTTTAGCAATCGTTGAAATGTCGCTTTTATCTGGAGTAAAAATTGCTGTGCGAAAAGACTTGTCTGACTTTAAGAGCAAAGCTTAGCACAGTGGGCTAGTGGGCGCGGCCTTCCAGTGTGCGGGAGGAGTTACGAGTTCTATTCCAAGGCTAGGTGTGAGGTCAATGACTTGTTTCCTTTCCGTGTAACTTTGTACTTTAAATACCCGTAATATGGTGACCCGTACGGGAGAGCGGGAGATCGGGAGATCGGGAGATCGGGAGATCGGTGCCGTATGCGGGAGACTCCCGGATAATCCGGGAGAGTTGGCATGTATGCGCATGGAGAGAGGGGTTTAAAATGAACGCACCTTCGATCGGCCTTATAGGTACATTAAAAATTTGTGGGACACAATACTGATCTTAGTCTTCGTTAACTATATTATTAGATATAAATGTGTGAAAGAATGAAAGATGATGAATTTTAAGCTCGGTGAACAATTGTGAAGATGAAATAATGAGCATATCACGAGGGTGGTTCGAATCCTGTCGGGGACTCAAATTTTTTTCTTTGTCCCACGCTCGTGACATGCTGATTATTTCATCTTCACATCAGATATAAATATTTTTAGAAATTGAAAAAGTTGGAAGCATCATCAACAAAATCGATTCGGTTTTGGTGCGTGCCTAATTTTCTTTCCCGCTTCGTAATTCCAAGTGTTTCTTGCTACATCAGACTGTGTTGTCTATCTATTTCGGGCGCACCCGCACCGATTTGATTAGTCTGTCCCATCGCCGTCTGTTGGCTGCGACAGATGGAAGTTTCTGTCTCTTAAAGCTGATGTTACACGGAACGATTCGCAGCGACGATTTTTAGGGCAACACAGCGTTGCAATGTTGGAACAATGTAGTAACTATTCAAAACAATTTCGCAACAATGTTGCAACGCTGTGTTGCGCTAAAAATCGTCGTGATCGTTGCGAATTGCCTCGTGTAACATCACCTTACGACCGGTATCAGTCTCTAGATGGTTAATGAATGTTGTTTCGGGAATCCAAGACAGTGTTGGATTCTGGATTCACACCGTGGATCCCGGATTACAGGTACTGGATTCCGGATTTCATTCGTTTGTCGGATCCCGGATTCCTTGATCTGTATTCCCGATTCCAAAGGCCAGGATTCCATATTTCACAGCAAAAATTTGCTGGATTCCGTATTCTTTTTCAGTGGAACTTGGATTCCGGATTTCCTTCGTTTGGGGCTCCCGGATTTCTTGATCTTTATTCCCGGTTCCAAAGGCCAGGACTTCATATTCGTAGCAAAAATTTGCTGGATTCCGGATTCCACGGGGAAAAATTTCCCGGATTCGGGAATCCGGATTCCCTTATATGGGTCAGGTGTTACTGGTCGCCCCCTTGCGCGTCTGCCGTGTTTTGGTTCCCAAAGAAGCTACAAGGAGAGATATTATAGTTATTCATTTGATTACATGTTTAATCTTTCCGCTCTAACTAAACTATCTGCAGGCATTACTCTGTTCCGTATGTGCCCATAATTCCTGGTCTGGAGTCTTTCCCTGGACTTGTTATGCACAGTCATGATTATCGCCATCCTGAAATCTTTCAAGGAAAACGCGTGGTAATTCTTGGAGCTGGACTATCTGGACAAGACCTTTGTCTTCACGTCGCAAAATGTGCAGATAAAGTTTACCTCAGCCATAAACGAGCTGTTCTCCGCTGCATACTTCCAGACAACTTGGAACAACACAGGCCGATAGCCTGTGTATCTGTAGATGGAACCGTTCAGTTTGATGACGGACAAGAGAGGAGAGTTGATGCCATCTTACTTTGCACTGGTTACAAAACTTCTTTTCCATTCCTACATGATGACTGTAATATTCAGGTCAGGAACAATAGAGTAACTCATTTGTACAAACACATTTTTAACACAAAGTTCCCAACGTTGTCATTCATAGGATTATGCTACCGGTTTTGTATCTTTCCACGTTTCCACCTCCAAGCCCAGTACATTGCAGCCATTTTTAGCGGACGTAAAATATTACCACCCGAAGATATGATGAACGCCGAGGAAGAAAAAGATTTTCGGGAGATACTTTCCGCTGGTTTGCGTGAAAAGTATGCGCACTTTACTTTGGATGACAAGTGGGATTATGATAACGCCATTGCACTGTTAGCGGGCGCGGACATGTTGAGCCCACATTACAAGGATCTGCATAAACATACTTTTCACAGGCGGGAACATTTTCTAATGGATTATAAGAATGATGAGTTTATATTAACTCCTGATGGCATGTGGAAAACTGTATAATGTCGCACGCAACATGCTAGGTAAAAGTATTACTGACACAAAAATTGATTCAACTATAAAAAATTGCGATAAAACATTTCTTAAAATCATTTTAAGATTAAAAAATTTGCTAAAAAGGGACGACGTTTCGACGTTAGCTGAACGTCATTATCAAGTCAAAATAAGTTAGTGATTTTTGGTCTATAAATACTAAAAAAAAACAACAATAGCTGATTAAAAAATTGTAACGTGAGAAAATATTAAACAAAGAGTTTCGCACGTATGGAGTCCGTCTGAATATTTAAATTGGGCTTAAGCTTCTTGATGAAGAGCATTTCAAATACTAAACAATCAAATTTGTTCTGGCACTTTCTTAAAACCGTGAATTGGCTTTCTCTCAAAAGGTTGTTGTTACCGTGAGCTTCTAAGAAATGTCTACCGATTGCTCAGCAATGCGTTGATGAAGGTGTCGGGCTGTGTACCCGACATAATCTGCATCGCACAGATCACATGAAAATTGGTAAACAACACACTGCTTATTAACAATTGACGGCTTGACCACATTCTAGTAGTACGTATCATGGGCTCTTATTTGGGGAAAATATCTCCGATCCTTGTTATGGCACAACTGCAGAATTCGTGGCCACTCTGTTGAAACAGCTGAAAATGAAGCGGCGTACACTAGGCGTGGAAAGCGATTGGCGGGGAGGAGAGCGTTAATCCCATCAATTTAAGATAGGTGAGCACACCTTGATGGCCTTTCCCTAAGGAAGTAAAGTTCAGAAATACTACCCTGGTTAAGGGAAAACCACAAAATGTGAATTGGCTCTTTTTCAGTAATTCTTAATTTTTTTACGTGGACAATCACAAAGCACAGAAATTTAGAGTAAATTTAAAAGTTGTTAAGTGAATATGCTATGTCATGGATCAACATTGACAGACATGACAGAATTAGACTAGATGGTAGGGTAACAGATAGTTTGTCCTTTTAACATCAGCTTCGGTCACTTGATTTAGGTACTTGTAAGCTATTATCTCCATTACACAAGTTGTAGTAGCAATAGTTTGCGCACTTAGCGGTGAGAGCCATGGGCGTATTAAGGGGTGGTCTGAGGGAAACGCGCCTCCCCTTTCTTTCTTTGAAACCTTGTATTATAATTGTCAGTATTATAAATAGTGTCTGTACAACTGGCAAGTGTTTTAGTCCCCCAACCTTGCCCTTGCTTCGAGACGTTTTCGCCGGCCTGGTACTCCGGTTATCCGCTTCGTACAAAATAAAACATCTTTAAATCCTAATTCGATACGTATACGGATTGGAATGGTAGACGAAGAGTCACGTTGTAGTTGTGCTACTGATATAGACAAGGGTCCCGCCAATAGGGTTCTTTAATCCCGTAATCCCGAGGGTTATCTTGGACATTCTAACTCGAGCGCATACTTTCGAATCCCGAATTTCGCCACGATTTTGCTCTAAAATCCTAAATCTTGAACTTCAAGTAAGGGAAATCCAGGATCCCGAAAAACTCATTAGGGACCCTCATCAATCGTTATTTGAATACAGCGATCGATTATTCGATTCCACTGTGGCTAAGTTCAATCTGGATAATTATGAAGTTTAAAGGGACGGGTTCACGGTCAGGCGCATGCTCATTAATTAAATTACTTTTTTCCAATTTATTATCAATTTTATCGGTTAATAATCCCACCCACATGTATCTCAGTGATCTCAGAGTGTATTTCAGAGTAACCTGAAGTAGGATGGAGGAGTACTAAAATCGCAGAAAAAAATTAGTGGATTATGCCAACACTACCAACGTTGAATTTATTGTTGACCCGAAGGTTTTATTCCATGGTTGATTAATTTACAGCTATTTGTAAATGTTTAAGTTGATCAAGTGCAAGTGACTGCCAGCGAAGTGTGCAGATCGCATGGTTCTTTGACAACATTATGACTTGATCATATTGCTTGCATAGACGATACAGCATGTCCCAGCAGAGAAACAGCATTTTAATAAATGAGCATGCGCTGAACCGTGAACCTGTCCCTTTCGGAATAAATTCGTTGCCCAATTTGACTTCCTTTGTCGTACTTACTATCGTTTCATATTATTTTTCGTCTGTTTGTTTGTTTTTATGGTACGTAATTTATCGCACCTTGGAGTTGTCTTTTGAAATTTTAAATGGGGTTTTAATAAATGATGACTCTTGGAAAACCAAGATTGAATCATGTATAAATAGACCATTTTTCAATTGTGGACTAAGCACCCTAGCCTTCGAGTGAATGTGAGGCTAACGGTGACCACGGTTTTGATACAAACCTCCTTTGCTTTGTTATGGAAATTGTACCTGAAAAATACTGGTTAGCATAAGAATAACTTGTTTTACATGATAAAGCAGGAGAGTTTGTATCAAAACAGGGTCAACTCCAGCCTCGGTTCCATACATAACTGTAAGCTACTGTAAAATGGCCAATTGTAAATCACGGTTAAATTATTCATATTTGGATTTTGATTCGGCTTTCATATGATCTGAAGAATTAGCTTTTTATGAGGATCGAGGAGGGTCTTCGGCCTCGCATAGATCCGAGGGAAACAGTTAATTTTGTTTTCCCCTTGACATTAAGTGTTTTGTTATATTTCTAGACTTTGACTTCAACGTACTTCAACAGCAACAAAAGAATACGCTTAAGCAGAGTGAATCAAAACAGTCCACTCAGTAATTAAAAGAACACAAATTTAATTCTCCAAACCACTGAACGAATGATTTACAAAGTACTTTCTTATATTGTCTGCATCTTTTTCCAAAATTTCAACAAATGTGAATTTACGAAAAAATTCTGTGAATTCATCAATTTAATTATTAATTCTGTGTAAGTTAGCTGCGTAAAGTCGACAAAATTTTGTTGGATTTGATTGTAGAATTTCTCCCTTGGGATTGAGTATTTTGGACAATGGAAGAGAAAATGAAATTCGTCTTCAATTATACCAGAGTTACACGTTGTCTATTTTGCATAAAAATCAAAGTTGAAGAAATCTCAAATTTTTGACCAAAACGATGGACTAACCCCTTTGGAAAAATTCTTATTTTGCGTTTTTCATAAACAGTTGTTTTTATAGTCTTTAAAGGCTTCTTTTTTATCTAGAACGATAGCAAACATCTTTTCTCGATCTATTTTTGATAAAAACAAAAGATGAAAAAACTTCAGCTTTTTGACCAAAATCATGGACTATCCCCTTTGCAAAAATGCCAATTTTGCCTTCTTTTTAAATCCATGTATATATTTATATTATTTTAACGAAAACGTCACCAAATACTTTTTCTCGGTCTATTTTGGATAAAACGAAACGTTAACAAAATTCAAATTTTTGACCAAAACCATGGATTAACCCCTTTGGAAAAATGCCAATTTTGTGGGTTTTTGAAACCAATGTTTTCGTTATTCACAAAGGCTTGTTTGCTATATGAAACGTCCAAAATCGTTTTTTACGATTTATTTTCACGATCTATGACATGGGAATACAAGGGGTTACAAGGGGTGACAGGGGGTTACAGGAGGTTACAGGGGGTTACAAGGGGTGACAGGGGGTTACAAGGGGTTACAGAAAGTTACAAGGGGTTACTAGCGGTGACAGGGGGGTTACAAGGGGTTACAGGGGGTTACAAGGGGTGACAGGGGGATACAGGGGGTTACAAGGGGTGACAGAGGGTTACAAGGGGTGACAGGGGGATACAGGGGATTACAAGGGGTGACAGGGGGTTACAAGGGGTTACAAGGGGTGACAGAGAGTTGCAAAGGGTTACAGGGGGTTACAAGGGGTTACAGGGGATTATTATTGGTGACAGGGGGTTTCGAGGGGTGACAGGGGGTTACAAGGGGGTTACAAGGGGTTACACTGGGTTACAAGGGGTTACAAGGGGTGACAGAGGGTTACAGGGGGTTACAAGGGGTGACAGGGAACTGCAAAAGGTTACAGGGGGTTACAAGGGGTTACACGGGGTTACAGGGGGTTACAGGGGGTGACAGGGGGTTACAAGGGGTTACAGGGGGTTACAAGGGGTTGCAAGTGGTGACAGGGGTTACAGGGGGTTACAAGGGGTGACAGGGGTTACAAGGGGTTACAGGTGGTTACAAGGGGTTACAAGGGGTTACAAAACAAGAATTTCCAGGCTTGTTGAAGTTTACTTTTTTCAGTTTGTTTCCCTATTTTAAGCAGTAAGGATGATATTTCTTTTGACCACGTATTAGGTTCGGCTCATGTAAAGTTCGACCGTCTGAATCAACAGTCGAACTTAATAGTTTGGGTCGACCTAAATAGGTATTAGGTTCGGCACAAGTAAAGTTCGACGTTTGAACCGGGCCTAAGCCAGGGGCACCCAACGAGAATATAGTTCAAAACCACTTAGACATAGCATTGTTAAACGTATTTTAGTATTTAAACGGTAGATATAGGCATATTTCCTAGCTGAAAGTCTAGTGATCCGAAAATAATAGGGATCAAAACTTGCTTTTTCGAAAATTTCAGCCAGAAAAAAGGCTCCCGAAAATTCTAGGTGACCTTTCTAGGGTAAAAATCCGTTAAAAATAGGCAATTATACCATTTTTTACATGTCCTAGGAGAGGCATGCAAGCAAGAAATTTTACAACAAATGTTTCGAAAATTCTAGATCTCAAATCGTCTTCCGAACAGATATTCTTCCGAAAATTGTCGTTGGGTGCCCCTGCTAAGCGTTGTCCCATGAGCTTTCTCTGCATGTAGAGTTCATATGCAAATGTAGATCAGGATCAGTGTTTATGTAGGCATTTGTGAGTTATTGTTCAATAAGTCGTAAACTGAGCTGAATTCGACTCTGTTATTAGGCCGGGCTGGCCGGGTTATTAGGATACAAGAGCGGCTGGGTCTGTTTTGTAAGGAATGCGACTGAAAATTGTGGCCGAAAATCACTACGACTATTTTTAAACTGGGGTTTGCTGCAATTACTTTGAGTACTATGAGATAAAATAATGGATAACTTAAGGACTG